GGGCAGCCTTCATAACAAATGTTTGATCGGTAGAAACGTCATACGTAGGGACACCTTCAACCCATAGCCGTTGTAACTCCTCAATCAATGGTTGCATATAAACATCTATCAACTTTTTTGGATTTTGCGGCCCCGTCACGATCAATGTCAAAAACATATAAAGTGTCTTCATGCACATACCAGGTGGAAGATTGTACAGGCGTTAAGATAACCGGCCAAAGATGAATAACTTTTTCCGTTCTCCCAAATGGAGCAAATCCATCGGCACAGACTTAACCCGATGTTCCGAGGCTCCATTGCAAACTCGGGTATGTTCTATCAAAATGTTGCCATGCCTCTACATCCGAAGGATGACACATTAGACCCTCTTCTGTTTCATGATTTGCATGCCAAGTCATGTGTTCAAGATGGCTTTAGACGCATAAAGCCTTTGCAAACGGGGATTAAGGGCGAGATAAAACATTTGCTTGCATGGTTTACGCTTCGATTACGACCCGGCCTCCTGTTAATCTTGTACCTAGGTTGGCTGAGAATTTGCAAGATTCTGCATTTTCATCATCTCTCCAATATATCATACAACCCCTACTACATACATCAATCCTTACAACCGGAAGACCTAAGTTATCCACTAGCTTTTTCATATCATAAAAATCACTTGGCATGTTGTTATCACGAGGCAATGATTCCCGCATTACTTCAACAAAGAGTTGAAGCAATCCGCACACATTATGCTCGCCTTGATATTTAATAGTCGGGTTGTCACCGATAACTTAGTGTGGTCCTCACAACCTGTCCATAGAGGTTCATCTGCTGCTTTCAAGACATCCTTAACCGATTAGATTGAAAAGTTTCATTATACACATTCTCCTCAAAATCCGTTACTCCTATATCTTCCAATTGTGAAGCATGACTAGTACCCACTTGTTCACGTGTAGGAGTAAAACTAGTACTTGCATGATTTGCTTCGTGACAAAATTATAACTAGTGCATCAATCACCATCCTCTCGTATGGGTTCAATTGCTCATAATAGCCACATTCTTCCCTAACTGAAAATTGGTCACTTCTTCCATATCCTTCATCGATATAAATGGTTCACCATGGGAAGTCCAATTATAATAGTTCGGAATAAACCCAAATCTAATAAGGTGTTCTCTAACTTGATCACACACAAGAAATTTACCATTACCGCACTTTTTACACGGACACCTTAACTTATTTCCATCCATAAACTCATATTTACTACTAACAAAGTCTAAAAATAGTTCCAACCCAAGATTTAAACTCATCTCGTCAATCCTTGACGTCCAGGTAAGTTCTTATTATACATCCAAGCCTTTTCTCTTTGCATTGTGTCTATATTAAAATAAAAAATTTTGGTAAAATATTTAAAATATCATATCTATTGTTTTTAATTAAAGCCATAAAATTTTGGAAATTATAATTTTTGTTATTCACGCAACAATTAATATCAAATTGCAAAAATAGAAAAAACTACAATGTAAAGAACACTTACCAGGTGCTATTTGACTGAAATATTTATAGGAGAAAGTGATCAATTTGATGAGAATTGCAACGTCTACTTGGATTGCGAGACCTTCAATTAGGCACATACCCAAAAAAGAATAATCACTTAAGAATCATTTTTTAATAATTTTTAATGTGCGATGGAAACGGAATGTATCCGTCGCAAATTTGCGACGAATACTCAACTCCGTCGCAAATTTTGCGTCGGAATTTTCATTTATTCGTCGGAAATTTGCGACGGAATAAGGTTTCCGTCGCAAATTTGCGACGGATACTACGTGCCGTCGCAAATTTGCGACGGATACTCAAATCCGTCGCAAATTTTGCGACGGAATTTTCATTTATTCGTCGCAAATTTGCGACGGAATCGTATCCGTCGCAAATTTGCGACGGCACATAGTATCCGTCGCAAATTTGCAACAGAATTTTCATTTATTCGTCGCAAATTTGCGTCGGAAACTATTTCCGTCGCAAACGGCGTGGCCGTTCGGCCACATCCAAAGGCCGGCGAGGTGTCGCGGTCATTAAACCGGTGATGCGAGATACAAAAAAATAAACATAAACATATATTAAAAAACGGAAATTACAATGCAACGACGAATAGTCACGAAGCTAGCTATGACACTTACCGGTACAAAAGCTTCACCGAGATTAATATGTGCGTGCGCGGATTTTGCTGATTTCAGACAAACGAAAGAGGGAGAAAACGAGAGAGAGCGAGAGAGAGCGAGAGAGAGAGATAGGGTTGGAATATCACGGGCCGATAAACTACGAATTTGCGACGGACGTAGTTTTCGTCGCAAATTTGCGACGGACGTACAATGCCGTCGCAAATTTGCGGCGATTTTACGACGGTTTTATTTTCCGTCGGCAATTTGCGACAAACGTTTTCCGTCGCAAATTGCGACGGAAAAAAATCCGTCGCAAATTTGCGACGGCAAAACGCTGCCGCAAATTTCCGTCGCAAATTTCGTGTTTTTTGTAGTGGGTGGTCTCTGATCCCAGAAATGCGTGAGGATTCGGTTTGCTGTTCTTTGCTAGGTTTGATCTTCTTGATCTTCCTGACCTTCAGAACCAGTCAAGAACGACCCGGGTTTGAGAGCGACGGTCTAGTTTAAACTGTTTTTACCTGCTTGTTGACTCTCTTTTCTCTGTATCGCTGTTCTAGTAGTGTCTTTCTTATGGTGTTCAACTTTAAGGTGAAAAGTGCAGATTCCTTCCCATGTAAGGAATTGAAATCAGAGGGTGCAGAATGAAGGCGACGAAGAAGTCGGAGATTCGATTTATTTTATTTGGTTTTATGATGTGATACTTTGATGTGGTATCACTAATTCCATATGTATTTATCCTTTTGAAGGTGTAAATATCATTCATATCTTGAATCCGAATCAACAATGCAAGGAACCATGGACAGTATTGCCCAACAAAAACTTACGGTCACAAGCTTGAATTCACGGAACTTTGACACACGATTAGCCATAATTTTTTATGACAATAATTTATTTGTTGTGTCCGTTATTTCGAGCTAGTAAATTCCATCATTTCATCGTCTCCCTCTTCTTATCTCATCTTACACGAATCGCATACTTTTATTGAGTTGAGAATTCCGCAAGGATTTCTTCCTTGTCCTTTTTAACACCGACAGTGAGTGCGGCGTACCGGAAGCTTTTCAAGCGCTCTATTCGCGTGCGATTGTCCTCCGGTCTCTCGTGCGATGTAACTACCGAAACACACAAGTCGATTACTTTCTAACCAAATGATTCATTATGGAAGAACGGAGATCTTCGACCCTCTCGATGCTTCTAGTCATGGATATGTCTATTAGTCATTTACTCATAAACACTCTTAAACAATGACTAGAATTGACGAGACACCGTCGGGTGGATGTGGTTAGGTGACGGTTGAAGCAATTTTTCCAAAGTCAAAGTAGTGAAAGAGTGTGAAACAAGGCGTTTTCCGAGCACCGGCCAGTTGTTGCCAACTGCCAAGTGGCGAAATCCTAGGTCAAAAAGGATCTTTCTGGTTGTATTCCCATGCACAGAATCTAAACCATCATCGTATGAGATTGGGCCACATTGATTCATGGCCCTTTGGATTTCATGGGCTTTTTAAGACAAAGCTTGATTTGATTTTGATGTCATTTCTTTTATTTGCTCTCAATTTCATTCCTGACCTAGATGATGAAGAGTCACATTCTTACATAGGGAAGGAAATTGTGTCTATCCTAAAAAAAAAATGTGAACGGTAGTAGCATCTAACGGGTGGTTCGAGTCGAGTCAAAATGGTCCAGCCCAAATTAACTCATTTAACTCATTTTTATTCAACGCAATTTTGGGGACCCTTACTGGGCCCGACTCTGGCTCATCCAATACTCGACCCAACCTGCGCTCCAATTCCTAACAATTTTTCTCCTATGAATTATTACGTACGAAGAATGGGTGACTCAATGAATTGGTTCATCGAGTTGGTGGGGCAGCTCAAGCGCTCGGGTCGAGTAGTGGAGTAGGACTTCATGTGGTGCATGAACAATGTGGAGAAGTGGGTGAGCGTCGTGCTAACGGACAAGAACACCCATGTGGACGAGTTTAGGGGTCAGGTTATAGACGGGGGGTGAAGGTAGTGGATCTTGCTATGGTGCCGAACAATGCCCCCGTTAAAATTAATTAAATAATTAATGAGAAATCAAGTTATGATCAGTGAGGTTTGGGAAAGCCCATGCAAAGCGTAAGTACCACCTTGCAAGAGGGTTATCCGTGCCCGCTTAACAATCCCTCGAGTTCACCCCTGAAGAATCGCGACAATCCGTTTTAATCCATATTGACTTATTTATATTCGTACTAACTCGTATTCGACCTGATCCATTGAAACCCATACTTGTACAATTAAAAATGAGGAACGCATCCGTGGAGCCCGCTATCACTATATATCAAACGAACAAGCCATGGACGCCTCAATTCTTTTTCTGTGGTGAGGTTACCTGTCTAATCAGATACTAAGAATCCACGTGAGACCTTTTTTTTTTGCACTTCTCTCTCTCTCTCTCTCTAACCTGCACCTAAAGAAAGCTGGCAAGCACAGACCAAAACCTAGCCCATATTCTGTACTTTGGTTGGTGACAACACCCTTTATTCCCGTGTGAAGGAGCAGATGAGGATGATCTTGTCTAGGGGCCACCAGGGAGATTCTGAAAAACCCTCTTAACGATGAATGGGCACAGTTCAAGGGTCCCTTGACCCCGGGCCAAAGGGTCCTTATCGGCAAACGGGGATGGTCGTGTTTATTAGACGAGGAGCAGCTTGACCACTATGCGCATGGGACAGAAGATCCAGGAACCTCAAGCAGGTGCTAACTTCCACATTGTCGCTGAACGGGTCGAGTTCAAGAACGTGTCAAAGATTACCTTGTAATAAATGTGGACCGTCCAGCATTTTATTTACCTTTAATTTGTAGACCGACTTCCGACTGCTAGTTTGCTGTTGTGAAATCCGCCAAAATCTGTCATTCAATTCAATAAACTTTGATATTTTTCTTTTGGTTGCTAACCTTGAGAGCTTCCAAAAACACGTTAATCATGTCCCGTTGTCTCTTTCCTCCTTGGGCCTTCCCTTTGAAAGCAATGCCGACGGAATCAAACATACCCAAAAGACAAGCTTTGTGCATTCCGTCTGCACATTCTCTTCCACGCATCTACTCCCAGAACAACGTACAAACATGTGCAAGAGAACAAGTTTACCTTCACATGCATCAGATTGGTTTATCATAGAGATTATCGTAATCTCATCTTCTTGTCATTTGCCTGGTCTTCATGACATTACATAAGGTTCTTTCCATGAAGCTTATAGCCATTTAGTGTTGCTTTCCCAGCAACTTAGGCAGTTGAACTCCCCGATACGAATTTTGCATTCGGCGTGCTGCAAATTGAAGGAAAATAATGGAGAAGAAGCACTTTGTAGAAGTGGTATTATTGTGTGTCATCTTAGTTTTTGAGGGCCACTGTACTCAAAGAGTACTCTGTACTAGTGTGACTTATGATGGTAGAGCACTGGTCATTAATGGACAGAGGAGGATTTTGCAGTCCGGCTCTATCCATTACCCACGAACCACGCCTGAGGTAGGTCTTCGCTTCGGCTTTTGTTTCTTGAATTACTGATTTGGTAGTGTTAGGTATTGTTCGTTGCATTGCATGATTGTGTGATTTGTGACATGCAAATTTAGGTATGGCCCGAGCTTATTAGGAAAGCCAAGGAAGGGGGGCTAGATGTGATCGAGACTTATGTTTTCTGGAACTATCATGAGCCCGTGAAAGGACAGGTATGAAGTTGGGCATTTTTGCTCACTGCACAATTACTGCGTTCGCGGTTATTTCTTGTGGTACTAGTTGACGGCATTGTCACGGGATACTTATTGTTGATCCATCAACTATACGAACTACGCTCGAAACCAGTGTGTTTACTCATGAGCTGGAGAGTTTCAAACGGTTAAGGCAGATGATTATGACTTTCTCCGCCTTTACCTAAGCAATTGTAGCAAGACTTTTCTCTCCCTATTATCATAAATCAAATTGCTTTTTGTTTGTCTTCTTAATACATCCTTCATTTTCCTTTTTCAGTATTACTTTGAAGGAAGATTTGACCTCGTGCAGTTTGTTAAGGTGGTGCACGAAGCTGGTCTCTTTGTCCATCTGAGAATCGGCCCTTACGTTTGTGCCGAGTGGAATTACGGGTCTGTTCTGCTTAAGCTCCTCTCATCTTTTTCTGGAACATGTGATGGCTTTATCTCATTTAGTTGCTCTTGGTAATAATGCATTATGGATGATCTTGTGACGTTCTTGAATTCTCGAGACAGGGGTTTCCCGATGTGGCTACACTTCATTCCAGGAATTCAATTCCGCACTACCAATACGCCTTTCAAGGTGAATTCATACTTCGACTGTAGTTGAGTTTGCCACAATTAGTACTTAGGATGATCGAGCTTTTCATACTCCTTTGGCTTTCAGTCCTGACCCCTTCTGGTTTAACTGTAAAATACAGACCGAAATGGAGCTTTTTCTTGGCAAAATAGTCGGATTGATGAAGGAGGAGAATCTCTTTGCGTCCCAAGGCGGACCCATCATTCTTGCACAGGTGATCAATGAGTGTACTCTGACTTGTATTCACATACTCATTGAATAAATCATATTGCAACTTCAGGGTTCAGATGAATTCGTCGGACTCTGTTTTGGTGAATCTTTGCTAACTAACCTTCAGTAGTCAACCAGTATGAAAAGACTCTTTCGACAAGGTCAATGCAAGGTTGCTTGTAAAAATCTGCACTAATACTGTGTAACATGACAGAGGAAATCACTAGCGTGTCACGTTCCTTCCAAAATCTATCTTCTCGCTTGCATAAGTTTCTTTCATTCTGCTTTATGCTATGCCCTTTGTGAAGGAGTATCAATAATGCTCGCATGACTGCTATAGCTAAGTGCATTTTCCACCAATAATTTGTGCACTTGATATACTTCACATGCTGCGACAGGTAGAGAATGAATACGGTATTGTCGAAGAGGCGTATGGAATTGGTGGACAATTATATGTCCAATGGGCAGCAGAAACTGCTGTTAACATGAATACGTCCGTACCTTGGGTGATGTGCTCACAAAGGGACGCACCGGATCCAGTTGTAAGCATTCATTTTGTGACATGGTTGTTTACTAGTTACAGCTTACAGATGCTTTCTGGTTCGGAACAACTCAAAGCTCTTCTTTTCATGACAATATATGTTGGTTTTAAGAGTTCATTAATCTTCTTCAATCAGTGCAGATCAACACCTGCAATGGATTTTACTGTGATCAGTTCACTCCGAACTCTCCTTCCAAACCCAAAATGTGGACGGAGAACTATGTCGGATGGTAATTGTTTGCGGCATTACTTTGTTAAACCAGAGGCCCATAGCATAATGAATTTCCGTTTTGAGTAAATTTGTTTCGTCTTTCTTGATCTTTTTGTAGGTTTCTCGCATTCGGCTACCCAATTCCGTATCGACCGGTTGAGGACCTTGCTTTTGCAGTGGCGCGCTTTTTTGAATATGGCGGTACTTTTCAGAACTATTACATGGTGAGCTACTGTATCAGTAAGAGTTGTTCGTTTTTCCTACATTTCAACCCTTGATTTTACGTAGGCAACCTTCACGCGACCGTTCTAAGGGCTGATACTTTGGCAGTATTTCGGAGGAAGCAACTTCGGACGAACTGTTGGTGGGCCTTTGGTTGCAACAAGTTATGATTACGATGCTCCTTTGGACGAGTATGGTGAGGCATTTCGTATTATCATTCACATGTCGTCGACTTACGGTCAAATAATGGAATTTTTGTGACATTTCCTATTGCATCTTGTGGATGCGTATCTTACAAGAGAAACTGAATGCAGGTTTTATCAGGCAGCCGAAGTGGGGGCACCTACGCGACCTACACAAGGCTATAAAAGTATGTGAAGATTATTTGGTCAGTTCTGAGCCGACTCATGTGCAACTTGGCTCTAACTTAGAGGTGAGAATACAATAGCCTGGCTTCAATTTGGCAGGACAGAAAAGATTACAAAGCATGAGGGACGTAACATTAGTTTCATCGACGCAACCAAAGATCAAATGACATAAGGTCCTGCTATTTATCAGTTGTACTGTCAGGAAGCTCTGGTGCATCTTGAAAGATCACTGTATTAACTACAAAGGTTTCTTCAGCATTTTCCAATGACCCAACTTAATGATGCGCGCAAGTCTCGTGTTAGGATCAATGATCCTTAGTTGACTCTTGTCTTAGTAAACTGATCTAAGAAGTTGCTTTTGCATATCCGTTGTGACCTTTGAGCCTAACCAATTTTTTCCATTGCCTCCGAAAAGCCTTTTACCGTCTCAGCCTGAACTCTGAAACACTTTTCTTCAGGCACACGTCTACTACAAGTCTTCAAATGACTGTGCAGCTTTTCTTGCGAATTATGACAACAGTCAAGATGCTACAGTCCAATTTAACGGGAATTCGTACTTCCTTCCTGCTTGGTCTGTGAGCATCCTTCCGGATTGCAAAACCGTCATCTATAACACTGCAAAGGTACAGATACTTTCCCACTTAATGCACATCCAATAGATTATGTTTCAATTGACATTTTATCTCCTGTTTGTATAGTTTCTCAATCTACTGGCCTTTATTTGATGATACAGATTAAGATAAGTTTATGAAACTCGAGACAAAAACAGGCATGATGCTTTGACCAGTCGACTAGTTTAGATTCTAAATCTCGTGTTTCTGTTCACTTACTTATCTGGTTTCCCCATTTTTGGCTGGTTGAAATCCTTTAGCTGACATATCTCCTTGAGCATGATTGTGTCGTTTACAACTGGCAACAATTGCAGGTTGTTTCACAAAGGACTGTTGCCGATAGTGCATTTGCTCATGCAACCACTGCACGTGAGACTTCTATTGCACCATTGTCCTGGAGTTGGTATAAAGAACATGTTGGTATCTGGGGCAACAATTCTTTTACTAGCCCAGGCCTATTGGAGCAAATAAATACGACAAAAGATACTAGCGACTTCCTATGGTACACGACCAGGTAAGGCACTTCATCCACGGATCTTGTATTGATTTTCGCAAACCATCCGATTTAGTTCTAGACCAACCAATTCGATATAAGTCAAGTTTAGGCAATTATAATATGGAGGTAAATTACCAGTTCGAAGGAGCATTTCAACCATCTCCCTAGAGAGTTACATCCTAATCTGTTGTGTCCATAATCATTCAAATTTAACCGACATTCTGTGAATATTTTGTCACTCTGTTGGATTATTGCTGCATTTGCCATCTGATGCTTCTCTGCAATGGTGGCAGTATCTACGTAGATGAGAATGACGCATCAAGTCAAGAGAAAGAAGGTCTTTTGTTACTTTTGAGTTTGGGACATGCAGCTCTCGTTTTCATTAACCAACAAGTTGTCGGTGAGTACTTTTCTCAAAATCATAGTCAGCACTGAATTATTTATGAATTTAGCTGTTCTGTGTTCAAAGTGCATACTTAAACTAAAGGCAGTGATATTCGGCAAAAAGTTGGCGTCTTTACTCAATCTTTTGGCTCAAGGAGCCACCATCTACTTCAGAGTTTAAGACAACGGGGAATTTGTTGAGAATCGGTATTACATGCCTCACCTATTCTTAGATGCTCGAAATTCTTGTTGGGTAAGTGTAAATGCCTAAGAGATTAACTAAACATCAGAGAAATCCTCTTGCCTCGTAGTTTTTCTCCATGAAAACTAATCTGTCTGTCTAGGTGGGAAAAAATTGCAATCTTGATTTTACACTACGATCTTGATCCGATGTGTATTGCTTCTGAGCTTTTGAACTTTTTCTTCTGATGCATGCTTCTAATTAACCTTGCCATCTGTCTGTGTAGCTCCTTAATCGCATCGACTGAGGCATGAAGCTTTCTTGTGTCTAGTAAAACTCTCTCATTGTTCGTCTGGCATGTTGCAGGATTCGGATATGGAAACCACGACAGTGCAAATTTCTCAATGACTCAGAAAATTAATCTTAACCCAGGAAATAATACACTGGATGTGCTGAGTATGATGATTGGTCTACAGGTAAAAGAACCATCTCGAATAAATTCATAATGCATCGAAAATAGACATGCGCAATGTTCTCTATAAAGCTTTACCACAAACTGCTAGCGCTTCAGATGTATTATCAATTTGCAATGGATAAGTGAGGTTTTATGTTCCTTTTAAGGTGTCTCTTCTCTTTATCTTTCACATATTGTTCACCAGAACTTTGGGCCTTGGTTCGACGTTCAAGGAGCGGGACCCTTCTCTGTCATCGTCGATGGACTTGGAAATGGTAAAACCGATCTCTCTTTTGGAGAATGGACCTATCAGGTGAGAGATTGCTCCTCCTAAAACCTTTAGTTTGCATGCTGAGTATGTTCATAAGATTACGCTTTCAATGTTGGATCTATTCTCACGTATTTTCAAGCAGCATATCACGCTCTTCATTAAAAGCATAAACTAACCAGATTTTTTGTTTCCCTGTATTCAGGTGGGACTTGAAGGTGAATATCTTGGATTAGATAAAATAAGCATGGCAAATAGCTCACTATGGACAAAGGGCGAGCTCGTACCAGTTAATCAGAGCTTAATCTGGTATAAGGTCTGTACAATTCACAGTAGCTCAATGTTTTCCAATTCACATAATGATTTACACATTGAGGACAGTTTCAATGAAGATTGGAGCTAGTTTTGTTCAACTCTTACCATTTGTCTTCAGGTGATGTTTTCGGCTCCTCAAGGAACCGGCCCATTAGCGTTGAATCTCGCTAGTATGGGGAAGGGACAAGCGTGGGTGAACGGGCAGAGCGTAGGGCGTTACTGGCCAGCTTATCTCTCGCCGCTGACCGGCTGCACCGACAACTGCGACTACAGAGGAAGTTATGATGCATCCAAATGTCAGAAGGATTGTGGCAAGCCTGCCCAAACAATGTGAGATCATTGACATATTATCTTTTGTTTCACCTGTACATGTTGGTCTGAGGCACGGATGGCTTTTCTCTCTCACCCACTCTGACGGTCGGTTTCATTGTCCCACACTAAGGTATCATGTCCCGCGCTCTTGGATAAATCCAGGAGAGAATCTCCTAGTTCTTCACGAAGAGATCGGAGGAGATCCTTCGAAAGTTTCCGTGCTAACACGCACCGGCCAAGAAATATGCGCAGTGATATCCGAAGCAGATCCTGCTCCGGTTGATTCTTGGAAACCGAATTCAGAGTTCACGCCAAACGGCCCTCTAGTTCAACTCTCCTGTGAAGCTGGGTGGCGCATTACTTCGATCCGCTTCGCTAGCTTCGGGAATCCTCAAGGAAGCTGCGGTGCATTTGCTCCAGGAGCTTGTCACTCTGATGTAGTATCAGTTATAGAGAAGGTAAGTCTGCTTTTCTTATTGCTTCTCTTTTATCAGAACAAGCGAATTGTTATGATTGGAACCGATGGTCGTAAATTGCGATACATTTTTAGGCGTGCTCATGATGTTTTGTCATGCATACACAATATGTACAGATAACATATACATGAGTTGATTGCTGATTTTTGTCGACAGGCTTGTATCGGTCGGGACGCATGCTCGATACCGGTATCGGTAGATACGCTCGGCGACCCATGCCCGCTGGTCCTAAAGAGTTTGGCCGTTGCAGCTCTATGCAGCTAGCGGTTGTAGTTCATATGGATTGAACTTCCTTGCTTGCCTTGTTTCTAGGCTTTCTTCTATTATGGTGTCCAAAGGGCTTTTATCTCGTAAGTAAAAGCAAGAACAAGGCAGTTATTTGGTCTATTTCAGCTGTCTCTGCCATTTGATTGTAAAAGGTACTATGCATTGTGCTTATTCACATAACCAAGCGACCCACTCACGCAACTTAACTAGACAAGACACCACAAGTCCACAATATTATGTGACAAGTACAATCTTCCCGACATGCTTGCTGCTTTCCATGAGCCGGTGGCCCTCCGCTGCTTCGGCTAGAGGAAGATACTTGTAAACCACAGGCTTCACTTTGCCTTGCTCGATTGCTGGCCAAACTTTCGTCTCTACCTCGCTTACGATCGCAGCTTTATTCTCTGTGCTTCTGGTACGCAAGCCCGCCGCTGCATACACAAGTACACAAGTTTACAATGATTCCATAAAAAGATTATTGCCGATATCACCGTTCGACCTGCTCAATTCATAAGCATGAAGTGCCCAAGTTCGTTAAGGTAATGGTTTCTATGGCACTAACTGTATCAGAAGAATCCTCAACCAATCAAAATATCCAATTGCCAACCACATCAAACTTAAGAACCAACAAAATGCATTTTGTGAACCTTGCACAGTGAGGCGTCTGGCGAGAATACTTCTCAGATCCACTTGCGTCACCGCTCCACTCTGAGTGCCGATGATGAATAGCCTCCCATCAATATTCAAGCTATCGAGGTTTCTCTGGAAGTAGGATGCACCAACGCAGTCCAGAATCACATCAACACCTGCCAAAACAAACTTTTGGAAATAAATTTCTTTCACCGACCAACATGCTGTCACATGGTTCATCTATAACTTCTTAAATTATGTGAAATCTGACTTATATGTCTCAACAATCAGAATGACTTGATCCGTGTTTAAAAGAATGATTTCTATGTCAAGACATGGCTTTGCCAAGTTAAAATCTCCTCATAAAGCTTTGACACAGCATCAGTCAACGGCTTGCGATTCAGGTGAAAAGGATTAACTTAACTATACATCTACAGAACTTCCCCTCTAATGAACCAAAGTAACAAGGTGCATATAACACTGTAAAAAGGCATTTTATTGGATCTGTAACAGAGTAAGAATGTAACAAAAAAGCCAACGCGAATAATAAGTTGTGGGAAATGCAGAAAATTAGTGGAGCAAGATTATGTGATAAAAGGCTTAGTAATTGCTCCCTCTTATTTCTGACATAATATGCCAATTCATCTTCAATATGAATAAAGAACACTTAGCCTCCAATCAAGTGATTATGTCTGATGACTCTGATCTATATCAAGAACAAAAAATATGGATGATGCACCTTTTCCTGCAGTTTCTTCTTTCACTCGTGCAACAAAGTCCTCTGCCTTGTAGTTGATGCAAACGTCTGCACCCAGATCCTTGCAAGCAGCTAACTTTTCTTGACTTCCTGTGAATCGAAAGATCAGTACATAAGTTACAGTGTATGAAAGTGCCAAGTCTATAGAAGCCACAATTAGTTTGAAAATACCTGCAGTTACAAATACCCTAGCACCATAATATTTTGCTATCTGAATAGCAAAAGTGCCGATTCCACTAGAGCCACCATGTATCTGTAATTTTCACTAGTATGCTAATGAATGAAAACAATGGTAGAAAATTGGGAAAAATTTAATAGACAAATGAAACTATTAAGTAAATAGAGACGTTACTTTCCATCCCATGAGAAATTTGCATGTTCTCATTAAAAAAAATTACTTGTACTTATGATTCTAGGCTAGACTTCCCAGGCACTACTCCTTCGGATGCTGAAGTGAAGGGCTGCTTAAGTTTTGCTCGTAATAATGTATGTCTATATTGATCCATCTTAGAGAATTGTCAAGAGAAAATAGAGCAACTGAAAAAGTGAAAAAGCTCGGGTACAAAAGCTAATTGCTTCCCAAGGCTAGGCAGCAAATGTGACACACCATTATCTTCACTAAACATTAGTAATCACATGACCACATAAGACATCCACACTCATAGCCTCGAGCTGTTACCAAGAACGTTTCCCCTGCAGAGAGGCGACTCGTCATGAAGACAGTGGACCAAACAGTGCAAGCCCCTTCCGGGAAACTCGCAGCATCCTTAAGCGAAATTCCAGCAGGAACAGGAAGAACTTGCCCTGCTGGAACTGCTACTTTCTCGGCATAACCTCCTCCGGTAAGCAGAGCACAAACCTGCACATCATCAAATTATCACAGTGCCACTTTCGTGTAATCAAGTCAATATTACCTTAAACATCTCAAAAGCCAGCAGTCCTAGCATAACTAAAGGAAGGTAAAATCATCACGCTTCAAGCTTATGAAAGTTCCCACAGAAAATAGCCTCAAAGAAAATTGATTTCCTCAGAAACCTGAAATCCACGAATATCCACCCATTATCTGGGTGGACATTAAGAAGATTTGCTAAATTCTAGGATCCAAAATATATCAAATACAGTTCCCAGCTGCAGTTTCTTGGTGATATTGCAGTTAACATCCCTCAATCAAAGGGTGTCGCACTTTGACCCCAATCTCAAAAGCTTAATGTTTTACTGGAAAAAAGTTTAAATGATCTCCTCAACACCAGAAAACTAGGTACATATCTGCTACTAATTAGCAGCTAAGTCAAAAAATTCTACGAGAAAAGTTTGGTTTCATACATCTAGTTAGTTGGACATGTCCGAAACAGTATTTCGTGCATAATTTTCTTTATAGGTGAAACCATTTCATATTGGGGCGGTAGCCTCTTGGTACCTTCTTGATGATATTTTACTTATTATTAAAAGAAAATTTCTTTTAGCGGGAACAAATATGAGGTACCGTGTTGAAGATTATCAAACGATTGGTTCGCCAGCAGATAGGTCATCCATAGGCCATCCAATCTCAAAACATCTGACTACCTTAAACCATGCAGATTGTTACAGAGGAGTAGTCCGTCAGCATATTTACTGTATCAAGCAAATTTTCCAGGCACACTTCCTCACATGAAAGGTTTACGTCTGGAATGCAAGAAAACATTGCAATGAACTCTAATTTAAACCCAAGTGCATATCCAGAAGCAATGATTCACCGCAAAATTCGCAATTCACGCACTGAAATACACAAGAACGCTAATTACTAGCCCGCAAGATTAAAGATTTAACAGCAGCTTCCCCCAATTACTTCATCCTCGAACTGTGGAACTTCAACCCTTTTCAATCGAACACACAAAAAAAGCAATTGTATTCACAAACAAGTCCTGCTTAGAGCTACACAACAACACCCAAATCACATAGTTCGACCCTTCATGACAAAGAACTACCAAAGAAATCCAACTTTTTCACCCAAGAAATCAACCTGATCCCCCACTTTCCAGCGAGACACGCTCTTCCCGACAGCCTCGACCGTTCCGGAGCATTCGAGGCCCGGGTACTCGCTGGCGCCCTTCGGGGGCGGGTACATGCCCCTCCGCTGGAGGGTGTCGGCCCCGTTCAGCGCGGTGGCGGCGATCTTGACGAGGACGTGGCCGTCCTCCAGCTCCGGGTCCTCCACGTCTTGGAGCCGGAGCACTTCCGGGTCGCCGGGGGTTGTGATCACGACGGCCCTCATCGCCGGTTTCCGCCGAGCTGACCCGCGTTCTCGTCGGCCGGCGGCGGTGCCGAGTGGGAGCGAAGAGGCAAAGGTCGTGTTGAGCGCTCTGTGATGAGTGTGAGGATACAGACACGGGTAAATGACACGAATGTCAAACGGGTAGATGAACTCGTGGCTGTATCGGTCGGCTTGTTGTTGATTTTTGTCAAATGGGTAGATTATCTTTCTTGATTGTTACCCGCTCAGTTGACTTGAGATTCTGTGGTAGACGGCATGTGGCGACTCGCTGACGCCGGGCGAGGGCCGTCCTCGATCTCGGGCGGTGATCTCGCCCACGAGTGAGGGCGACTCGCCGTATTCAAGAGTGGGCGGCGGCTGGCCGAGCGAGTGGTCTCCCTCACCGATCCGGCGAGGGCCGCCTCGCCGGGCGTGGCGAGGGAAGCCTCGCCCGACGCCGTGGTGGCGCCTCGCCCCGCCTGTGCGAGGGCGCCTTCACCTCGCCGGGCGGGCGAGTGGTCCCGCCCGACGCCGGCGAGGGCAGCTCGGCTCGGCCGTCTGGCGAGGGTCGCCGAGACTCACGAGCGGGCAAAACTTTGCTTAAAAAAAAAAAAAACAGTAAAAAATAGAAAAAGGGAAAAAGACTAAAATACCTTAGGCCTACGTATATTGGGGTAAATGTGCCACAAATAAGAAAGTTTGGGTTTTTGGTGTCACAAAAAAGTTTTGTAAATGTGTCATTGCAAGGCAAAGTTTGGGGATTTTGGTGGTTTTTTCCCAAATGGAAAAAAAATCTTTCTTGATTGTTGATTTTTGTCGACAGGCTTGTATCGGTCGGGACGCATGCTCGATACCGGTAACGGTAGATACGCTTGGCAACCCGTGCCCGCAGGTTAGTTTGGCCGTTGCAGCTCTATGCAGCTAACGGTTGTAGTTCATATAGATTGAACTTCCATGCTTGCCTTGTTTCTAGCCTTTCTTCTATTATGTTGTCCAAAGGGCTTTTATCTCGTAAGTAAAAGGAAGAACAAGGCAGTTATCTGGTCTATTTCAGTTGTCTCTGCCATTTGATTATAAAAGGTACTATGCATTGTGCTTATTCACATAACCAAGCGACCCTCTCACGCAACTTAACTAGACAAGACACCACTAGTCCACAATATTATGTGACAAGTACAATCTTCCCGACATGCTTGCTGCTTTCCATGTGCCGGTGGCCCGCCGCTGCTTCGGCTAGAGGAAGATACTCGTAAACCACGGGCTTCACTTTGCCTTGCTCAATTGCCGGCCAAACTTTCTTCTCTACCTCGCTTACGATTGCAGCTTTATTCTCTGTGCTTCTGTTACGCAAGCCCGCCGCTGCATACACAAGTACATGAGCTTACAATGATTTCACAAAAAGAATATTGCCGATATCACCGTTCAACGTGCTCAATTCATAAGCATGAAGTGCCCAAGTTCCTTAAGGTAATGCTGTCTATGGCACTAACTGTATCAGAAGAATCCTAAACCAATTGCCGACCACATCAAACTTAAGAACCAACAAAATGCATTTAGCAAACCTTGCACAGTGAGGCGTCTCGCCAGAAGACCTCTCAGATCAACTTGTGTCATCGCTCCACTCTGAAAGCCGATGATGAATAGCCTCCCGTCAAAATTCAAGCTATCGAGGTTTCTCTGCAAGTAGGATGCACCAACGCAGTCCAGAATCACATCGACACCTACCAAAACGAAGTTTTGGAAATGAATTCCTTTCACAGACCAACATACAGTCAAGTGGTTCTTCTATAACTTCATGGTTTATGTGAAATCTCACTTCTATGTCTCAACAATCAGAATGACTGGATCCGTGTTTAAAATAATTTTTTCTATGTCAAGACATGGCTTTGCCCAGTTAAAATCACCTCATAAAGCTTTGACACAATCAGTCAACCGCTTGCGATTCAGGTGAAAATGATTAACACTATACATCTACAGAACTTCCCCTCCAATGAACCAAAGTAAAAAGGTGCATATAACACTGTAAAAAGGCATTTTATTGGCTCTGTAGCAAAATAAGAATGTAACAAAAAAGCCGACATGAATAATAAGTTGCGGGAAATGCAGAAAGTTAGTGGAGCAAGATTATGTGATAAAAGGCTTAGTAATTTTTCCCTCCTATTTCTGAAATAATATGCCAATTCATCTTTCATATGAATAAAGAACACTTAGCTCCCAATCAAGTGATTATGTCTGATGACTCTGATCGATATCAAGAACAAAAAATATGCATGTTGCACCTTTTCCTGCAGTTTCTTCTTTCACTCGTGCAACAAAGTCCTCTGTCTTGTAGTTGATGCAAACGTCTGCACCCAGATCCTTGCAAGCAGCCAACTTTTCTTCACTTCCTGTGAATCGAAGATCAGTACATAAGTTATAGTGTAAGAAAGTGCCCAAGTCTGTAGCAGCCACAATAAGTTTGAAAATACCTGCAGTTACAAATACCCTAGCACCATAATATTTTGCTATCTGAATAGCAAATGTGCCGATTCCGCTAGAGCCACCATGTATCTGCAATTTTCATTAGTATGCTAATGAATGAAAACAATGGTAGAAAAAATTGGGAATAATTTAATAGCCAAATGAAACTAAGCAAATGGAGACGCTACTTTCCATCCCACGAGAAATTTCCTTCTTCTCATAAAAAAAATTCTACTTGTACTTAAGATTCGAGGCTAGACTTCCCAGGCATTACTGTCAGATGTCCTTCGGACCCTGAAGTTTAGGACCGCTTAAGTTTTGCTCGTAATAATGTATGTCTATATTGATCCATCTTAGACAATTGTCAAGAGAAAATAGAGCAACTGAAAAAGTGAAAAAGCTCGGGTACAAAAGCTAATTGCTTCCCAAGGCTAAGCAGTAAACATGAAACACCATTATCTTCACTAAACATTAGTAATCACATGGCAGCATAAGATATCCACACTCATAGCCTCGAGCTGTTACCAAGAATGTTTCCCCTGCAGAGAGGTGACTCATCATGAAGACAGTGGACCAAACAGTGCAAGCCACTTCCGGGAAACTCGCAGCATCCTTAAGCGAAATTCCAGCAGGAACAGGAAGAACTTGCCCTGCTGGAACTGCTACTTTCTCCGCATAACCTCCTCCGGCAAGCAGAGCACAAACCTGCACATCATCAAATTATCACAGTGCCACTTTCGTGCAATCGTGTCAATATTACCTTAAACATCTCAAAAGCCAGCAGTCCTAGCATAACTAAAGGAAGGTAAAATCATCACGCTTCAAGCATATGAAAGTTCCCACAGAAAGTAGCCTCAAAGAAAATTGATTTCCTTAGTAACCGGAAATCCACGAATATCCACCCATTATCTGGGTGGACATTAAGAAGATTTGCTAAATTCTAGGATCCAAAATATATCAAATACAGTTCCCAGCAGCAGATTCTTGGTGATATTGCAGTTAACATCCCTCAATCAAAGGGTGTCGCACTTTGACCCCAATCTCAAAAGCTTAATGTTTTTACTGGAAAAAAGTTTAAATGATCTCCACAACACCAGAAAACTAGGTACATATCTGCTACTAATTAGCAGCTAAGTCAAAAAATTCTATCAGAAAAGTTTGGTTTCATACATCTAGTTAGTTGGACATGTCCGAAACAGTATTTCGTGCATAATTTTCTATATAGGTGAAGCCATTTCATGTTGGGTCGGTAGTCTCTTGGTACCTTCTTGATGATATTTTAGTTATTATTAAATGAAAATTTCTTTTAGCGGGAACAAATATGAGGTACCGTGTTGAAGATTATCATACGATTGGTTCGCCATCAGATAGGTCATCCATAGGCCATCCAATCTCAAAACACTTGACTACCTTAAACCATGCAGATTGTTACAGAGGAGTAGTCTGTCAGCAAATTTACTGTACCAAGCAAATTTCCCAGGCACACTTCCTCCCATGAATGGTTTACGTCTGGAATGCAAGAAAACATTGCAATGAATTCTACTTAATACCCAAGTGCATATCCAGAAGTAATGATACACCGCAAAATTCGCAATTCACGCACTAAAATACACAAGAACGCTAGTTACTAGCCCGCAAGATTAAAGATTTAACAGCAGCTTCCCTCAATTACTTCATCCTCGAACTGTGGAACTTCAACCCTTTCAATCTAACACACAAAAAAAGTAATTGTATTCACAAACAAGTCCTGCATAGAGCTACACAACACCGCCCAAATCACATAGTTCGACCCTTCATGACAAAGAGCTACCAAAGAAGTCCAACTTTTTCACCCACGAATTCAGCTGAACAGAGCGCAAAAAAGGAGAGTCAAGAAATCAACCTGATCCCCAACTTTCCAGCGAGACACGCTCTTCCCGACAGCCTCGACCGTTCCGGAGCATTCGAGGCCCGGGTACTCGCTGGCGCCCTTCGGGGGCGGGTACATGCCCCGCCGCTGGAGGGTGTCGGCCCTGTTCAGCGCGGTGGCGGCGATCCTGACGAGGACGTGGCCGTCCTCCAGCTCCGGGTCCTCGACCTCTTGGAGCCGGAGCACTTCCGGGTCGCCGGGCGTTGTGATCACGACGGCCCTCATCGCCGGTTTCCGCCGAGCTGACCCGCGTTCTCGTCGGCCGGCGGCGGTGCCGAGAGGGAGGAGCGAAGAGGCAAAGGTCGTGTTGAGCGCGCTGTGATGAGTGTGTGGATACAGACACGGGTAAATGACACGAATGTCAAATTGGTGGATGAACTTTTGGACCCGTACGTAATATGGTCCTTCAATTTTAAATTTGTTAAGTATAATTCCGAACTTTAACTTAACGTGTAATGTCGTCTCTAAATTTTATTCAACATAATCTCTGAAATTTTGATAGATATATAATTTAGTCCCTAAGTTGGACAGCATGGAACATTTTCATACTGTTATGGGATCAAATTGAACATATACCAAAAGTTCAATGACCACGTAAAATAAATTAAAAATTTAGGGATAACATTACACGTTAGACTAAATTTTATAGATCACGTTGAATAAATTTAAAAATTATATTATATATTTTATCAAAATTCAGAGAGGATTTGTATCGTTGTATCAGCAAACAAAAAGGTCTTCTCTACTCGGCGTGTAGCGACCCTACGTGTAAAGATGAGGGAAGAATTTCCATGCTGGGTGGTTCTCAACTAGTTCTTTGATTGCTTATTTTGGCATATTGCTCGGCAAAAATATTCAAGAATCCCTTCAAACATGCTCGATTCTTCAAAGCTCCCCTTAGATTTTGGCATTAGAGCGGATTCTGTTTAAAAATACGTTTAAAGTCAAGATTTTTCTTTTTTACGTTGAAAGTCCTCTTAAGCTCATTACCGGCAAAATGAACGGTCGGCCGGCGAATAATTTTTGGCATTTGAGTCACCTGAACGTTTCCCACGATTACTAGGGGCAAATTTTCTTCAAAATGAAGGGGGTGGATGGTTGTGTTCCGTATGATTATGATGATCAGGGCTTGGATGTTCTTTTAGATGGGCATGACATGTGTTGTGACTTACCTTGTTGCCCTTGATCTTGAGCCAGGTCTCGGCACAGCTCCTGAGCAACAATCGATCAATTGTCCTTGCAAGAACAAACCAGTTCAATGGCGACATGTTTTGTTACTTACCTTGTTGCCCTTGATCATGAGCCAGGTCTTGGCACAGCTCCTGAGCAACAATCGATCAATTGTCCTTGCGAGAACAAACCAATTCGATGGCGACCGTGGGCCTCGACCGCCTCGATTTCCTCCGATCGCTCCGGCAGGGGACGGCCTCGCAATGCTGAAGCAGCGCCGGCCTCTCTTGCATTTCGCTAAAAACTTAAAGAGTCGTAAAGATTTTGAACCATTTTCAGCATATAATTTCAATTGCCACTTAAGAAAAGAAGAGAAATTTATAGAATGCTCGACAGTTATTTTGAATTTAAATTTAAGAAGTAATAAATTCATTGATAACTTAAGAATCATCTTGATCATAATAAATTTTGATTTTAGGCGTCTATAATTATGTGGTCGGTACTATAAATATATGCATAGGTTTTTTTATAGAATTTTTTTCGTAAATTTATGATTAAACTGTCCATTATGTTTGCTTAATAGGCAGTATAGATTTGAACCAATTGTCAATGTTGTAAAAGTTAATTGTCACTTCAGTAATTTGGTATAATAATATCACCTGTTTACGTTGTTAGAATTTCCGAAATCATTTTCATAATCGCGTCCCCTTACTAACTAGACAAAGTTTGTGCCGAGTGATCAATGCTCATTTTTATGTCAACTTTGTTCTTTAGTGAATTTGAGCTTCTTAATTTTCATTTGACAGAAGTTATTTGTAAGTGAATAAACCTAATTGGCTTTTTAATTATATTGTTCGAGGCCTTCTATGAAATATAGTCTCCTTTTTCTTTTCCAAGTAATCCTAATGAACATAATAATTCACTGATTGATATACCTCTAGATATTGACTAACTTAATGGATCCAAGACCTGAAGTTTCCTCATTAAACCAAACTGCACGCAATGTTTGTTAGATCGATGTGCATACATTCTCTTGTTTTGTTCGAAACGCCAAGCAACCCAGTTAGGCAAATCACCACTTAATCTCCTTCCATATATTATACAACAACCTAACTCTTCCCAAATTTTAAAAATTGCAATCCATGGTCCCTCAAGTTGGGCATTTTCGCGTTATAGTCAACGCATTTTTTAACAAATGGGTTTTAGCCCCCGCGGCATATTTTACATAAGCGACGCACACTTCCGTACCGAACCATGTAACTCACAATGTAATCTCTGTGATCGTGACCTACGTTCAACGTTATTTCGCAATTGAACAAACACCAAAACCTTTAAAAGCTCCTTACCCAAAAAAAAAAAAAAAAACCTTCAAAAGCTGGAATATACTAAACTGAAAATATAATAATCCAAGGGAGTAACTTACGTAGAATGTCCATTTTGGAGATGACTAAACCAAGATTGTGAAATTGGTCAAACTTCAGAAATTGGGATCGTTGTTTTGCTCGAAACTAAGATTAATTGCATGCATAAAATTCCTTAAATATTCATCTTTAGTCTACTCTTCTGCAATCTGACCACCAGTAGCTAGAATTTTGCCTAACATCCAGCAAAAACTCACTTCGTGCAAGAAGTTATTTAAAGAGCCCGAGGCTGTCTGCTTGCTTCTGTATCTCATTTCCTTTACAATCATATAACTCAGGAAAAAAGAAATTATGGAGTTTGCATCTGTTAGTAGTGTTCGTCGTTTGATGCTCATCATGATGTTCGTGCTGATGAGTGCTTCTTTGGAGGTGATGGTGGATGCGGACACGACGGGCACGACGAACACGATGAGAGCGAAACGAGAGCGCGTGACATGCAACAGTCGCCGGAGCCGGTGCTTCATGAGGTACGTGACATGTCCGGTCGAGTGCCCTCAGGTGAAGCCCAGAGACCACAAGGCCAAAGCTTGCTATCTGGATTGCTACTCGCCCAAGTGCGAAGCTGTGTGTCGAAGTAAGTAATGACAGACACTTACGAATCCAACCTTTGATCTTTGTCCATGACCGTACTGTCGTATCGTTTGTTATAGAAGTTCATGATACGGTATTGTTTCTCTAGCAAACGAGGCGTCATGTAGCTAACACGTTTCCCGTGACCAGAGCGCAAGCCGGATTGCAGTGGGATGGGGGCCGCGTGCTACGACCCCCGTTTCGTCGGCGGGGACAACATCGTCTTCTATTTCCACGGCAGGAGCGACGAGCAGTATGCGTTGGTATCCGACACCGGCCTCCAGGTCAATGCCCGGTTCATCGGGCTCCGACCTGTTGGGAGAGCCCGCGACTTCACATGGATCCAAGCCTTGGGTGTCCTCTTTGACTCCCACACATTCACTCTTGAAGCCACTAGGGCAGAGACATGGAGCGACGAGATCGACCGCCTGCGATTTTCATACGATGGGACGTCCATAACTTTACCAGAAACACGCAATTCTGAATGGAACTCGCCGCGCAACGAAATCAAATTGGAGAGGACCGCGAGCAAGAACAGCGTCACATTGATCATACAAGAAACCCTAGAGCTCTTCGTTAGCGTAGTTCCAATCACTGAGGAAGACAATAGGATTCACAGTTACAGAATACCGAGGAACGACAGTTTCGCACATCTGGAAGTGCAGTTCCGATTCTTCGGCCTCTCGCCGAGGGTCGACGGGGTCCTAGGGAGGACTTACAGGGAAGACTTCGCAAACCCAGCGAAGCCCGGGGTTGAGATGGCGGTTGTCGGCGGCGAGGACAAGTACAGGACCAGCTCTCTCCTCTCGTCGGACTGCGCCTCTTGTGTGTTCGCTCCTGGGGACAAGGAGGTCTCGCTGCTGAGGCAATACGCTATGCTGAGCTGCACCAGTGGAGTGGAAGGTGGCATTGGAATGATATGCAGAAAATAGCATTTTCATTGCCACATATCTAAACTTACAAACTTCTATATATTGTCATGAAAGTATGATGATTCTCACATGCAATAATGAGGTTGGAGTTTGAACTACAAATCCACCTTTGATATCTTTGTAATAATAGTGTGTTCTTCTGTGAAGTGTGATATTTTGATGTAATTCAGTCAATGAAAACTTGATCTATGTTCGCATTGATTTTCTTTTGCCTCATCTTAGCTATGAATCTAGCATTAACTAATACTTGATTTGTCTACATCACAAGACTAATGTAGAAAACCTTTGGAATTTAGTTCGTTTTAATGTCACTTCAATGGGTTCTCTTGGTAAAATACTCATTTATTCAATAAAATTAATTTGTCCGACCAAAAAAAAGTTAGTGTAGTATGAAACGAAACATAGGTTAAAAAAAAAAAAAAGCTTGAAATTATTTGCATTTTTTCCACTGTCACGAAAATGAGTTGAGATATCAACAAATTAGTAAAAGGAACTATATTCTCTTAGGGAATGGATATATCATACCGGCCGTCTGGATTGGTGTCGAGGTTTGACTGAAAATATGCTTCGAAGCTCAAACATCGACGCCGACATTGGATTCCATGTGCTCGATTTGAAAATGTATTTTAAGCAAGTGATTTCAAAATTTAAGCGTTGCATAAGATGAGAAGTATATCAAGTGGCATAACGTGTGGCGGTTATGATTTAGCTATGAAAGGAAATCAACATATTAGGGATATTTGCAGTAAGTCAGGGACAATTTTGCAACTTTCTTTGAAACAAATGGTGGGTTGGTGACGTAAATTGAAATAAACTTCAAAATCCAGGGACAAATCGCAATTATGCAAACAATAACACGCAATAATTGATTGAATGCGAACGTTGTTGTCGCTTTATTTATTATTTTTTATATGTTTTTAATCTTTTGGGATTTTACCCCCTGTCCAAATTGCATCGAACGTTGAACAGCAGCTACACCGGAAACAGGCGAAGTCCCCCACCTCGAGAATCCATGATTCTCTGAAGAATAAGGTAATCTTTGGCAACTGCAGTCTTGGTCTTCATTTGGGTTTCTGTTAATGTGATTGTCCGGCTGAGGGTTGGTGACAAATTTGAGTTCTTGAACTCAGAACAGTCGCCATTCCTCATTTCTTGAATAATCTGAAAATCAAAACTTTCGACCCTCATCTTTACCAAAAAAAAAAAAACTTTCGACCCTCCATTTCGTTCTTGAAGCTGTGTGATCAGCAAATTAAGTGGTGGGTTCTCTTGGTATTAGCGCAAGGGTTGATTAGCTACTAAATTGAAGTTCTTTTTTTTTTTTCCTTTTCAATTTTTGTCTTCATTTGATAGCACCAGTTTCAAGAATTGTGTTTTGGGAGGACATGGGTGGAGATGGGTTTCTTTCCCTTTGGAGGTTTGTCGTGCTTCTTCAGTTGATCAGTGGTGTTCTTGGTTGGGGAAAGGAAGGTCACTATGCAATTTGCAGGATAGCAGAGGTAATTTAACAATTCTTTTGGTGTTATATTTTTTTTTATCTCCTCCTTTTTACTAATCTGCTTCGGTTGAGGACAATCCAGATGGCTTTTTGAAAAGAGCTCTGAATTCATTCGTTATGATCTTGATATGCCCTTCATAAGGACTATTGTGATAGCTTAAATTTTAGCATCGATTCGTCTGCTTCACTCCAAATGTTTTCCCCGCAGACCAGTTGGAAGAGTTAGCTTCTATAGCTAAAACTTGCGTCCTTGGCTGGGTTGTTGGCTATATTGTGTGCGGAAGCTTTTAGCGTTCTTCTTTATTGAGTTACTTTTCAATGAATACAATTAAGGCAGTCCGCTTTCAGATTCTAGTTGGTGTACTACACATATATCAGCTAATCGAAAACTTTGGAGGTGGCTTTACAGAAAAAGGTTGGGTTTGTGGTTGATAGATTCGGTAAAAACTTTTGCAAGGTTAGGGAATTGCAAGAATAAATGAAAGGGGTTGTTGGAAGGTAAGTTGTAGTTGATCTAATTCTTATGCTCCGGTCGATTGCATTGATTTTATATCAGATCTCAACTAAGATCAAGGGGCATTCACTCAGCTAGGTAGGAAGAGGTGGGAGTGGTGACTGATAATGGGGTTCCAACTCCTATCATCATATGGTTGCTTAAATCAATGTACATAAGGTGACTAAATTGGAGTTTCATTGGTATTGGCTTTTGGTTGGAAATAATTGATTTATCATCTTAAATGTGCAAGGAGTATCTAACTGACGATGCCAAGGCTGCAGTAAAACGGTTGCTTCCTGATTATGCTGGAGGCGATCTTGCATCTCTTTGCTCCTGGGCCGATCAGATTCGCTTCCACTATCACTGGAGTGGTGCTTTGCACTATGTTGACACACCAGATTTCAAGTGTAACTATGAATACTGCAGTGAGTTGTGTACCTTTCCTGCATTGTGAATCTTCTTCTCTTAGCAACTATATCTTTTTATAGCGCATGCCATATTATTCTTGCTTTGAGATAGCGTTAAGCTTGCCTTGAACTGATTCTTGTACTCTTTATGCATCTGTTGTCAAACTACTTTGATATATGCATCCACAGTTTCATCTATTTAATGCTCTTGCATCATCTAAGGTATTCTGGATATTGCAAGCAAGTTATTGCTTTTTTGATTTAGTAAATTACGTAAAGCACACTTGAGGCAGAGGTGACTGGAACTAATTCCAAACCTTGGTGCTTGAGTAACTAAATCAGTCATGCTATATTTTCTCTTGAAGAATAGGGCATGTGTTTGCTTGTAGTTCTTATATGCAGTATCGAATGGTGGCTATTAACACTGATTACCTTGCCCTGGCTGTTGAAATTTATGTAAGAGCTTAGGTGACAACGACCTCATTATATTGTGCAAAGACTCATCGCTATCACTCTAGAGTCTAGGTTAGAGATCAAAATAGGTGAGGTTAAGATATGCTTGATTGGCCTAATGTATTATACTCCTCATGTCTGTCATTAAACCTTGGCCATTATTGTTCTTACTAAACTTAGTGCTAAAAAGGGGAAAATAATGCTCTCTACCTTTTATTTTGCAGGAGATTGCCATGACTCTTCCGGGCACAAAGATATGTGCGTTACTGGGGCAATCTACAATTATACAAGGCAACTCGAATCAGCTGGCAACTCCTATGCAATAACAAATTGTAAGCATCATTTGCTCTTAGGATGCATCAATGCATGTCCTTTCCCTCTTTACGATCTTTCCATCTTGGGGTCTCACTCCTTGCTGCTGATTACAGACAATTTAACAGAAGCGCTTCTTTTCTTATCACATTTTGTTGGGGACATCCATCAGGTTTGCACTTCTGGAATCTCTTAGCAATGATGAAGAATTGAGATTTGCCAAATGTTTTATAGCTGTCAAATAAATAGCTTTTGCTAATTTCACGTATTTTTATTCTCTCAAAAGTAAACTGCACGGTAGTCATTGAGAAACATCTTGCACGGGGTAGATAATCTACCGCAAGCAGGGAATTCTTAATTGCGTATGACTTCGTCTTTAGGGAATCCATGGTTCACCTCATCCATAAACTATGAAAAAATCTTAGGTTAACTATCTACTTCTGTCTGGCAGCCCCTCCACGTTGGTTTCACGGGAGATTTAGGTGGAAATACAATAATTGTTCGTTGGTACCGGAGGAAGACTAATTTACACCATGTAAGTGTTTCTTCCACTGATCAAGCCTCGTGGCCTGTCCAGTCCATTGCCAATGGAGTAATATGAGAACATCAAGTGTGCAATAATTCAAGATATATGACAAGGAGCAGTGCCATCCTCTAAGATAGAAGAAATCAATCTTCTGTAATGCCTTGATATTTGACTATTTTGTCTTAGAAATTTTATGTGAAGGAGTGTAAAGGTTGAACCAGAAGGATGTTTTATGCTGTTGATCTTTCCTCATCTTAGAGTCTTCTGAATCATGAAGCTTGTGCGAGACTAAGTTGATCTATATAGGATAAAGCATGTCTACTAAGTGAAAGTACGAACTCGTATATGTTATGATTATTCTTAGGCGGGATATTTGATTTTAATCCAGTCTAATGTAATTGAGAGCCATGAGAACTGACCAACCTTATGTACAAGGGACAAGATCAAGTTCATTTTCAGTTTTACCCATCTCTTAACTAAGTGTCCTTGTAGTCTTCCTGTCTGTCAACTTTGCCAATTTGCCAGTAGTAACTGCTCTCATCAATTGGGATGATCTTGTTGTCATGTGATATAAAACTAACAAGAAATCCTTACATCTGGAAAAATGATATCATTTCAGGTGTGGGACAACATGATTATTGATTCCGCATTGAAAACATTCTATCAGTCTGATCTTTCTCAGATGATTCAAGCCATTCAGAGAAATATCACGGTATCGTTTTCCAATTTTAATTCAGATTGTTATATTTTTCATCATCTTCTAATTCATGCCCGAAAATTGCGCTATGCTGTTGTAATTAGTCTTGCTTAAGTAATAAATCTCATAATTTTCATAAGGCTTATTAGTCTCATAATTAGTCTTGCTTAGTAGTCATTAAGCTTCATTCTGTTTGTTTATTCGAGGGATTAGAAAGTAGAAAAGTAACTCACAAAGTCCATTGGGAGCTGAAGATGTTGTATCATGGGATATGACTGCTAGAATAATGAGACTTATCTAATTACAAAGTGCAGAATATGGCTTCCAGGAGTTTAATCATGTAAAAATATTGTAGCTGTGTAAACTGAAGGTTTTGCTGTTTCTTTGTTTGATAAATTGTAACCTATTCAGCTTTTTATGCCATTGCACCCTAGAGAAGCCCGATCTTCTTCATATGGAGTGCACTTTGATAGTCTTGTATAGGGTAATGGGAGGTGCTCTGTCTTTGTAGCTGTCAGCGCCTTTTTCATTTGTCAAATTAATATTTTGTACCTAAGTTTCAGTTGATAATTACTATATGATAATCTGATCTTACAAGTCATTTAATTTAGAGTTCAGTGAGAGCGTGTCCCATCATGCAAAATCATGCATGCACAAGTGTTATAACCGTGTAACTGTATTTTCTTTACCTTTTCTATATATCTTGGTGTTTTAGGATGGCTGGTCCAATGATGTACCATCTTGGGGAGATTGTGCAGCTAACAATACAGTTTGTCCTGATCCGTAAGTCTTAACTTTTGCTTTTACATGTGCTGATCTTAGTCAAATTGATTGTTTATCGTGATGCCACGCCACGCGTCACCGATGCGTGATTTATAACACTTCTAGTCATGCATGTATTCTTCAGGCTACCTCTTTTATGAGTATAGTTTTTATCCTGCAAATAGTATCCCAGGGTGAAGCTGACCTAGCAAATATACGCACGGATCAATGGGCTTTGTTGCTCAAGATTCAGTTTTCTCATATCTTGTAATTTAAAGGAACATCAACCAAATTGTGTGACACCATCTTTGTTTTTGCAGTTACGCTTCTGAAAGCGTCAAGTTGGCATGTAAATACGCATACAGGAATGCCACGCCAGGAAGTACTCTAACAGGTCCACTTTCCTTTTTCTTTTTCGTTTGCTTTTCTGGTGGGTGAAAATTGAATTTCTCAATAATGGATTGTAAAACTAATAGAAAGTACATATGTATATTTATCATTTACCACATTCTGGTAACGACATTTATTGATAGATAGCATGTCCTGTTTTTTTTTTTTTGGTCGAAATAGCGTGTCCTGTTTGAGAGATGTGAGATGTCTCCAAATCTGCTTACTGCTTTATGTGCTGTTAAAGCTATAACATCGAACAGGTCAAAAGCTATAACATGCATTGTAATGGAGATGAAAGTGCAAAGATGTTGATTGTTTTACTTTAAATTCACATGAAAATTGCTTCAAGAGGACATCTCATCCTATTTTTTCCGCCAGTATCCTAAAATGTCAATTGACCCAGTACAAATTTTGTTGGCACTAGACATATCACAACCATAACTGCCTCAATTTTGTTGCATAGTTATTTTGTCTTGCGTACTGATAGCATATTGATCTTCTTCCATGTAGACGACTACTTCCTCTCTAGGCTGCCCATCGTGGAGAAGAGACTAGCTCAAGCTGGGGTCCGATTGGCGGCGATCCTCAACCGGGTTTTCGCTTCTTCAAATCAAACTGCACTTGAATGAAAGACGATTGGAGTACACCAACTATTTCTTAAGCTTACGGCGTGGGGACCAGATAATTCAGCTCAGCCACATGGATGATCTACAATGCCGAATTGTCTACCTATATTCTCTTCTTCTGTCATCCTTTAAAGGCAAAAAATAATTGCACACTCTGGCCACCTAATCCTCTCACTCCTATTTTATATGTTGATTCTATGTATATCCCAGAATATGCCCCAATCTCTTGCATCTCATGTTAGTCAAACTTTTGGTTAAAGCAAAAAACAGTTACAAGTGCTAGCGTGCAAGCAATGGAACCGTTCTCATAAGTTGTGTATGCACATCTTATTGTTGTTCTTTTGATCATTTTCATCGTTCCAATATACATACAACGGCTATATAGCAGAGATCGGTTTGAGAGGAAGCTTGTGTTGTTTTGAGTTTCGACGAAAATGTCTTCTCTCGGGTTGTTCGTGTCGATGAGTATGGTTTTCGTGTTAATGACTGGGGTCCATTGCTGGAGCAAAGAAGGGCACATCATGACTTGTCAAATTGCACAGGTAATGTTTTTTTAGTGTGGTCCTGGGAGTCCTGTTTATCCATTTCTGCAGCTGAAAATCCTCAGGAAATGGTCGGAAAATGGGTGAATTAAAGTCATCTTTGACATTTTCGTTATCTGTATACCACTTCTCCGACTGAGGTTTGCTCCGACTTACACTTGTTGAGGTGGAAAGAAGACCATGTCCCATTTAATTGTTGTTTTAAGCTCTTGTTAGCCTTTGACAGGCTCGTGCGAGCTCTAGTTGCCACACAGTCGTGTGAACTTTTACCGGGTAATCCGCTGCCAATTTATCATACGATCACACCGGGAACAAACGAAAAATAACGATTTCGATTAGCTGCTCAAATTCCAGTCGATCGATCTGCTATAAAAGCCTAGAAAATCTACGTATTTGTAGTGCAAATTTGGTCAAATGAAAATAAACATTCCAAATTGTTTATGGCATGCCGATTTTATCTCTTAAGAGTTAAAAAGTTCCGCTACCGTTCAACCTCTATGTGATTATCTATACAAGAGGTGCGACAGCAGATGCCCTGAGATTCTCGATGAGAAGATCTTCACTAATTGCAACTGCAAAAGCTTGATGGGTCACCTATACCGTAACTAGCAAGCCAACTATTGCTTTCTATTTTGCAGTCCCTACTGAAGCCAGAGGCGGCCGAAGTCGTCCGGCATTTATTACCGCCATATGCCAACGGCGACCTCTCGTCGCTCTGCACATGGCCTGACCAAATCCGGCACTGGCACAAGTATCAGTGGACGAGCTCGCTCCACTTCATCGACACGCCGGACAATGATTGCAGCTTCGATTATGCTAGTAAGACGCTTTCAGTTCAATTTCTATGGCCTTAGAGCCTACACATAGATAGAAGAATGTATGATACTAGTGGAAAATTATTTCACATGGTTTCATTAGGGGATTGCCATGATCCACATGGCAAGAAGAACATGTGTGTTGCTGGTGCCATCCAAAACTTCACTTCTCAGCTCTTGCATTACAAAGGGGGAACTGCAGATCGAAGATGTAAAATTTATGAAGAAATGCTCTTTGTTTAATTTATTTTAGCCTCTGAACATGATATTCTAAACGTAAGTTTGTTAGCATTACAGATAACATGACAGAAGCATTGCTGTTCTTGTCACACTTCATGGGAGATATTCATCAGGTAATCCATTCTGCTCTAAGCATTATTACCTTCTGATCTCTATAGTTCATGAAGATATTAGTCATCTTTGCTAAATAATATTCGCTGTTCATCGCATTTTCGGCCAGCCGATGCACATTGGGTTCACGAGCGACAAAGGAGGGAACTCGATCGAGTTGCGCTGGTTCAGGCACAAATCTAATCTTCATCATGTAAGCAGCATGAACTTCGATTTCATATTTCCCTTTTCCACTCGGTGAAAAGAAAAAACACCCATTTCATTCGCTGACGTTTTGTTTCTGTACCATCAGTTTGCTTGGACGCCACTGCGTTTGCTCAAAAATAGCTTTTGCGTTGCGTTTAAGCCAAATGACGCAATAAACTTAAGAGGCTAACAATAGCTAAGCCTTGCGTTGCCTGATGCTCATCCCTTGATTAGCCTTGCCTTGCACATGTGCATTCATGTGATGTGCACGTGCGGTCTCCCAGAAGCTAGAGGGCCAACTAATATGAAATGGAGATGCCATTTGACTATTTGTTTTCTCTTTTGGATGAATAGGTATGGGATAGGGAGATCATTTTGACTGCAGAAGCAGATTATTATGAGAAGGACATGAGCCTCCTCCTTCAAGACATTGAGGCCAACTTCACTGATGTACTCTCTCTCTCTCTCTCTCTCTCTCTCTCTCTCTCTCTCTCTCTCTCTCTAGTTCAAAGTGATCTCATAGCTCCATTTTAAGGATTATTAGTGGAAAGAAGTCGATCCTGCGTTTAAATGTTTCTTCAGTTCTTGACTTGTCTGTAATGCCTTTGTAATTAGATTTTTGCTGCCTTTTTTGCTGTTGTGACATCAGGGGGCTTGGTCAGATGACACTTCGTCGTGGACCGACTGTGAAGACCTCGACTCATGTCCGACCAAGTACGCAGCCGAGAGCATAGCCATCGCCTGCAAATATGGTTACAAAGGTGTCAAGTCCGGCGTCACTCTTGCAGGTAAAGATTCATAGCCTCAGTAGGATTCCTGACTATAAGCTTAACATCTGCAGAATGTATTTGAGGAGAGATCCTTTTGCCTGAGTTCGATCTATCTAACTAAGCAATATCGCATTTCATGAAACGCGACCGTCGTTCGTAGCGTCAGTTAGGCGACACGGAAGCACGCAATCTTGCCCGTAATAGTGTGGGTTATCGATATCAACTGCACATCTACGATATACTAAAACATGACGTGTGTCGAAATGTCGTGTGATGACAGATGACTACTTCAACTCGAGGATGCCGATCGTCATGAAAAGAGTCGCTCAAGGCGGAGTCCGATTGGCGATGTTTCTGAATCGGGTTCTTGCTGATGATGACCAAGAGGAAGACGGGTTTGCATCACCGACATAGGCACCTCATTTCTCATGATACGAAAAACATTGACCAAGAATAAGAACAACTAATTCAATTGGATTAGAAAGAAATGCCCATTACATTGATATTTAAGTATTTAATCACGAATTATCTTCTAAACCGCCCAAGTAATTAGTTATATGAAAGAGACATGATTAGAGCCAAATGAAGACATGTCCCCTCACGTGGCAACGCCATGAACTAATGTTCCAAATTCTTTGGAAGTTAATGATGTCTTATTTATGTAATTTCTATAATTATTTCAGAAGATGCGTAGCCCTTGATCCTTGTATATGGTCTGAACTGTATTTCATTCAATAAAGCAAATGGTCCTTAATTTATATTCTTTTTTAGCAATGTGATTATATTAATCAGCACGTGTTTGGTTGGAATAATATGTAGAGATTTGCAACTTGATTACAACTCTAATGCCGCATTTGTTTCGCGAAAAATGAATTATTCATAAGATATTTTCCTAAAAATAATGGTTTTTATTGCTTGAAATGATTAGCCGATGAAAAATGTTTTCGTTATTTGACAACAATTTATATTTAAATATTTTCGTAAATGATGAAATTATTTGATATTCATTCACTTTTATATGCAATACAAACAATCATTTTTAGGAAAATATTTTTCAATTCATTCAATTTCCAAAAAACAAACGCACCCTAAATATAATGTCTATGTCTATATTAAATTTCCTACGTTGCTTTACTTCGGCAGTTGACGAGGGTTTGGTGGCCTGTCAAGTGCATGCGAGGAGAACAATCTACCTGTTATACGTCATTTCATAATTTTTTTGGACAAAACATAGTTTCCTTTATATCGGTGTAAGTTCCCTTGGTCCTATAGTTCGTAATACTCCACAAAAGAAAAGTAATACACCTAAGTCAATAGTAAATATCGTTTTTCTATTGTTAGTAGATTAACTAATTGACCTGTTACTTTTTTTTGGCGTAAGTAATTGTCCTCACTAATTATAATTTATCCGTGAAATATATCCTTTTTGTTATTTGCGGGGTGATATGACAAGATTATAATGAGTTTTAGAAGTGTTCATAAGCACCAATTGCACTTGTGCATGCATGTGATGCTGGAATTAGGACAATCTCTCATGCATGCTTGCGCATGTGTATGCATGTGATGCGCACGTGCAGTATCCCGAAAGAGGGCGGGCCAACTGGTGGGCTTGGGCTGGCGGATTTGGCCCATTGGGCCGATGCAATTCCAAGAATATCTTCTTTGTTTTGTGCCCACATATTAGGAAATGTTAGGGGTGAGCAAGATGGACCGCCCAAACCGGGACCGGACCGACCGGTTTGGTTCTGTTCTCAGGAATATCGGTCCGGTTCCCAGTTCCTAAAAGTGGAACCGATTTTCGGGCTGTCCGGTTCTCGGTTCTAGGGTGGGAACCGGACCGGACCGGACCGATAAATATATATATTTCTAATTTTTTCATATATATATATATTTATTTATTTACTTTTTAAAATTTTTGAAAAAAATAGAAAGCTTAATCTAATTTTCCCAATTCCCACTTGCTTTTACCAATAAATGATTAGTCACATTGGAACCGGACCGGACCGGACCGATGGTCAAGTCCGGTCCGGTCTACGGTCCCAAGACTAGCCGATTCGGTCCTCAGTCCTAGAAACTGGGAACCAGTCCGATTCCCGGTTCTTGGGTTGGACCGGACCGGACTGATGTACTCTCTCTCTCTCTCTCTCTGTCTCTCTCTCTCTGTCTCTCTCTCTAGTCCAAAGTGATCCCGCAGCTCCCTTTCAAGGATTATTGTTGGAAAGAAGTCGACCCGCGTTTAAATATTTCTTCAGGTCTTAACGTGTCTGAAATGCCTTTGTAATTAGATTTTTGTTGCCCTTTTTGCTGTTGTAAAATAATGGGGCTTGGTCAGATGACACCCTCAGACTCATGTCCGACCAAGTACGCAGCCGAGAGCATAGCCATCGCCTGCAAATATGGTTACAAAGGTGTCGAGTCCGGTGTCACTCTTGCAGGTAAAGATTCATAGCCTCAATAGGATTCCTGGCTATAAGCTCAACATCTGCAGAATGTGTTCGGGGAGAGATCCTTTTGCCTGAGTTCGATCTATCTAACCAAGAGACATCGCATTTCATGAAACGCATCGTCGTTTGTTCATAATAGTAGTTAGTGTTATTGATATCAATCACACATCAACAATATACTAAAATATGACGTGTTGAAATGCCATGTGATGACAGATGATCATTTCAATTTGAGGATGCGATTGTCATGAAAGGAGTCGCTCAAAATGGCGTCCGGTTGGCGATGTTTCTTGCTGATGATGACCAAGAAGAAGAAGAAGGGTTTGCATCAACAACATAGGCACCTCATATCTCATAACAGGCAAAACATTGACCTAGAGAAAAATCAATTAATTCAATTGGAATAGAAAGAAATTAAAGCCCATCACATTGATATCTAAGTTATTAATCATGACTAATCTTAATTAGTTAGATGAAAGACACATGAAAAGAGGCAAATGACAGACATGTCCCCACATGTTGCAACACCATGAACCAATATGTTCCCAAATTCTTTCGAAGTTACTGATGCCTTACTTACGTTATTTCTCCAATTATTTCTGAAGGGGCGTAGCCCTTGATCCTTGTGTACAGTCTACACAGTATTTCATTCAATAAAAGCAAGTGGTCCTCAATTCATATCCTCGTCGAGCAATGTGATTGATCTTCGTGACATGGTCCTCCCCTTGCCTACATTCAATTCCCATCTGAATCTTACATATGTCTATGTCTACATTAATTTCCTACATTGGCTTTCGTATTTTCGTGGTTGACGAGGGTCGGGTGGCCAGTCATAGTGTCCCCTCCCTTCATTCCTCAATTTGTGTCGTTAGCATGGGGTCCTTAAATGATACCGGATCCCGCCTAAACGATCGCGACTTTCCTCTCACTAACAACAATTTACCCATCACTTGTCATTTCGTAAGTTTTTTTCATAGGAGATAGGACGTAGTTTTTTATCTGTCGTCGTGAGTTCTTTGAGTCTTGCGGTTCGCGATATTCCTCGAAAGAGAAGTAATATCCCTAACTTAATAGTAAATTTCTTTCTCTATTGTTGGTAAATTACCTAATTGACCGTTGCTTTTTTTTTTTGGGTGCGTAATTGTCCTCACTAATAGTAATTTATCTGTGAAATATCTTTTTGTAACATTTCTTTGGGGAGCATAATTTCTCTCTGGTGGCCGTAAGTTTTTTGGGTCATATGGTTCGTAATATTCTCTACTAACCCTATGCCTCATGGATGTCAAGTCGGTAATTTCATGGAGTAAGCCACGATACATGACAGAAGGTTTGCGCAAATAAAGCGAGTAATGTAAAATTCAATTGCAAAATAAATACCACAATGACAATAAGAATTGAAGTTGTAAGGTAAAATGTTAAGTTATGGAAACGAGAGAAATGATTAATCTGTTGTTCGACTTCATGATCCGAATGGATTCTTACTCTCTCATGTAGAAAGATTCCCTTCATATTAGTTAATAGGATTTTGCTACAAAATCCGTCCCCTTTACAAATGATAAAATTGTCCAAAAAGTCATAAACCTATTATACAATGGTCAATTCGGTCATAAACATTTCAATTGTGTCAATTTAGTCATAAATCTTTTGACGGTTTGACAATTTTGTCATTCTGATCAATTTTAACTGGAAATCCCTAATGTGGATGCTGGCCTACATGGCATAGCCAGCATTGACTGGCTAACCAATGTTGACATGGATGATTTTTAGAATTCTTTTTTTAAAAAAATTAAATTTTAAAATTTTCCTTGTGTTTTCCTTTTTTCCTTTCTTGTTTATTTTCCCGTTTCTTTTCATCAGAGACCAATCGCCTACCACTGGCCACGGGTGGCGATCGTCAAGGGCTGGCCTTGCTTGGACTGGGGTTGCCCTTGCCCGATCTAGCAAGGGCCGCCTCGTTGGCCACAGGCAAGGGTCGGCCATTGACTATGGCCAGGAGCCGGTGACATGCCACTAGTGGAAAGAAAAGAAGAAAATTTAAAAAAAATTAAAAAATTCCAAAAATCATCCACATTAGTGCTATTCATGACTGGCCACATCAGCAATTTCCGGCCAAAATTAGCCAGAATGACTAAATTGGCAAATTGTTAAATTGTTTACAACTAAATTGACACGAGGTTTATGATGAATTGGCCGCCATGCAATAAATTTAGGACTTTTGGACAATTATCCCCTTTGTAGATGGTCTAAGCACTTATTAGTCATGCCCATTAAAGAAATATTTTCATGTTCAATATATTGATTACGCATAACACAGTATTGATAGTGCATAAAATATGCAAGTTTTCCTTAACTAGGTATATTACAAGTTTTCCATGGCACTTATAAACAAAATTTGTAGTACTTTAATTTTGGCTCAAATTTGTTTATTAGCTATTCGATTTTCTCTTCTTTTTGGGTAAGTGTTCTTTACTTTTTAGCAACCACCGACCTTAACTATGAAAAAGTCTAATTACCTAAAAGAGATCTTGTTAGGGAAAATTTCAAATAAGGATATGAAGTGGGACCATTTTCTCAAAAGAGGGTAAGTGTGGATCTTAAATAAAACTCTGAAGTGACCAACCTAATCTCAAATAAGACCCCGAGCTCCTTGATCAACCAAATCTTCGCCATTTGGCAAACACATGCATCTCACGTTAGATGCACAAAAGATGCACTTGAGATGCATCTCACGCATAATAATATTAAGGAAATCGAGGAACTAACGAATCTAAGATCATTAAATCTAAGCAACTTCCACAGGCTTAAGATAATCAAACTCAGTGTACTAAAAGGCTTAATCAACTTGATAGAGTTAACGATGGATAGGGGAGAATTAAATACAATCAAAATCATGTAATGCTAGCTTGCGGAGTTGAAGAGTACGACAAAGCTAATCGCTTTGGAAATATCAGTCTGTGATCCCACCATACTCTTGGAGGACGATGACCTATCATTTGAGAACCCGATTAGATTTTAGATCATAATAGGAAATGTTTACGGGAGGGAAAGGTTTGAGAACCATGGAGTCCAAATTGGAAATGTGCAATAACATTCTTTCAAGAGAATGGGTTCAGACAACTCTGCAGAAGACTCGATACTTGCATTTGGACGAGTTGAGAGATTTCAAGAAGAACACTCACGAGTTGTGCACTTGAGGATTTCCAGAACTAAAACATCTCGATATTCACAACATCTCGAAATTCAAGTATATTGCCAATTCATTCAACGGCCTACATCTTACTGCTATCATTATTTTAGAGTCTTTGTTCCTAAAAAATCTTATTCAAGTATACCATGGCCCTATTGCACCAAAGTGCGCTGAAAGCCGTAAGTGTCAAAAGTGCTATCGTTCGAAAGACTCGCAGTTTCTTTAAGAGATACAAAGACTTGTATAGCAGGAAGAAATGCAAGCATGAGAATATGACTCAATGTGAGCCTTTGTCACAGATAAAGCTGGAGAAGATAAAGTTGCTACGGATGACACAGTTAAGTTACCTAATGTACGTTATCTGAAATTGAGTAAATTACCAAATATGATGAGCATTTGCACCAGAGTTGAAATCACATTAGGGGGCTCTCCAATTCAGGTATATTTTTCATTTTCTCTCCATGTCAGTCTGTCTTCTTGATAAGGTACAAGTTTCCTTAATTCTTAATCTTGCAAACGCTACCTAGATTATACTACTACATGAAGATGTAGGATAAGATGATATTGGCATTGGGTGAACATTAGTGCATATTGCATTAAACCTTGATTATTTATAAATGATGCATTTTAATCGGAATCCAACCAAATTTTTGGTAAAATGTCGATGATGTGGACTCACACCAATAGTAATGTAAAAGATAGAAAATACAAAGAAATGGAAGGAGATGGAAGTTAGAGAACTACTGAACCTCATCGGCAAACTTGTCATCTCATGTTAGATGCACGAAAGATTTACGTGAGGTGCTTGGGCTTGCTTGCCTACGAAGATTTGGCCGACCTGTGAGCTCGGTACTTTATTTGAAACTAATTTTTACTTTAAGATCTTATTTGAGATAATTCATTCCGAAATCTCTTTAAAAAAAAAAAGACCAATTTCGTATCTTTATATGAAATTTGTCCTCATCTGTATTGCTAAATTTACTTTTTTCTCGAAATATCAAAGTCCAAATCACCTCCATAATTCGTCCATTAGTGCCGACGCTTAATTGTTGATGTGATCGGCTAATGAGGTGTCATAGGAGTGTCAGTGAGACGAAGACTTCACACAAGTAAGAGTTGAACCATATCAAAGCTCAATGCCTTGAATTTAAAATTTTCCATGCATCTTTTCCTCACAAATTTTTTGATACATTTCATTTTTTGCACACCATTTTCCTTTGTTTTTAAAAAAAAATGCTCAGGGAAAAGAAATGATAGAAAAAGGAATGAGCAGTTATGACCTACTCGATAGCATTTAAAAAAAAAACCGTTCAGATCCGTCTGTCATTCGTCAAATCTATCACACCATTCCAATCTGCAACACTTCACTAAATTTATTTGTATGTATAATGCGGTGAGGTAGAATTGAGATCGACATTAAAATCGATAGCTACATAAAGAAAAACTTCTTCATTACAGATTGGGAAAAAAAAAGTACAAAGAGACAAAATTCGTCCATTAACCTTAACCGATCCAACCCCATTTAATGCTCATTTTCCACTACCAATTCTTCAATTCCATTATAAATTTTATCGTCAAATTACTGAGTTAAATGACACATGACAATTGATGGGTATACTAGTTTAGGGTTTTACTCCTCCATTTGTCACGAATTTACCAGTTTGTAATTTTTCATGATATTAATCCAATTTAATAAAGGGTAAATTTGTCACAAATGTATCAGTTTTGGGTTTTTTGTGGTAAAAAAATTAGCTCGAGGTAAATTTATCACCAAGTGTACCCGTTTAAGGTTTTTCAAGCAATTAACCCATTCCTTAATTCCCCAATTTAATTCAACAAAGCATGGGAGTCCCTCATCACATCTCATGCTCATAACTGTGGGAACACATGGGGGGGAGTGACATAAAAGAACACATTAAATTCATTTCATTGACCCTTCACTTAACCGATCCCAACACCACCATTTATTCACCTATTTGATTATTCTTCCTCTACTCCCCCCCCTCCCTCCTTCCTACCTCCCTTCCCTCTCGCACCACCACCTTCTTCATCTTCAACATCAAACCATTCCATCCTTCAACTTCAACTCCCGCAAGCTCAAGATCACGCAAAGACAAGAAGGATCTTTCAACAATGGGTTGCTGCATGAGCGCCCATGACCGACGACGCTCTGCTCCATCTTCCTCAGGTCACAAGAGAGCCCAGGTGAAGTCCGCCGAGTGCAGAGCTCCACCTCCTTCCATGGACGAGGAGACCGTCAAGGAAGTGCTCTCCGAGACACCCACTTGCCCGAAGAAGCCTAAACCCACGCCCGGGGGCGCCCGCGAAGCCGAATGCCCGGCGGCTCTCGCGAGGCACGAGAAGGGCCCGGCCGCCCTCGCCGCCGACGAGGCGTCCGAGGAGGTCTCGGAGGTTTGCAGCCTGAGCGAGAGCGTGTCCACCGCCACGAACCTCACCGACGACGGCGGGAGTGCCGTCCACGTCAAACCGAGGGGGGGCAACAGATCCCCCGCGAAGCCCCGGGGCCCGGCGGCCAAGTCCCGGTCTCTCTCCGGCGACGTTGGGGGTCGCGGCGATCGCGGCAGCAGATCTCGGGTGCCCGGCAACTCGCCCGCCAGGCGGTCGGACCGGTCTCCGGCTAGTGTCAACCCGGGCGGGTCGCTGAGGATGGTCCAGGGCAGAGAACCGGGTTCGTTCCGGGCAGCGCCGGTCCGCGGCGGGCGGGCGGACCCGGGAGAGAGGTCCGGGAGGAGGTCGAGGTCGCCGGCGCCGAGCCGGGGCGCCGCCGGCTCGGCAGGACCAGCGGTGGGACGGACCCTGTCCGCTCGGAGGACGAACCCATCTCCGGGGCGGGCCACGCCGGGTCCGGCCGAGGGCAAGAACCGGGAGGCGCGCGGCGGTGGTGGCGGCAAAAGGATGAGCAGCGCCAACGAGTCCCTCGAAAACCCGCTGGTTTCTTTGGAGTGCTTCATATTCCTATGAAAATTGCAAAGATGCCCCCCAAAGATATTTACATTTTCGCGCCATCCCCCCTTTTCCTTTTCAATTTCACCCCACTTTTGTCTATTTTTCACCCCTCTTTTGGGCAATTCTTTTTTTGTGCTTCAGAATATGTAAAATACGCAAGTCAACTCCGAGAGGTCAATTTGTGGATATGGGAAGATTGTGACGCAACTAAATTGACCTCAATTTTGCCTTCTTTTCCTTTTATGTCCTTCCTATTGAATTGCAATTTGGTGCACTGTCACTTTGCGTGCAGGAATCACGCATTTGATTTACTCTCGGGGGGGTTTTGGGGAAAAGGACTTACCTTCCTTTTTTTTTTGCAAATAAGGACAAGGAAAGGGCATGGTTGGGCATGGGGCTTGGATAAGAATTTTAACAATATTTGCATGTGAGGAGTCGGGGGGGGAAAAGGGTTATTTATGCTGGTTGGTGACAGATCGGTTAGGTTGGTTAATGCATTGATTCTTCAACTTGGGTAACGTGTCGAGATCGATACGCTGTCGTTTTTTTTTCCTCTCCGTTCACGCGATGACCATACGAGCATTCGTCGCCGGACGGAGCCCTTTGCCTGAGTTGAGGATGAGTGAATTTTTGTCGAAAAACCCGGGAGGAAACCGGCGCCGTCCTCGCTTGGCTCGTGCCGGTTGCGGCGGCGGGTAAACTCGCTCCCCGCGAGTGAAGCATCGCTCCCACGCCCCCGTTTAAGTCTGAAATGATGCGTCGGGAGGGATTGGACTCGGTACACGGATATGGGGATCGAATGGTACACGATCCTTGATGAATCCGAAATGTTCCTCTCTCCACCATCAATGATTTTTTGCCATCCAAATGAGTATACTAGATCCTATCATGCAAACCCTTCTCGGTGGATGTATAGAATCTCATTCAGAATTTTGGACCTCAATTGATGGGCATTTACACGGAAAATTTACCTGATAAGTTATAAATCTATTATACGCATGCCAATTCAGTTCTAAACCTTACAATTTTGTCCTACACCTTTGCGCCAAATTCTAATATAGTCCTTCTGATCAATTTTTACCGGAAATCGCTGACGTTAGCGGTCCAGTTGCCGCCAGCCGTCCTCAGTGATTTTCGACGAAAAGCGGTCGACAAGACTATATTGGAATTTCGCGCAAAAATTTAATACTAAAGTAGCAAAATTAGAAACTTTATGACAGAATTGGCATACGTACAATAGGTTAAGACTAACCGGACAATTTCTCTGCATTTAGATTGGGTCCATATATCGGGATATTAGGGTTAGAATATAATTGTTGTAGCACGAGAGAAATAGTGCACTGTAAATTTTCTTTTTATTTGTCTATTTAGTAAGCCTTTTTGTGGGACTCGTTAATATAATTCAAAAAAGAAAAAGAAGAATGTCTCCGAGACAAGCCTTGGATTCAATTCAACTCATGACTCATGCCATCCTCTTTTCCTCTTGTCCTTCTCTGTTTGGATCCAAACTTTGCTGTGCTTGTAGGCCACCAGACAAAGCAGCTTGAGTCTTGCACGACTAATCATGATTAAGCATTTTTTAACAAAAGTTCTAGGGCCCCCCAAATCATAAGCGATTGCCTTAAAAAAGCACATTTACATAGATTCGGTCATAGCATATATTGCCAATATAAGAGAAAACCTTACGCGAGCAATCTTACACGTTGTTAATTTGATATGGGTATAGTTCGTAATCCTCAAATCAATGGTATATAGCGCTACTTGTGTAAAATTTTCTTTGGTGCGGTCATCTGTGCGGTGGAAAGATCGCTAATTGGTACTCGAAATTATAAAGATCTTATAGATCTTGAATCCGAACTTCATAGGCATTCATCTAAAAACTATGGATCATATAAATTGTACTAAAAGATTCGAACATGGGAATGGGATCCAAAGTTGTATATGTGAATCAAAGGTTCCAACTTGGGACGGCTCATTCATTATTCAAATAATTACTATGTAATAAAAAGGTCACATAGTGACAAGAAATAACGTACACCAACAATGAGATTGGGCCCCCTCTATCATTCATTTCTCCAAATTAATTAACCTAGCCACCCCATAGCTTAGGGTACATTTACCCATTGAAGTAAAATGTTATATATCCTACCCTATCAACCCTAAGTCTTATTATTTTAAAAATCGTATTAGTAAATATTCTCGGAATACTCGTTAAACATACTTAGTTTAAAATAATTTATCATTAAAAATATGGGAAAGTACCAAGAACATACCTCACAGTTCATCCTATGATCGCTTACATCTCTCTACTTTTGAAAATACTAAATACAAGTAACCTGAGTTTTACCTTTGAAAATCACTTTACACCTTCGCATCAATTACATCCGGGTCCCTATTGATGCAAAAGTCATGTTATTTCCATAAATGCCCATCTCCAAATCCTACATTCTCACAATTATACAAAACACTAAAAACTGAATCACCCAAACCCTAAGTAACATGCAAAAAATAAGTTTGCAAGGAGGTACAATTTACTCTTTCCAATGTCAAGTTTTGTTTAGAGGTATACGAAAGGGATTTGCAAAAATGGAGGAGGTATGTAAATGGCCAATGAGTCAAAAGTGAGGTATGCTTTTGATATTTACTTTATAAATGGATTAATAATACCATCAGCAGAGTCACTGTATTAAAAATCGTAGGATTCTCAACATTGGTTCTTCGGGGCGTGCTTCCGAGACATTCGTCAATGAAATCCCTAATTTAAACCTCGATAAAACTAATTTAATCGAACTATACCCGGAAAAGGATTGGGTCGCGAAGGTCCGCCGTAATAAGTCTTTACCGGTTAATTGGGTTGCTTATTCTGCAACTTGTCTTTTGGAATTGCCGTGTTCTGAAACCCGTACTTTATCTACCCAAACTTTTACTCATTTGCTATGAATGCTTTTTCGACCAAAAAGAAGAAGCAAGCAAGTAAACATTTTTCCACATCGTTTCCATGTTGAAAATCCCAAACTGCATCAACCGAAACACATTCTCATATCTCCATGATGCAATTCGTGTCTATCTAGATAGACAACATTGCACCACGGACTCCTATATATTGTAATTTCCTTTTTATGTAATATCGGTCGCTAACCATCATGCCGTTCCATGAAATTGAATTTCTGACGACACACGGCCAAAAGGAGGGGGAAAAAAACCCGTTATGGAGCCGTTGGGAGCATGGGAACAAACATACGTAAATATACATTTTCGTTATTAATTGCAAAAGAGAAAGAAAGAAATAGACCCCCAGAAAAAATAAAACAAATAAAATAGAAGGGGGGGCTTTAATTTTATTTATTTGTTGGGCTTTACTATGAAGGCAAAGCCGAAATTGGCAGCTTCACTTTCAATCCCCCACCCCCCAATTCACGTGATGTTGGGGATCAGATTTGGGGCAAAGGGAAAAAAGAACAATTCAAGATCAAGCATGCAAGCTCGATGGAAGCTAGAGATTCATCTTACAGATGAAAGTCGCAGTAACTGTTTGAATCGGGCAAAAGCGAAGAAAGACGAACATTACAGAGTGTTCGATTTCAGCACACAAAAGTGACGTTTTTTCTGCTCCGGCATGTTATTTCAAACCAGGCTAATGTAAACAAACATACCAGAAACAAACTAGGGAAACTCCGAATCCAAGCCTAGAGTCTAAACTAGTGATTTAGGCTAATGTTTGCCAGCAATCGCGCGCGCGGGGCAAGGGCAAGGAGGGCCTCGATCCAAGCGGCGAGGGTCGGCGGGCGGGCGAGAGCAGAGGCGCACCCGAGCGGCGAGGAGAGGGGAGGGGAAGGAGATGGAGATGCGGAAGCCAACGAGAGAAGAGAATGGGAGTTGGGGGGAGGGGGGGGGGGGGGGCCACAACTCGCCGTCATTTCGGTTCCCCAAGGTTCGTATGTAGCCATTTTTAGTGTGGATTTAGGGCAGTCCAAATACTAAAGTATTTTTCTCTTGAAATGATTAGTCAATAAAAAAATGATTTTGTTATCGGGAATAATTTATGTCTAAACATTTTCGTGAACGATGAAAATATTTTTTGTTCATTTATTTTTGTAAGCAATACAAACTATCAAATTTATGAAAAATATTTTTTAAAATTATTTATTTTCTGCGAAACAAACAAAAAATCTGCAATCATAACCATTTTAGAAATTTGGGCAGAGCACATAGAATAGGGAATGGGCCTGGGCCATACCACTTAAGAATTTATATATGGATTAGACTTTAAAGCTCAATGTGCTTCTGCTTTCCAGCCCAAATTGTTTATTATACTTATTTACCTATTTGTTTATTTTATATCGGAAAACTCGGAGCTGAGACGAACTTGAAGCCTTGATATTGGCAACTCATCCACCTATCCATTTGTCCTTTTTTCTTTCAATACTAACATCCAAAGCACTTGAATTTACATTTAATATTTTAATCTGAGTACTTAATTTCGGTTTTCAATCAAGTATCTCTATATTTTGATTTTCAATCAAGTACCTCGGCTTTTCAAATACGAGTTGAGGCATTTGTTAAAATCATGGAGGAAAAAAATGCTAACATGGACATTAACGCCATTAAATAGCCATGAATTGTCCATAGTGGCATCCAACGTGACATCTCGAGATGATGCCATATCAACAGAGACATACTGGATGGCCAAAGTGATATAAATGGTACCCTCTCTCTTTCTCCCCTCATCTCTCAACACCTCGATGGAGACGACAGACATAACTTTTACCGAGCGAGCGAGCGACTTAAGTAAAATCGCATGACACGGCAAATTTTATATAATGAAGGTCCATATCGAGCCAAATATGAAAAATTTGGGATCCTTGACTAAAAAATAAAATAAAGCAATTTAGATAATCGATTGCATGACGGGGCAATTTGGTTTTTTCGGTGGGCAATAAGCTACCAATTTTTCATGCACATTTGTTTTTTCACCCATAAGCTAATAAAAAGGGGCAAACAGAAAATGCCCAGAACCTAAAATTGCATTTTCGAGACTAGATGTAAAGAAGATTGGCTAAACTAGAAGGGGGGCTAAAATAAGCCCACTTTCGGCCTTCATTTGCAAACTCTATGATGATCTGTACAAAGAAAATGAGGGAGCTCATCACTAAAAGAGAAGACCCCAAGAAAACTCTCTCATTCTTGACTCAAGAATGACAATCAAAAGCCCCAATATCCTCACGGCTCAATGCAATGGGTGCTGAAACCCCGTGTGACAGATCGTGTGGTGATCGAGCAAACGAGTTCGCGAGGCGGCGATCAAGATGGGGCATTGCGTCGGTGAGAAGGCCACAAGATGTTTTCCCGGGGACAAGGCACAGGAGCTGGGTGGGCGATGTACGACGGGACGTCGTCCCCGGGCATGAGCACCGAAACTCCGTCATCATACACGGTCATCTGCATCCACAAATGTCGAAATCATGTTAGCCTGTTTTGCTAATTCGCAGCTGTTCTTTCGTACCAACATCACTTCACTGTGGTCAAATTGCAGCAGCTATGCATTCATATTGTTGGACCAATGGTACCAAAAGCTTTAAGCCATCAGAAAACAGTCTCAGAATGCATGATAAACATATTTTTCGACACACAATCTTGCAACATGCTGTCATTTCGATCGCGAGGTTGAAGGGAATGCGATCATATTCAAACAGACGAGCCACTGTAGCGCATGTCATAGAAGATCCTGACATCAAGTGGCAATGGACAATCAAAGGTAAGATATTCACAAGAAAACCAAATAAATTACAATCATGTGGCAGTGCTTCTGGTGATGCATCTTCTCTTGTTCTTTTCCAATCAAACCCGACCTGTTTAAGAAGGTGACCAGTGTACAGGAAACTGAAACTGATCGACAAATTTTGACCTTTTCCAAACCGATATTGAGAGGGTGTGTCGCATAAGGCGGATTTCTACGGATAATTAGCCGGATATAATCAGTACATCTTCGCTTGACACAGTCTTCGATGAAGCTTTCGAATTCAGAATTGTCAAGATTGGTCGACGAATCACTGAAGTTCAACCTATTTACCTAATCGACAAGTCATTCACAAAATTTCCCATCATGGCAATGGGAAATGCCCGAGAAAGCGGCTGTCATCGACACCATTTCATGCTTAGAAAAGATTGGGGCGCAGGGGCGCGGGATTACTTTCGGAAGAAGCTGTCGCGATTTCTTAACATCTAAAGAAACGAAGTCGGGGCTATGAATATTAAATAAGCTGATCGATCGAACAGTGGATTCATGCTTGGTCCTTGATGGTTTGTGTGTTGCGGGAAGTGGCAGAAACAAGAGTGTAAGTAAATGGGAGGTGCACAAAGTTCGTATTTACAATGAAGAAAAGACACTTCGTATCTAGATTAGTTGGGGGAGGATATAGCATCCACAGTGGGAGTTGGCTCTTTATTATCTAGAATACTGCTACAACGCAAAAGGCTTATTACACAAGTTTTGTGGGCATATCTTCGTTCGATTCTTGCATACGATCCAACTACTTAGATACTCATTTGTAACATCACTATATAAATTCATTTTGTCTATCAATCTCTCACCTCTCTCTACAATCCAAAGAAAGAAGCCCTAAATTTATTTTCTTCAAAACTAAAATTGCAAGCCCAAAAGATGAAGAAAGAAAGCAAAAGCGTGAGGCATAGGCCAAAGGGTAGGCACCAAAGCCTCTGTGTCAGAGTCGCAATCATCATTCTAAACCCCAAAATGGTCAAAAAAACGAAAACATCAGGCGTCAAAAGAAGGCAGAAATTTCCTACACATTATGAATAATTCCCCACCCTTTTTTTTTTCCAATTGAAAAGTCAGAGAAGCAGTCAAAGGGGAGAACCAGACGTGCCCAATGAAAAGGTTATAAAGAAAGCTACAACCTTTTAAAATGGTCCCAGAAACGAAAATTAAAATATATATATAAATAAGATCACTACAAGAACACCCACATTCTTTTGGATGAATTATCAAAGTCACAATTTTCACTTTAAAGATTGAATTTTTTTGTATATCTTTGTAACCAAGTTGTAATGATTTTGATGAAATATTGACACTCTCTAACTATCTCTAAATTCGATTAAATCCCATGTCGAATGGCATTGCACTGAGCTCAACATAGTTTTCAAGAAGGGATTTTTCTAAAACCACATGAAGATCTCATGCAAACTTTGCAAAGAAATCGTCTGATGGAATGCTCTACAGGGTGAAACTCACGCGAAAGACGAAGCGAAACCCTTCCTTCTTTCTTTTTTACCTTAAAAGTTCACGAAAGACGCATGATGTTCTTTTGGCTAGCCGAGCAAAAGAGGGACTTACTTTAGGGGACGGGTGGCCGAGTTTCCCGGCGTGGTCCCGGGGCTCGAGATCCACGCGCTGCCGAGCGCCGTCGCGTGGGGAGGGGGACGGGGACGGGGAGGGGCGGAGGAACTTCTCGAAGATGGCCATGACCAAGAACATGGAGATGAGGACGGCGGTGGCCACGAAGCCGAAGGACACCGCGTTGACGGAGTCGTACTCGAACTGGCTCCCGCCGCTGCCGCCGTCGCGCGGCGTCGTCAGCGAGCTGGGGTCGTGCTGAGGGTGGTGGTGGTGGTGGTGGTGGTGGTAGTGAGGAGCTCCGATCGGCGGCCATTGATGACCGGCCAAGCTCAAGCCTCGCGCTCTCGCCATCGTCGTCTTCAGGGCATCGCTGATGTTTCTGGGTCACCGTGGAGAGACAGAGAGAGAGGGAGAGAGAGAGGGAGAGAGTCTTGAGGCTTGTGTTGTTTGACGGTGTGACGATGCAGCGTGTGGGCCTGCGCAGCAAGTACTCGAGCTTTTCGAGTTTTTCTAACACAGAAGAGAGAGAAAGAGAGGAGAGAGAGAAGAGAGAGAGAGAGAGAGAGGGCTTTGGAATTTGGAGAGCTTGTTTTGTTCTTCCGTGCTTTGCTTTGGGAACGTGTATATAAAGAACGTAGCAAAAACTTTAAAAAGATATCAACTTCAACTTGTTGTATATTTAAGGGATGATGACACAAATAATCTCTAAATTTTTGCATAATGTGTAATATGATTTATAAACTTTTAATTTGTTCAATATAGTACCCAAATTTTAATCCAACGTGCAATGTGATCTCTGAACTGTTAATTTGTTTCAATATCGTCAATTTTGGTATATGTTCACACATGGACCAGATTAAACAAATTAAATATTCATGAATCACATTACATATTGGATCAAAGTTTAAGGATCATTTCAGTCACTATCTCTTTGTTTAAGTGATAAATTAGATACGGTGAAAAATAAAATTGACCCGAATAAATAAAACATGTATCCAGAATACGCGAAGTCAAAACAATTATGTTAATTTGAATTTTGTTGACAGAGGCTCTTAAAACATTTATAATTACACGCTTAAATAACTATGTCATTGAGTCCACCGGAAATATTTACCAATCAAAACTCTGGGTAACAATGCTTTTTTGGTTGTTTATTTTTCAAAAAAATATAGCACACTGCATTTGGAAGAAATAAAAAAAATGACTTTCTTGAGATTTTTTTTAACACCCACAATAATGGAAAAATCCAAGAACAAGGCTAGGCCCATGGAATATCTTTTGAATACAATTCCCCCTGAAAGCACCCAACAATAATTGAGTATAATTCCTAGACAAAAAGTGAATTTTTATTAAAGATGGGACACGACATTTGCTTTGCCATTTTTGCTGCTGCGCTTTTCACGGCAGAGCAGAGTTGATGGATATTTTCGTATAAGGGATAATGACACAAATAATTTTTAAATTTTTGTCAAATATATAATGTGATTTCTGAACTTTTAATTTATTTAATATAGTCTTTGAACTTTAGTATGATGTTTAATATGATCTATGAACTTTTAATTTGTTTAATATGGTCCTTAGACTTTCGGTACGTGTTCAATTTAGTCTTTAAACTATATGAAAATATTCAATGTAGTCCCTGAACTTGAATTAATGGAAGAATTACACTGAACATTTTCATATAGTTCAGGGATTAAATTGAACATGTACCAAAATTTCAGGGATCACATTGCACATTGGGTTAAAGTTTGGAGATTACATTGCACATTGGGTTAAAGTTCGGGAACCACGTTGAATATTGGACTAAAGTTCATGGATTATTTTTGTCATTTTCCCTTCATATAAAAAAAAAGATAACAAGGGAAAAAAATCAAAAAATATATGCCTATATAGACATTCTCCTCCTAATAATTATAAAAAATTGAAATGGAGCATATATTTAACAAATTACCATAAGGAACAAGCAAAGCAAGGAAGTACGTGTACCCATTTTTTATGCCGGGAAGGCGACAAGGCAAGCTGTGGTTGTGGCCTAGCTTCTTCTCTAGATACTTCTTGTTGGACATCTTCAGAAGTTCCTTGATGCGGACACTTCAACGAAGTTGGAAAATCTTGTGTAGATCTTTGATTTAGCTATTTCTAAAGTTGAAAACTTCATATCTTAGACGACCCTCTTCTTTATTCCTATTACTATGGTGAGTTTGTACAGATGCGAGAGCGACTATGATTTTGGCGATCCAAAACTTTTTCAAAAGCTGGTCCCAGAATCACCACTTCCGCAACTGGGCTCTCCAATTCCAATCGTCCCCACCCAACTTCATCACCAAAAGGAAATAAAAAAAAAATCCATTTTTTAAATTTATTTTGGAGGCTGAAAAAAAAAAAAGTCTTCACATAAGTCATTAAACTGCTCCTATTGGCTGTTTAACCGATAATGGGCTCGCCCACATTTTCTGTTCTTGTATATAAATCCGTTAAGTTATAAAAATGTGTCAATTGGCTCATGGTGTTTAGGGAGAATGGATTGTCATCATTATTAATGGTGAATTCAGTGGAAAAAGGCTTTTAATCTTTTTTACGTTATCTTGAAAAGGAGCAATTTGCTTTTGTTCCTTTGCATGGGAAAACATGGACCAACACATGATGAAATCATCAAAAAGCCAAAAAAAGGAGAAAAAAATAAAAATAAAATAAAAACACACCTCTAATTGAGTTTTGGGGGACCTCCCAAAAGTAATTTTAAGTGGATCCCATGAGGAGGAAGCAAAAACCCCCCAAACATGTTCAATCCCCCACCACCTTCCCATCTTGTCCATGCATTGGCATGACAAACAAGGAGAGGACTCTTCCTTGCCTTTTCTTCTCAAGGCAAAAGGGCATATGGCCACTTGAACCTTTCCCTTTAGTTTTTTTACAAATTTCAATGAGAAAAAAAAGTTTATTAAGTTATGCCTTATACATGTTAATTTATGATATTGTTAATAGGGGTGATCGGTTCTCGGGTAGTCCGATTCCCCGGTGGGCCAATCAAACCGGTGGCATATTCAGTTTTTTTTTATTAGTCGTTAATGATCAAGATGAAATTGAAGATGTTATTGATAATCAAGGCGTATCTACAATCATTACATTGCAAGTTTTACAGAGATTTTTCTAATTTGTGGCAAAATTTAGTTGGAATGAGCAACTACTGTTTTGTTTTGATTTGTTCTCGTCATTTTACTCACGCGCATAAGCAAATGTAGTCGTTCTAGCCTTGAAGGGCCTTCATTTGTGAAATGGCAGATAGATTAAGGATTTTTTTTTTACAATTTTTTAAGAAAAAAATTTAAAAATAAAAAATATATATGTACGATTTGGGTGGTTCGGGTGGGCAATTCCACACCTAGAACCAGGATCCGGACCAAAATTCACCGGTTCCAATGTTATGGAACCGAGAATTGAATCGATGCCCCTAGGCTTGGCCTAGAACCGGCAGTCCGATCCAGTCTGGGCGGTTCTTAATCTGGGAACTTCCTTTTGCTCACCCCTAATTGTTAATCATATCAAGTGGCCATTGTTTATAACTTATGTTTGGAAGCAATATGAACAAATTACCCATTCAAATGAACTGAGAGCACATCAATTCGTCAAGTAGGTCATGTTCATTGTTAATAACTCGAAGTTACTTAGAAGCACATACTTTAAAAAAAATTTATCCCTGGAGTACTATGATCAGACTTTAATCTTTCTACATTTAAGCTGCGTACTGAGAAGGGACAAACCGGGTTGAACTTGTTTGATAGCCATCGAATGAAGCTGCGCAGAGAACCAAAGACAATGAAGATAATCGATGATCGTCCCTTCAAAATATAAAGGAGGGTATTGCAAATGCTGTGACTTTTTGCCAAGAGACCAATCAAATGTAAATGGAAGTTATCTTCTAACAGCGTAGTGATCCCAACAATATAAGTAAAGATTTTAAATTTTCATGAAAGAAGAAAAAAAAAAGAACATTGAAAATTGTAAACTTTCTCGAGTCTGATTACTTAGTAAGTGTTCTGAGAACAGTCGTCGACAAAATTCTTTTATGAACAAAACTTTAATAATGAATGTCGCGGACAGTTGTCAATATGGATGTATGCCCTTTCGATACATAAGCTTTTCTTTCGTGTTAGCATAATCAACACTTTAAAAGCCAAATTTTTCGGTATTATTGGACATTCATGAATATAGTCCCTATAGATTAGGGATGGGCATTGGTGTTGTACGTAGCTAGCAGTTATCACCTAAGGGGGTGAATGGGTGATTTGAGTGATTTTGAAGAATTTAAAGTGGAAACGATTTTATAATCAGTAAAGTCTGAACAATGTTCAGATTCTGAATGTGCTAGTGTGCAGTGTAAACAATATAATGAGAGATTAGAGATAGAGGAAACTGCACACAAGAAATTATAGTGGATCGGCTTAGATCAAACCTATGTCCACTCTTCCATGCTGACAGCCTACTGATTGGATTCCACTATGTGATCAAAGGGATTACAAGATCTGAGTGATATCACTCGATGAATGATAGAACTCTCTATCTCACACAATCACTTTTACAGAGTATCCCTCAAAATCTCAGTATTTAGTTTAGGAAAGATAAGTAATAGAATCGGAATGTGCTCAGACTTTGGACTTGTTGATTCTCGATTTCGTTCTCTACCTTCTACTCCTCATTGGTCTCATTTTATACTCCTCCACTTCCAAACTAGCCGTTGGATAGTCTTCAAAGGATCATCTTCCAATCTTCACCTTGGACAGATTTGTATAAAATGGATTGAGTAGCCGTTGGTTGATAAAATCCGAATCCCACTGAATTTGATCGCCCATACAACCAGAATCTTGATTTCCATAAGTAGAGTTTTATCCGTTGTGATATATACTTGTCATAATGTTTGATTGTCAATCAATTAAGCTTAGATTGAGTCAATCAAAACTTTCCTTTCGTGATATCCACGCCAGATCACTAGCTGTTATGTTTCGTTCTAAATAAATTATGAGTCTGAAGAATTTCTAGTTCTTGCTTTACATTCAGAACCTGAGTCAGCGTAGGTCTTTAGTAAAATCCGAGTCCTTCAAAATTAGAGTCTGAAGATCTCTGACATCTTAAGATAAAAGACTGAGTGTCTTTTTCAGTAGAGTTTGAACTTCTTGTTCTGAAACTTGTAGAGTCTGAAATTTTCCTTCTGAACCTCGTAAAGTCTAAGCGTCTAGGAAGTTAATTTCTCTTGAAGTATTAAAGTTGTCACTTCCAGAATATATTTATCTAGATCAAAATACTTCAGAGTATCAGATTTACAAGATTAACATGGATAGTTTTGTCAACTATAAAATTTATTAGGAAATTTCCTCAACAATTGGAACCAGACTAAATCAAGATTCGGACTGAATTGGTCGGTTCTGGGTGATTCTCACTTCCTAAAGTTTAGAATCGATGATTGTCGTTCCGGTTCCCGATTTCAGGTCTGAACCAAACTACCATGATCGGACCGATGCTTTTTTTTTTTTATTGATTAGCAAGTCAATGATACTCGATCATATTTGATCACACCATTTAGCGTCTTTCCATTGAGATTTTCATTTATTAAAGATCCAAAACACTAACAAGTAAAATTTTAGATTATGCGACAACACTTACAGTCTCGTAAGGAATAGGAAAAAAGAAGAAGAGAAAGATATCACCGCTGGAACCTAAACCCACCCGAGAATCGGACTGGACCGGTTCCACTACTAGGTGGGCGAATTCCCAATTCCACAAATTGGGAATCGACACTTCTGGTTCGGTTCCCAGTTTTAACGTGGAATCGAGCCATCTTGAAACTAATAACCCCTACCATGAACAATTTGCATTTCTTCTTTTTATAAATATATTTAAGTCCTAGGAAACTTTAGTGCATATTCCATAAAAAAAAAAAAAAAACTCCCCCTCACATATCCCCCCACGTTGGGCCGCGCGCCCGAATGCACCACCAGCCTCCGAAGCTCCAATCTCCACCACAGCGGTCCCCACCGACCTCTCCCTCCCTCCCTCCCCCCTCTCGCCACGTGGCGCCCGGTGGGCCCCAGCAGCTCCTTCGGTCCGGCTTTCGTATCGACGCCAAAAAAAAAAGAGAGGCAAATTGAGCAAAAAAAAAAAAGAAGGAAATTCCGAAAAACATAATTTAAAAAAAAAAAAAAAAAGGAGCGACGGACAACGTCAGGCCTCACATGTCGGACTTTTCAGGTCCGCGCCAGCATCTCGGGCCACGTCCGGTTCCTGTGGGATCGGACGGCCCAGATCTCTCGTCTCGGGATTGGCGACATCAGGGGCCGTCGATGAAAGCGATCGGACACCCGGCACCCGCACCCACGCACGAAGCTCCGGAGGTACAGGATACGAGCGTGCGCGTGCGCGTCCTCCCGAAGGCACGCGCGGCCGCGCGGGGGGGAACCGTACCTCGGGAAGTCTACGGTGTCTGCGACCGTCGCACGTGCCACGTACGCCTTTTGACCCCCGATCCTCTCTCTGCAGCTGCAGAGCGTTTTTAAGATCGTGAGGATCTTTCTCGCGTGCGGAACGGGGGGATCTCCTCTTGAGGATCGAATACGTCGTATTCGTATCTGTAATTCGTATCAATCTCGCGGTAGCGAGTATACATCGCGGATCGAAGCTTTAACGGTTGACGTCGTGGCAGATGAAGTGGAAATTCGTGTCGATGGACGGGATTATATGTGCTCTCATGTCGAACTTCGATTTTCTTCTTGTTTTTTTTGTATTGGGAAAACAAACTAAGAAAACCCTATATTACGCAACTGCATGACACATTTGCTATAGCTTTTTTTTTTTTCGAAAACATCTTAAACTTGTACGTGGATGACACATTTACCCTCCGTCAAAGTTATGTCAATGAAAACCATTAAAAATCTACATACATAAATGCCATATAGCAAACGGTACTGGCATGGCGCTCACGTGATTGGTTCGGATGAGTTTGATTCGATATCCGCCTCAGGGGGATCGGCCCTATCTTGTTGAAAGTCGGTATGATATACCTGATCGAGTTCGATTACTTGAAGGGTTTATTGTTCTACTGACATTGGGAACTTTCCATGAGTTTCCACGAAAAAGACAAAAGTCTTCTAATGATTTTTTGCCATCTAAATACATATGTTAGATCCTATCATCCAAACCCTTCTTAAATGATGTTATTTTGGTTGAAAAAATTTTAGGGTTTTTATATCACAAGAAAAATTTTAGGGTAAATATGTCCTAATAAGCATAATTTGGGGTTTTTATATATGTTATAATGGGTATAGTTTGTCGGTTTTTATGACTTTTTTCCTTTGGTATTTCACGGTCCGCCTCGTCGATGATGGTGGATATGGTTTGATTGGGCCGCTAGAGTTGGGAAAGAACTAAACCACAATAAATCTCGTCTCGATATTCTCTATCTAGATCTCTCTATTATCGCGAAAACTTGCATAAAACTAATTTCATCGTTGCACTCACACAATATCATAGAAGTTTACGATCCGTAGATGCTTTAAATTCTGCACTTACATGAAAAGAGCTTGAAAGATCATACTTGATTACGTTTCAACCAATTCATTCCCTCTCGGTTCCTATACTTGAACCAACAATAAATGCACGGAATGAAAGCTTAACGAACTCGACTGTCGGATCAATGCAAGTTTCAGGACTCCTATCGTAATTTATCCCTTTCAATATGTTTTAAGACCAAAGAACAATGTTCTTTTTTCGATAAACCAGTTTCACAACCCATCAAAACCACGTGTAGGTGGACTAATCCCGCATGCAATCCCACATATTTACAAAATCAGCAAGGATTGGCCCAAACCTCTCAAGATTGTTCTCATTGGCCAAACCCATGCCTCACATTACAACTAATTGCACGAATTGCTTGACACTAGACGTGCATGAAATGTCCTCTATGCTTCCTTTCTTTTATATCCACCAACTCAAATCGGAACATAATCGTTTAAAGGTGGCGGGTTCATTTTATTTTATTTTTTATTTCTATGAAATCGAGCTCAATTTCATCGGGTCATACATGCGAGCCCGATCGATCTGAGTGAACTCCACGCGGATCTTCACCTCATTCAACTACTCACGTGAATCAGGATTTACATCATGCGATCAAGAATTTTTCTACAGCACTCCTACGATACTTAAAAGCTTTTGAAAGGCCGATTTATTGGGTGCGCTTTCTCTTCTTTCCATGGAAAGTAGGAAAAAAAAAACCACACTAGCCTTGACCACTCCCAAGGGGTTGGACGCAATTGAACATGGGGCTACGAATATACGCAGAGGGACTTCCATAGGCTCAATAACACAACCTCATGTTTCAGTATCTAGACCACCATTGAATTGGGCGAATTTGGTGCTTGATTTGTCTCTTTTTCTCCCCTAAATCGCGGTCGAGGAAAGGTCCCATTGGTACACACATATATGTTTCATCCATCTAATGATTTAAGCTTTCCTCGATATATGCCGATATGTCTCCAAAACATCGGGAAGTTCTTATGAGAGAAGAAAGCACAAAACAAACCACGCTTCATTTTAAGTTGTTTTCATCTACTGTTGGTCCGGGAGGGTGAGCCATGGCGAATTTTTCGATTAAGTTCTTGCATTTATCGTGTGATTTTTTTTTTCCTATGCTCAATCTGGCTTGCATGATTTGCGAACACGCGACGTGAGGATTAAAATGGGGAGTGCAATGACATGCGCATGTCACGTGGGCGAACAATGCTCGGGAAATTTATGAAAGTAGAAGGGCTTGATAAGACTAATTAAAAGTACATAGACTTGATTAGAAATGGACCGCGAGTGCACGGACGAAAGGTAGAAATTCTCCTCTTCTCAAGTGGGATTAGTGGATTACGTGATTTTAAAGGTATGATTGTGTTTTAGAGACACAAGCTTCTTGTTTGTTCTATTCTTTTATTTGCGAATCATTTCTGGGATTTTGGATTTGTATAAGGCTACACTAAATTTCGACAAGAAAGCTGAGACTAGAAATGATTCTGCCCTTCAAACATTGCCAAATCTGGAAAGACAAGGAAAGAGCAACAGCAATTCAATTTGGGTGGATTATGATTACATGTCTAACCCTAATACACTAACAACTGCAGTCTTATCAGTCTACCATGATTTTCTTTTCTGGCATGCTCCAGATCTGTTTCGATCATCTTCTTGTTCACTCATCGACTCCATTTCCGTGTGCAAAACACGAACTCCAACATCTCACGTTTCACATTCTCCTTGTTTTTATTTCCTGAAGGGAGAGAGAGCGAATGTGTTCACAGGAAAATAGTTTCTTGGAGGAAAACCTTGTAAGGAGAGTGTGGTTATGTCTTCTTTCTTGTTGTTTGATGTTTTGTTCCTTAATTGAGAACATCAGAAACACTTTAGAATGTTGAAACTGGAAATGGACAGATTTATATGAGGATCGGGGTTCATGGATGGTCTAAACATCATTAGGCATTCGTAGAGGAAACGGATTTAGCACAGACCAGGTCTCTCTTGGTTTCTGATCTTCTCACGACAGCTGAATAACACAGCAATGACTACAAAACTCTTTCTCTCCGTCCTCTTCGACCGGCTCGAAACTCCTCCAGCACTCGGCATATGGAGACGTGTCGAACATGTGCACCATCGACACCGTCCTTGGCAAGTCCCCAGAGGCCCAATACCCGACCAAGAAATACAAACAGGTCCCGATCGGTGCAATTGTAACGTACAATGGTTGGATTGGTGGCCACCTGCCATCGTCGACATTGGACATGGCGACCGCTGAAGATAGAGTCTTCTGTAGCGACCCAGGGACGGTGTCCCATAAGTTGAACTCGGGATCATAGGCCATGATGTAGCCCTTCCAAGGCATGAGGCAATCCCCTGAGCTCAACAGCCTCCCGTCATCAAGGGCAAGAATTTGGTTAGATGGAACATCCAATTGCCACATTCTTGCCATCAGTTCCCATCTCCCAGTCTTGGGCTCATACACCTCGACAGAGCTCTGCTCCACGATGAAAGGGATCCCACAGCCTGAGTCTAACCTCTTGTCGTATCCGCCGATCATGTGGACTTTACCATTCCATGTAACCCCCGCGCATTTGTACCGCGACGTGCTCATGCTAGGCAAAGAACTCCACTTGTCTAGAGTTGGATCATACACCTCAGCAGATGGAATTCCCCTAGCACTAGACGAAGTGGACTGGCCCCCAGCGACATATATTTTGTTGTCGCACACTGTGCACGCGAAATCCCAACGCGGCGGGGTCTGAAGAGTTGCACAAGTAGACCATCGATTGGTTCTAACACTATAACGTAACACGGAGGAAAGGACTTCGACCTCCACGTCCACCAACTCGGCCAATTCGTCCGAAACATGAACCATTTCCTCGTAGCAGAGTCGGCCACCTATGATGTAGATCGAATCTTGGAGCGAAACCATGGCGAAACCCTTCAAGATATGGCTCTCGATTATCCCGGGAATCAGGCTAATGTAACTCCACGTGTTGTTAGATGGGTCATAACATTCTATCCAGTTAGAGATGTTGTTTGTGGTCAAGGTCGGTCGCCTCAGGCAAAACGAAACGTACACCCGGCAGCCAAAATGATCGAACTCTGGGGATGGCTCCAGCCCTATGGGTTGTAGTTGTGGTAGGGGAGCGATTGAACCCATTGAAGTGGTGGGCAAGGTAACAAATTTAAGCTGACTTTTATCTAGCTTCTGTGATTCTTATGATTGCCCAATGGGAAATTTCCTGTAGCGATTTGGTTGAAATTTATATAGCGTGGAGGCCAACGGATAGCACGGGATGAGCGTTAGTTTTGCCGATATCCACTAGGAATGTCAGCCAGAAGGATGAGGCAATATCTGAGCATGTAGGTAAAATCTAAGTGATTTTCCTTGTCCTGATGTATGTCCTAGTGATCCTTGAATGGAGTTTAGTGGGTTATTGTCGAACACATTGTCCTTTCCTCGTATCATGGTTGACGGTACATGGTAGGATTAGGAGGATCCTGGGAGCTTATCAATGGAGGGTTAAGAGAAGAATCCTTATCCAAAACGATGCAATCCTTCTTGTCCATCTATGACTTGTAAAGAACCGATTGTCCATACTCCCATGGTATTGTCGCCGGCCGTGCTGAGAGCTGATAACAAGATAAGGTACGACTTTCCATTTCAGAATCAAAGCTCAATCAATGAACTTGGTGATTAATTCGATGACTTGATTGCAACTGTCCAAACAAACCGTGGGCTTAGACTCTATTTTTTCACTCCAATACCGCAGATATTTGGAGAAAAATAAGCTAAATTTCTTAATGAGTAAGCGCTCAGCACACAATCATTACTCTAGTTTTTCACTCCAATACCGAAGATATTTCGGTTGCGGCTATTGCATATCATTGATCAAAGCATGAGTTTAATCCTAATTATGCCAAAATATTACCGATAGTATATTTTAACCCAAGGGCATGAGAGCATAAGCCCGGCTATTTGGAGGCTCGTGAAACACCTTGTAAGCCCAACGAACAAAAATGCAACCGATGACTAAAATTCGACGAGACTCGGTTCCGATGAACATCGTCCATTAACGAAAGAAACAAGTCTAAAACATCCTCTTCTCTGCTAAAGTTCTAATCAAGGTCTCTTTCACAACACAGTATCAAATATGTGAATGCTTACCTGAAAGAAGCTCAATAAAAATGAAGTATGGATATGAACTTAGTACAAGGCATTGTGTCCTAAAATGAGAGGTAAAACTGGCTAAAGAAAACAAAAACTGAAGAAGATGAATGTAGTATCTGCTACATTTTAACATGGTCAACGTGCATGCATGTAAGTCAGCCTCACCTTTGTTTTGTCGCTTCATCCCATCAGTGTCCAGTAATCTACAAAACTGAGGTCAGGGAACCTGCCCACATGAAGGGGCACTCATCTTGGAATGGGTTGAGGACTAGTCTTTCAAGTTTGCCAAATCTCGAATGCACAAGCAAGCCACGTTCAAGGACAAGTAATCAGAGTAATCAGAGCCGGATAATGTACACCGTGCTCTCTTGTGAACTTTCGAGTTTTTCCTTTAGAGTTACAAGCTGTCTTCTATTTCGTCTGCATCGTGCAACTTTTCAATTGCAGCCTGTCAACAAATGAGATAGAAGAGAGAGGAGCAAGATAGCCATGCTTAGCAGAAAGAGGCCGCATGAAAATCGTATCAGCTGCAGGAGGAGTCACCTACACATTCTCACATAACTGCACATCACGCAGATTTATAAAGCTCGATAACTGTTAAAAATATCATTCGATTCAGCAAGAAGGGAGAGAAGTCAGATCACCTTAATGTGTTGCAGCATCAGCTGCCGATGGTTTCAAATCCAGAGCAGGGCCCAGAATGAAGCATCGCCTGAGAACGCATGTTTCGCGACTTGTAAGTCTTGCCCATCGAAGCATATATGAGCTGCTTTCTGGAGGGGCATATTCCTTTCAGCTCCTCTAGGACTTCTAATGCTCTGTCGAGCTTTTCCAGGCTCGTGAGTGTGTCAGCCTTCTGACACACGGAAGAAGAGGGTTCTTTCTATCAGCTAAAACAGCTTTCTCCTCGATCATCAAAGCTTCCTCACTTCTCTGCCAGACAGAAGGGAGGTTCGAACTCATCGTCGTCATCGCCAATCTTGAATCTTCCGAATAGCAGAGTTCAGTGGATGGTTCTTTGCCGACATATGTACTGGTCGTGCCTACGCATTCAATCGTGTCTGTGATATTAAAGTCGGTTTACACATCCTTCATGCCTTACGAAGATTTATTTAGACATTAGCCAATGTCATTGAGTGCAAGTTTTCAATTAGCCTAATACAAATGTAGCTAGCACACCAATCACATGCACGATGATTATTATGTAATTTTTTTTCTTTTCCTTCCTTCGGTCATAGAAAACTGCAGTCTTAACAATCTGCCATGATTTTCTCTTCTGGCATGCTCCAAAACTCTTTCAATCGTCTTCTTGTTCACTCACTAAATCTGTTTCTGTGGGCAAAACATGTGCTCCACTGCCTCAAGTTTCACATTCTCCTTGTTTTTTTGTTTCTTGAAGAGAGTGTATATGTTCAACAAGAAAATAGTTCTGAGGGAAAAACCTAAGGAGAGAGTATGGTCGTATCTTCTTCTTTCTTGTTATTTAATGTTCTGTCCCTTAATTGAGAACATCAGAAGCATTTTAGAATGTTAAAATGGAAATGGACAAAGCAATATAGGAATTGGAGTTCATGGGTGGTCAAAACATCATAAGGAACAGGTTGAGGAATAGGTTTCCACGCAGGCCAGCACTCTCTTTGCTTCTGTTCTTCTCAAGATAGCTGAATAACACAACAATGGCTACAAAACTCTTTCTCTCCATCCTCTTCAATCAGCCCAAAACTCTTCCAGTAGTTAGCATTTGCAAAAGTGTCAAACATGTGCACCATCGACATCGTCCTCGGCAAGTCCCCAGAGGTCCGATACCCGACCAAGAAATACAGACGGGTCCCGATCGGTGCGACCGTAACGTACATTGGTTGGATTGGTGGCCATGTGCCTTCCGCAACATTTAATGGGTGGATTGGTGGTGAACATCTGCCGTCTGCAACATTTAATGGGTGCACCGCTGAAGATCGAGTCATTTGTTGCGACCCGGGGACGATGTTCCACATGTTGAACTCGGGATCGTAGGCCTCGATGTGGCCCTTCCATGCCTTGAGGCAATCTCCTGAGCTGTACAGCCTGCCATCATCAAGGGCAAGAATTTGGCTAGGTGGAACATCCAATTGCCACATTTTCGCCCTCAGTTCCCATCTCCCGGTCTCGGGGTCGTACACCTCGGCCGAGCATCGCTCCACGATGCCACGCAACGGCCAGTCCGAGTCTAACCTCTCTGCGAACCCGCTGACCACGTGGATTTTACCATTCCATGTGACCCCCGTGCATTTGTACCGCAACGCGCTCATGCTAGGCAAAGAACTCCACTCATCTAGAGTCGGATCATACACCTCGGCGGATGAAATTCCCCTAGCATTAGACGAAGTGGACTGGCCCCCGGCGACATATATTTGGTCGTTGCATACCGTGCACGCGAAATCCGAACGGGGGGTCTGAAGAGGTGCACAAGGGGACCATTGATCGGTTCGAACATTGTAACGCAGAACTGTAGATAGGACCTCGACCTTCACGTCCACCAAGTCAGCCAATTCGTCCGAAACATGAACCATTTCCTTGTAGCATAGTCGGCCACCAATGATGTAGATCGAGTCTCGGAGCGAAACCATGGCAAAACCCTTCAAGACATAGCTGTCAGTTATCCCGGGAATCGGGCTAACGTAACTCCACGTGTGGCTATTAGGGTCGTAGCACTCTATCCAGTTAGATATGTTCTTTGTGGTTAGCGTCGGTTGCCTTAGGCAAAACGACACGTACACCCGGTAGCCAAAGTGGTCGACCTCCGGGGTTGGCTCCGGTGTCACGGGTTGTGGTAGGGAAGGGATTGAACCCATTGGAGTGGTGGGGGAGGTTACAAACTTGAGCTAGCTTTCTCTAGCTTCTGTGGTTCTTATGACTGGCAAATGGAAGTATCAAGTAGCGGTCTGGTGGAAATATATAGCGAGGAGGCCAACGGATGGCACGAGAAGGGGGTTGATCTTGTCGATGTTGACTAGGGATATCCGCCAGAAGGATGAGGCAGCATCCAAGCATGAAGGTAACTCCTAAGTGATTTTCCTTGTCCTGATGCCATGACTTGTGAAATGTGGAATGCAGTTTGGTGGGTTATTGTCTAATGCGTTGTCCTTTTCTCGTATCTGGCTTGATGGTACACGGTAGGAATAGGGGGATCCCAGGGCTTATTACGAATGGTGGTGGGTCAAGAGAAAGAATCCTCATCCAAAACAATGCAATCTTTCTTGTCCATCTACGAATTAAAAAAACCGATTGTCCATACTTCCATGGGGTCGTCGCCGGCCGTGTTGTGAGGCGATGAGGACATCACATAGGTTTTTCGATTTCAGAGTCATAGCTCCTAACGTAATGTATGCATTAGAAACAAAGAAATCGGATGATATGTTCTATGGTCTGTTCGCATACGTATAGAGGTACGCATTGCATACTAGCAGGATGGTGATCTAAACTCTCGAGATGCATGAAACTGAGAGAATCAATGAACTTGGTGATTAATTCGATGAATCTGTTGCGACTGTCCGCACAAACCGTGGGCTTAGACCGCTGTTTTTCACTCAAACACTGACGTCATTTGGAGAAAAACCAGCTAAATGTCTTTCACCCCACTATGCATGAATACGTTGCGTCTCGTTACCGTTGCATATTTCTTTAACCCCACTACTTGTAGGCCCATGGAGCACGTATTGCAAGCCTCATGAACAATAATGGAACCAGTACTATCAAAGTTTTCGAGACTCAGTTCTGACGAACATCATTCATTAATGAAAGGATTAAAGGCCCGTTTAGTTCGGCTTTTAGAATACTCATTTGAGGAATGCAAATACCTTTAGGTGAAAGGCACTTGAAAAAATGTAAATGGCGTTTGGTAAAAAATTATTTGAAAGCCACTTAGGAAAATGCAATTGTGTTTGATTATTTCTTTTTACAAATGGGCTTTGGGAGCTTTTTTTTTATTTATTTTTAAAAGTACCCTTCGCCGGCTCCGGCGAAGAGCTATGGCCGCCGGCGAGCCAGATCTGGCACCGGCCGGCGACCGTCGCCCGAGGAGGCCTGAGGTCGCGCGACCCAGGTGGCGACGGGCTAGGTCACGCGACCTAGGCGGCGAGGTCTCGCGACCCCAGGCGACGACGCCTAGGCAGTCGCGCGACCCCAGGCGGCCGTCGCTTGAGGTCGCGCGAACCCGGGCGACGACGGCCTGGGTCAAGCCACCCCAGGCGAACGTCACTCGACCCAAGCCGTCGCCGCCCGGGGTCTCGCGACCTCAAGCGACGACCGCCTGGGGTCGGGCGACCGTCCAAGCGCCGTCGCCTGGGTCGCGCGACCCCGGGCGGCAATGGCCTAGGTCGAGCGACCCCAGCTACCTAGGGTCGCTCGACCCGGCCGTCGTCGCCACCCGAGGTCGCGCGACCCGAGGGCGACGGCACCCAAGCGGTCGCCCAACCCGAGGAATGCGACCTCGCCGGCCACGCTGGCCCCTCGCCGGCCACGCTTTGCTGAAGAAGAATTTTTTTTTTTTTTGGGGAACAGTCAGCATTCCAAATGCTACCAAATGAGCATTTGGAACTCCAATGCTGAACCAAACGGTTCAGCATTTTGGGAATGCTCATTTAAGGCCAAATGAGTATTCCCAATACTGAACCAAATGGGGCCTAAGTTTAAAATATCGTCTTCTCTGCTAAAGTTCTAATCAAGGTTTCTTTCGGAACACAGCACATAATCTGTGAATGCTTACCCAAAAGAAGCTCAATGAATTGAAGCATTAATGGGAGCTTCATACAAGGGATTGGGTCCTTAACTGAGAGGTAAAATTGGCTAAACTAAAAACAAATGTTGGAAGAAGATGAATGTAGTGTCTGTTACATTTTAACATGGTCAGTGAACATACATGTAACTTGGCCTTCCTTTTGTTTTGTCGCTCAATCCCATCAGTGCCCGGTAATCTACAAAAAGAGGTCGAAGAACCTGCCTACCAAAGGGGCACTCGTCTCTGAATGGGTCGAGGATCAACCTTTTATGTTTGCCATCCCTCGAAAGCACAAGCAGAGGCCACGTTCAAGGCCGAGTAATCAGAGCCGGATAATGTATAAAGTGCTCTCTTCTCAACTCTCCAGTTTTTTCTTAAAATTACAAGCTGTCTTCTATTTCATCTGGAACATGCAACTTTTCAATTGCAGCCTGTCAACAAATTAAATAGATGAGAGAGGAGAAACCGAGCCATGCTCAGCAGGCAGAGGGAAACGCAAAATTCATCTCAGCTGAAGGAGAAGCAAACTAAATAAGTTAAACAAGCCACCTGCATATTCTCACATAATCATAAGCAATCAAGCAGATTTCTAAAGATCAAAAACTGTAGGAGATTATATTCGATTCAGCAAGGAAGGAGAAAAGTCAAATCACCTTAATGGTTGCAACATCAGTTGCTGATGGTTTCAAATCCAGAGCAAGGCCAAAATGAAGCATCGCCTGAGAATGCATGTTTTGCGACTTGTAAATCTTGCCCATCAGAGCATAAATGCTGCTTTCTCGAGGGGCATATTCTTTCAGCTCCTCTAAGACTTCTAATGCTTTGTCAAGCTTTTCCAGGCTCATAAGTATATTAGCCTTCTGATACACAGGAAGAGGGTTCTTTCTATCAGCTAAAATAGCTTTCTCCATGATCATCAAAGCTTCCTCACTTCTCTGCCAGATGAAGGAATTGAAAATTCAGACAGACAACCAGAACATATATTGTTCCTCTTCAATTAAAGTATTAAATGCTTCAATGCAACTAGTGATCCAACCTTCAAGGCATGCAAAGCTGTTCCAAGATATGACATTATAACTGAAGAACATGGATTTATCTTGAAAGCCATGCGGAAGTGATGCTCTGAGAACTCAAACTTCTCTTGGCGAAGATAAACCATTCCAAGCCCATACCACGCATTATAGTGTCTTGCATCGATCCTGAGGGCAGTCTGATAACTTTTGATTCCATGCTCAAAATCCTCCAAAGAAACGAATCTGTAGATATAATAGGCATTAGACTTAAGATGACATGATAAACAGCTGGAAACAATTAACCAGCAGTTTAGAAGATTTTGTCCTGCATATGTAGGTGAACGAAAACTATGAAGGGGCAAGAAAGGCGGAAAACATACTCATGACCACACAGAGTGTGGGCATAGGCAAATTTTGAATCCAGTTGCACTGCCCGCTGGAAATTCTTCAGAGCAGTTTCATGATCCTTCTGCAAGCTATAGCAATTACCCATGGCACACCTGCATTTTATTGAACAAAGTAATAAGCCTAGTGAACTAAAAGTGCTTGTGGGTAACAGACCATTCCTAGCAGAGACCCAAACAAGGTCTATAAAGCATTAATCCTTATAAGGCATAGTTTTAGATTATTTGAATACATTTATGCAACAGAATGAAAAATCGCCAGTTACAGCAACCAGCAGATCTATATTAAGTACTCAACGCAGATCTATAACAGTGAGTATAAACCACCATGAGCATTATGAAACTTTTCATTCAATTCTCAAGAAGTGGAAGGAAAAGCTGCAAATTACTTGGTTCAATCAGTTCAAAGCAGTGTCAAAGAAGTCAATCTTCTCACACTATAGCCAGAAAAATATGCAGCATTTTATAAAGCTATGCCTTTCATTGATGGTAAGAATCTTATGCTGAAAGTAGTGACAATCCTATCCTCATTCAAGAGAAAACCAATAGTCAAGCGACAGATCGACGCTGATACGTATAATAATTGCTTTAAAGCACTAAAGCAATATTAACGTCAAAATCAGTATCTAAGGCGTGAAGCTACTCAGGGAACAGTTGCTTCTGAACTGACAATTAAGTTACACTAGGGTAAAAATACCAAGATTGAGGAGCTAGACGGTCTGTCGCAATTAGCTCTTGAGCTAGGTAACTTAACTTCATATCTTCCTTTAAATGCTGCAAAGAGAGGAAAAACAACATGATAAGAAAACTCAATCAGGTGCAGAGATTAATTTACTGATAATCAGGTATCTTAAGAAAAGGAGAACCACAGATAGGAACCAGACTAGGGTTACTTGAATTTGCAAAGCTGGAAATTAAACAGGTTCAGGATTTCCAATCAGACAACGGAAGAAAGTATATGAAGGATGGAGCACTTACATATAGAACAGTTGAGTAAATATCCATTCCTTCTAAACTGTAAGGTGTAGTCCTCCGAGCTAGGTTGAAGGCCTGATCCGCTTCCATATAATCAACCAACTCAAAATATGCTTTGCCAACCTGCATTTTTCCATGCTTATTCACTTAATATATCTTTACTGCATGTACACCAAAATTGCTAATAAAAACAAAAAAAAATCATTGTGCAATGTTTCTGCTTCTTTCCATCCTCTGGCAGCAAAGAGTATTTCATCTTCTTACTGAATTCAAATCACCGAACCACCACAAACAATTTACTGTAAACACATTCTCAAGATCTCACCGTAATCTATAAACCATAAGATTGCACTTAAAAAGAAAGCCGACAAAAACATTCTTCTTTTAGCTATATATCCTGTAGTTTCCGTATTCATTTAATTAATAATTACGTAAAACCAAACACGCGGAAAAAGATGATAGATCTAAGGATGGGCCATTTCCATAAATATTACCTGTGAAAGCACCCAGCCTGTATTGTAATGCTTGTGTGGAAGTCTCGAGTAAACATCTAGTGCATCCTGCACAAAAGAAAATTACATTCAGAAAATGAAACGCTACATAGAAGACGAGAATACCATCTTTTGTTATCACAAATGCAATTCAGACGTACCTGACATCTGTTCAAGCAAGAAAGCCTATAGGCTTCCCCAAATAATCTTAGAAGACCTAATACTTCTGCCGTGCCCGTTAACACCCTTGTACTAGTCAGTACAGACCCAGCAAAAGGCACACTTGCTCCCTCTTGATCAAGAGATCTATTGTCACCTGAAGGACAAGAACAATTCCCCAATGTAGAACTGGAACGAGAATCATCAGAAACCTCATTCCGTACTCCTAAAGGATGTGATAAAAGCAACTTCTAGTCAGGGAGGTCTTTAAAACAAAATAAATGAGGACTACAATTGAAGTAAAAGCAGCAGCAATGGAAGCCGTGTGAAAAAAGGAAAAATTAAATGTGGATTTCGCAAAACAACCAAAAAGAAAAAAAGCTCCGGCAATCTGAAAGAGGATCTAGAGCAGGTTAAAATATTCCTGCAGCAATGTGAAAATTTAGGACACAGAATGAGCTCTTTCCAATGCATCTCCCTCGATGACACATTTAAACATCAAAAAGAGGAGACTTGAGAAAATAGCACCATAGAAACACTTTCAATATGTTTAGTCATAGTTTTGGGACTAAACATCCTTTTATTGACCATAACACAATAGCAAAAAAGTTAAAAGATCACAGGTGCTCACTTCTCTAAACATTTCTGAGCTGTTCATAAGAACATATTCAGTTTCAAACCCTTGTGAGCTAACGATGCCTCTTAAAATCTTGACCTAGCTATGCAAATAGCAAGGACCTCCAAAGGTGCCAGCCATTGTGTCTCTGGGTCTTGTTCCTATTCTTCAATGGGCACTCATCCATTTACTTCAAATTCCGCATGCATCATTATTTGTTAAAGTATCCCACATCACTTGTCTATAGGGTTTAAAATGATCTTATATATATGTGGTCTCCCTCCACCAAAAAGCTTAAGCTTTTGGATTGGACATTTTAAGATGACATCAAAGTCAAGTTTCACCCTAGATTTATTTCGCACGTGAGGCTCCTGTTTGTCAATTCCATATGCCTTTCTCAATCTGTTTCACACGTGAGATGGGTTGTTAAAGTATCCCACATTTCTTAACTTTAGGGTTTAAATTGGCCTTATATTCATGTGGTTCTGCTCCATCTTATAGCTTAAGCTTTGGATAGACATTTGTACAAATCCCTCACTATTTCAAGCATGACATCCATTTTCACAACCCCATCCATACTTCTTGACATTTGACTATACCAGAACATCTATTTACCACCCTTAGTGAGTTCCAAACAATTTGCTTTATGAAATATCTCTATTAATATACCTAATAAAGAAATTGAAAGGGTTTATCTTCATATACCCAATACAAAAATAATCTAGATTCCCATACCTAATTAACCTACAAGGAATTGTTTTGGTCACATCAAATTTCAAGGCGCACAATCAAGTACGCTTCACAATCACCAACATTTTGAATTCAAAACCATCATATCATATATCCATGAACGTATGGGCCTTACATGATCAGAGTAACTAAAACTTAAATTAATTGATAAAACTTGAAACACAACCATGCTTTTACCATCAAAGTGATAGACCATGCTCTCTTTTCTAAAAATAGGATGCAAATCCATCAATGTTAAGTAAAATTAAATGGCAACAAGATCATTCGTTGACCAGAAAATCACCTTCATCAGAATTCTCATTGGCCCAGGACTGTCCCTTTCGTACAGTCACAGCACGGAGTGCCACAGAACTCAGTTTTGAACTTCCAAGATACTTAGAGGAGTTGCTAGTGCCATTTCCAGCAACTGATGTTGCATTTGTACTTGCATTTGCCCCAGCATCTCCAGCGAGTCTTGTACTTCGTCGAGGACCAGAATCAGAAAACAATCTTCCTGAAATCTGACACAGAGAAATACGAATTACAAGAAACTCGACTTGGTCTCAGCTTTATTAGTCTTACCAGCTATCTTCCCCCTAATATCAAGATGAAAGGGGACATATGCCGTATAAACTACATATAGCCATCAAGTCACTATTCTATAGGTAGAGAATCATCAGAGCACAAACTTTGGAGGAGCACGAGTTCATCCAAGTAATTCAAAAGCAGGAAGCCCAGAGAAACAACTGACATCATCCAACATTGAAAAAATAAAAAATGTCCTCTAGTTGACTAGCAGTCTCAAAAGCCATAGGATTCTTGCTAAACAAGTGAGATCTCACTTTATTAACCTACTTTACTTGCTCTCTTATTTTCTTTTTGCAGTGGGAAAATACTCAGCCTATTGTTCTGCCAAGGACTCTAGAACATCTATAGTCCACCTCCCATACCTGGATTCACCTGTCAAGCCCAAGAAATGAGTATCCAGTGAAAACATATAAATCAACGCCTTAACAGGAGGCACAAGCAAATATACACATAACAATTGTTTCAATAGGGTGATAATACCCGATTAATAACTTAAGATGCAATGGTCAGCCAATCTAAGCTGTGGCATAGCATATAATTATAAATGATAGAAGCTTCTAACCTTTCGCAATTTTCCTTCATCTACAAACTTTCTTCGAGGTGCTTGAATTGTTGAGTTTACGGTTGACCGTTGGGAGCCATCAGCACCAAATGCACTCAAATTTGGTCCATTCGGCAGCAAATTTCTACATGGTAGAGGAGGTGCAGCACCTGACAACTGCAGAGATTTTAAAACAGAAACATCCAAATGATATCTACAATACTATCGATCAGAAGTTAAGAGCCAAAACTGGATGAGACATAGCTTTATAAGCTCATGTTCATTCCCATGAAGAACTCAACATGATAAAAGAAGTTGCTGTTCCATTCTCATGAGGACAGTAAGAAAGTGAAACATGGTTGAAAATTTTAGACCAACATATTATGACAGCATTTGAATAGTTTCTACCAAGAACTGCTTGTCATGCACTATAGCCAGTCCCACCTTTTTTCCCAACTCAAACATGACTCCAGCATGCAGAGAACGAATGAAGTATGTACACGTGACTTTCACTGAGATGAACAACAAAACGAAGAATCCAGACTTAGGCAACGATGACACAAGTTACCTGGAGAGTAGCTCCAATACAGCAATATAAAACGGTAAAAATGTGGTACAACAGGGGTAGACTTCTTTTGGACATGGATTTTGAATAAAACATGATTTTTTATTTAGATTAAAAAAAATATAGATGATACAATAGGAAAATTTTTCACAGTTTAATAATATCATTTTACAGAATATTACCAAAATAGATATATTGTGTGAAAGTAACATATCACTTGCATAGGAACACTGGGAATGTTCATTTTCGTGTTCCAAATCTATGGTGCACCATAAGATGGAATGTGCATTTATTCAAAATCACAGATTGCCAGGGAATAAAGCTTGGTTGACAAGGTGGACATCAACTAATAAACCAATCAAGTTTGGAGGTCAGTTGGAAATTACAAATAACACCAAACATTATTTCAAGTGAAATGAAGCTCTTAGCTTGTCACATGTTATACAAGACATTCATTTATTCATGATTGCAGCTGGCAATGTATGCCGCATCATCATATTTGCATGGGTTACTCATGTCATTTCATGTTGTTACTAAAATAGTATAAATTCTGTTTTTTCACTAAAAATTGGTGAAAATGTGTCTAGGCCTGCAGTTTCGAGTTAGACGAGTTAGATTACGGTTTCTCAATAGATTTCCTTTATCTTATTTGATTACACCTCCCTTAGGAGCTCACCAACTCCTGTTGTTTGTCTATTGCCATACTTGTATTTGTGTTGAATTAGCGTCTGATATGTCGTGTTTAGGTCGCCTTACAGAGTCATGTCAAATTGTCATTGCTGGCTATGGTAAGTAATGAAAATATGGAAGTATTAGCTTAATTGCACTGCACATACTTTCACCTATTAGGACCAAACAAAACATTACCTTACCTGGGTAGCTAGTGGGGAAGGAGTATTATAAAGAGATAGCTGAGCAGATCCACCATTTAGAGGCTGACTAGCAACTTGGGAAGATGCAATACTTCCATGGTAGCTTCCGGCAAGATCTCTTGTATTATTGCCCGGCATTTGTTTCTGTTGCTTAGGGCTAACATCATCAGTTGAGCACCTGGTAGAATTCAAGTTTTGATCCTCACAAGACATATGTGCGTTTGAAGGGGCAAACCCATTGTGCAAGTACTGCTTATGAACACAAATAGCAGCCGCCTCACCAAAAACTGCAGCCGCTTCTTCAGCAGAACCTAAACAGAGTCAAGAAAACATGATGAATATGACACCTAGGTGGAGGAATTTATATTAATGAGCACCCGAAAACAAGGTTCAGATTCATGAAGCAAGTGGCGGTCCAATATAATTGATAACTAGCATAAGATCAAGTTGCTATCAATAGAAAGAGCCACTATCCAAGAAAGGCACCTACTTCAAACTAGTTACAGAGGTACATCAAGTAACTCAATTGCACTTATAGCCTCGTGCCAAAAAGATAGGCACTTGCCACATGCATGCGCGATTTAAATTTAAATTAATACACTTGACACAGAATTTACATAATGTATGCTTGTTGGTTGTCATCATACTCCATACAAATTTAAGAATACATATGGGAAAGTCAGAAGTTGCTTATAGTCAGAAAATGGTTATCGCTACGTGCATGAGACATTTATGGGTTTCATTTACTAAACAGGAGAACTCATCTTAAATGTGAGAAGTAGGAGCAGACCAGGTCAAATTTAAGTTCAAATTGTTTATAACTACTTTCGAGTCCATCGACAAAGCACTGCACATTAAATAACATCGAACCAATCAAATTATTGAAATATGCCAATTATTGTCACCAAAACTCAGAGTCATATAAGATAACGAGGGTATCTTTAATACAAACCTAAGGCACAGAGTTCCTCATATGCAGACCAGAGTAAAGGATCTATTGACAAAGCTTGCTTGAAGTGATGGATGGCACCTCTCTTTCTATCAGTATATCTATGAACAGAAGCAAACTTAAATGGATGAGGGAGCATCATATAGATACACAAAACAATTAACTAGCATAGAACACCATATTCCATCACTATACATCAATCAGTCAAAAGTTATGCCATGTGAGATCCTATAAAACTAACAACAAAAAATGTAATTCTGAACGATTTACATTTAATAAAACACAACAAACCTGCAATTCCGCAATAGCTACACCTTGTGAGGAAAAGCTCTAGTAGAAACGTGAAAGAAAGGTGAAAAGAATTTTTGTGACCGTAAAGTAAAACCTAATACTGGTGGGATCACTGACTTCGTATATCAAATTGTCAGTGTGCCATGAGTCAGAACATATGTTCAGATCGTGAAAGAACCGGTGTGTTATGGTTCCTATTATTGCACTGACGATATATCATAAAACTAATTTAGCATTTGCTAATACTTATAGCTCTCAATCATGCAACCTATATAAGCCACATCTAGACATATAGAAGTTGGGATTCGCCATGCTGCAAGTACACCGTAAAGAATTCCAACAGTGCAGTGTAAATGGTGCACGGAAGAGCTAAAGCTTCAGAATAGATTGTTAAAGGGAAAAGTTTTTCCTTCCACACTAGCTTATCCACCCTAGGACTTTCGCATTATTAATTTTGTAGAGTGGACAAGATGTGCATGCCTACTTCCCTTTTATTTTGCAGACAAGAGTACATCCTCTTACCTTTTCTTCCTTACAGAAACACATATTACTATCTCACTTTCCTCCTAAAACCATGGCTACAAGTTACTGACTGCCCTTGAAAATGCAATCTTTGAGCAAAACTTTTTGTATATAGGCGGTTCACCATCTGAAGCTGTAGCTGTTTTACGTGAGGATAGTATCCCACGGTACCTAATTGATGGAATTTAGTTTATCTCTCAGAAAATAACTTCAAAGAAAATTATATTTTCAACTTTTTTTGCTTCTTTCACATTTGTCCACACCTTGATATGACCTCTCTCTCTTACGCTGACTACAAACTAAGAAACCATCTTAACGACTTCGGACAGCGACAATGCAATAAGAAAAGGATGTTATTCAGGAGCACTATGCACAAAACACGAGAGTAACCTGTAGATAAGCCCAAGAAGGTAGTGACCAGCAGCACCATTTGGAACCTGCTAGGAGACCAGAACAGCAGTTAGCAAATGACCGCATCCATTAAACCAAGCCATACGCAATAAAACTCTTGTGAAATAATAAAAAACGTGAGCTTAGACTGACATAAACTGTTTATCGTGAAATAAGTTGGGACCAGTAGCTTCATTTGCATATGCAGATCACGTACCTCTGCCCCGGGCTCATTGGCATTGCATAACGCTGCCTCAGCCTCTTTAAGTAAATCCATCTGAAAGCACGATATTGCAAACAAGTAGCGCGACTGAGGCATTTGTGTCCCTTCACGTGAAGAAAACTTCGATCAATCAGGGAAACAAATACCCAGAAAAACTTTAAGTGAGGATGCCAAGAGACAAGGGGGGAAAAGCCCCAGCATCTAGGGTTATTCAGCAAAGATGCATAATTAGAGCCCTACCCTTTAGAATATGGTAAGCAGAGTAAGCTTGATTATTGTGCAGATAACAGCCAGCTAATAGCTGCAGATTCACCTGAAAGCAACCAAACGACCGAGAAAAAACTGACTTCAAAAAAACAAATTGGGAGCAGAATCGAGTCAGCAGCAATCATGGAACAATGCAACACCATCGCGCAACGCGTAACGACCAGAGCAGAAAAGGAGGGGAGAAACAAATTGAAAAGAAGAAGAAAAACTCAAAATTCATCATCACAAGCTTCACAAAATGACACACAAGCTCCAAGCAAAACCAGTGTTCCGCAATCGCAAATTCACGTCGATAACTTCACCGACAGCGCGGGGGGGAGGGGCCCAGGAAGCCCGGGAGGCCGGAATCGGAAAAACGCGGCCGCAACAGATTGCAACCGAATCTACCCTAACGGAACCCCCCCCCCCCCCCGGCACAGCGCGCCACAGTACGCGCCGTAGGATTCGTCGGAGGAGGAGGAAGGAGAGAGTCGATCCGACACCGGCGCTCGAGCTTTTCCGGCGAGCCAATCGGAACGGAATCGGTGGGGGGGGGGGGGGGGGGTACCTCGGAAGGGAACTGGGCGCAGAGGCGCTCGCACATGAAGATGGCGTTCCGGTGCATGAAGTGCCGCAGGCTGCTCTGCACGCACTCCGCCAGCATCGCTTCCATGGCTGCCGCCGCCGCCGCCCTGCTTCGATTCGCCGGAGAGGGAGAGGAGAGAGAGGTGGGGTGTCTTTCTGGGGCTGCCGCTTCTTCTTCCTCTTCGCTCCTCCGGTGCGCTTGCAGGTTTCAAAAAAATTTGTGCGGCACGTGCCCCCCCCCCCCCCCCTGCTCCGAGCAGATTCCGGTCACGTGCGTGAGTTCGGGTCGGGTCGGGTCGTTCCTGGCCGGGCGAGCTTTCTATTTTTCCCCCGAGTGTTTTGGGCTTCGGGCTCTTCTGGCCCGGACCGATTTGAATTGGGCTGTGAGGATTCACAAGACCCTCATCGCAAATCAAAATCATTTGCGGGACGAATGAGTTATGCCTAGACGAGACCCACCTAGGGATGTGCAAAAGAACCGGAGAACCGTGATTCCCTGTTCCGGTGTGGAACCGCCCACCCGAACCCCCAGACCGGACTGATACATACATATATATATTTTAATTTTTATTCCTAGTTTCCCGCCCCTCTCTCTCTCTCTTGCTCCGTCTCTCACCTCACTCGTCTCGCGGCTTAACCTCACTCCCTCGCTCTCGCTCTCGGTGGCCTCCGGCCTCGTTGATCCCAGTCTTGATCTTGGTCGCCTCCAGCCTCGTCGTTCCCTCTCTTACTCTCGCTCTCGATCGTCTTCGACATTTGGCCTCGTCGCTCGCTCTCAAGTCTCAAGCCTCTCTCTCCTCGCAATCGCAATCATAGGTGCTCTTAAAATCGTCTTAAAAGCGTCCCTTAGTCGATTTGGCGCATTTACCTTGTTGGATAGGAACTTTTTCAAAAGATAAACTTCCTTGGTGTTGTGGTATAACCTCTAGAGTGGAACGGCCTCTCTGGGTTCGTTTGGTTTTGTAATTAGGGATAATTATATAAATGGTCCTATTTTGCCCCAATGTGCAATATGGTCCCTAAACTTTGCCACAGTCCATAAACTTTTGGTAAATGTTCAATCTAGTCCAAGAATTATTATATCCCTGGATTATCAAGTCTACGGACTAAATTAGACATGTACCAAAAGTTCATGGACTATATTGCACATTGAGGCGAATTTTAGAGACTATTTACGTCATTTTCCCTTATATTTACCGAGTCGGAGATAGAAAGATTTTCCAGTAATGCCGTAGTTTTAGGGAGGTTCTTCACGAGCACAGCTACCATTGGTCAAGCTGCGATGGTGCATGCGGGGAAAAAGCAATGATGTGGCCTTGGGTCTTCTTAACGTGTTCTACTTTCGTTTGTTGTGCATATTGCTCATGTTAGTTGTTGCCTCCTGAATTCTGTAAGGGTTCGCATGAATACCATTTTATGCCCGGAAGCTATTTTTGAATAGAAATGATTTTTTTTATTCTCGTGCCGGAAATAATTTCGAGTATTTGAAGGCGTTTGATAAACCTGTTCAAAATTTCTATTCCTAGAGTAGAAAAGAACAAAAACGTTTAGTAACAACACAAAATTTCGTTCTCAAATAATATTTTGAATTGTTTAATTTTTTTTTTCTTTTACCCATTTTCTTCTTTGGCCATGGCCGCCGCCGGCGGCACGGCCCGGCCGGGGCCGAGGGCGTCACGGCCCTCGCCGGGCTAGGGCGAGGGCCGGACCCTCGCCGCCCTGGCGAGGCCGTCCTCGCCTTCGCGGCCGACGGCGAGGCTCGGCCTCGCTCGATCCGGGCGAGGCCGCTCGCCCGGGCGGCGAGGGTCCGGCCTCGCCCTCGCCGGCGAGGGCGACCCGCCTCCGCTGGCGGCCGGCGAGGGCCGTGACGCCCTCGCCGGCCACGGGCCAGGCCGGTGGCCACGGCGCCGGCTCACAGGGAAGAACAACACAAAATAAAAAAAAAAAAAAAGAAAAAGAAGAAAAAAGCGATTCTCAAAATTGTGCAGAAACAAGAAGCAACTTTTTTTACTTCTTGTTTCTCTTCTAAAAGCATTTCTAGATAAATTTTTTCAAAAATGTGCCCGGAACAAAAAGTTTACCAAACGCATTGCTCCCAAACTATTTGGGAACAAATGAACGAAATTTTACTATTTGGCACGTTACCAAACGGGCCCTAAGTTTCGAGCTTTAGGACGAGTAATCGAGTGAATGCTTATGTGACTCCATGACTTTTATAGTTGTCTGCTGAATTCGGTGAGCTCCCGAGCAGAAATTGTGGTTTTGTTGGAGACATTTAGATCGGTTCCATGAATTCACCAATGAGCGAATCTCGATTCCCATTTTATGGAACTAGCCCTTGATGGACAGTTCCGATTCCAAGGTGAGACCGCCTATCCCAAAATCGATCACCCCTAAACCCACTATCTTGCACAAGAACATTCTCTGATAAAAAAAAAAAGAAAGAAACCCCGACATAGCAGTATGCGCCTCCCATAAAATCGATCTCGAGGAAAAAAAAAATTCGCAAGAATAGAGAGGATCCGGCACCATTCAGCCGTCATGGCCTTCGCAACTCTGCGAAAGTCGAGAGCGACGCACGGATGCAGCTTTGCTCATTCCACAGATCGCCCCTTCCATTTCACCTCGAAAGCGAGCGCGCGAGAGAACCGAGCCGTCGCCTGCCGTGGCGGTGCCTTTTGGAAACGCTCCGACGAGACCCGGGAAATTTCGAGGCCGCTGAAAAGGGCCAATATGGGGACAATAAATCACCGTTTTCTTTTCGGGGTGGCTGGGAATTTGATATTCCGTGTACCACTATAGTAGCTGTTTCGGAATTTTCCACCGACTAATGGCTATAGCATCAATTTCCGCACCGGCTCCACAACTTTGACCCGTCAACGCAACGTTAACCTCCCCCCCCCCCCCCAAAAAAAAAAAATATGAAAGAAGAGAAAATAAAATAAAGAAAAAAAGCAACAAAAGCCGACACGTGTGCGAGGCGCGTGCCGGAAACTTCACGCGGAGCGGACAAAACAAGTCCACCACCCCTCCCTGCATCGCTCAATTTTAACGTTCCCTAATTTCTCATTTTTTATCTTTTCGGGGTTCGAAATTTAAAATATTCCTCGTTGGTTGGTGGGCCCCGATCCGTAGGGGGCGCAGAGGAGGTGGGGCCCACCCTGCGGGACCACGCAACCTTAACCCAACCCAATGGATTGGTCGTCCGATAAATAAATAAATTATTTTTGATTTATTTTTTTTTGGGGCATAAGGTCCGCACTTGATAGTTGGGGGCGATCATCGTACGTTTCGGTTTTCGCCTCCCCCAATCAATGCCCAAATAATTGTCGCCCAATAGAATATTGGGGAGGGCAAAAGCAAAAGGGAGAATCATCCTACGTGTGCCACAAAAAGGCACGTGCACCCTTTGATGATTTTTTTTTTTTGGGTCCCTAAGAGTCTTTGTGAATTGACCCGTTTCTCGATTTGGCCGGCCGACGAGACCGCCCGCGTGTCCCCGCCTTTTTCGGGGGATGACGGGTCGGGGGCCGCGGGGCGAGATCTTTCGAGTGGATCGCGTGGGGGAAAATAGAGGTGGAGACGTGGGACAAGGAAAGAAGAGGAATGCGGGGAAAGAGAGAGGGGGTCAAGGAATTGAATCGCGCGAGATCGATCGGGAAGGATTCGATGTTGCGTAGGAGCGGATCGTGCGCGGGGAAAAAAATGGGCCAGGCGGAAGAGATCTCGACTGTACAGAAAAGAAATTAGTAGAAAAACGATTGATTGGGCCACCAAAGAAGTCATCCTGATGATCTTGAGCTCAAGGCGACCGTGACTATATGATGTTGTTGAATCTTACGTTTTCTTTTACTTTGTCTCTAGCAAAAGAGGGAGCGCATATTAGGGGTGAGTATGGTCCAGGCAAGCGGTCGAGAACTGCCCCACTAAGAATCAGTTCTAAAAAATTGGAATCGAGAACCGCCCGTTGGTTCCATGGATCCACCCTGGGTTCATGGAACCGATCCCATCAAGCTTCACACAAATGGAGGTGACCGAAAGAGAGAGAGGGAGGCAATGAACGGTCGGAGGTGCGGCCATGAGTTAACGAGAGTCAAGAATCGAGGCCATGAGTCAATGGGCGTTGAGGTTGAGAGTTGAGATTATGAATGAGAGATAGAGAGAAGATTCAGAAAAAATGAGAGTGTGAGGAGACGAGCACATAGTTAATAAGCATTGAACTTTAGATTATGGATTTTAGGGTTTTCATTTTTTTAAATGTTTTGTTTTTTTTATTAGAAATATTTCTTAAAAATTATATATATTATCGGCTCAGTCCGAGTGGGTTGGTGGGCGGTTCTATGTCTAGAACCGGGAACTGGACCAGTACTTACCGGTTATAGTAAATTGGAATTGGAAATTGGACCGGTTCCGGGTCGGTTTGGTCCGATTTTGAACGGTTCCTAGTTTCTTTTGTACACGCTTAGCGCATATGAGTGTTAATGGAAAAAAAAACGGTTTTGTGCGGAAAAAAGAAGGCTTGGAGGTGTGAGCTAATTTAGGAAAGGAATTCAAACTATGGTAAGACGTGAGATTTATATCCAATTTTGGAAAGTAGGGTACTTATGAAATTAGCACTATTTTCAATTGCAATTTTATCTAGTTATTTGCTCGTGATACTACAAATTTTTCGAACATTCCGTTGGATTTTATGTAAGGTCGGGCTTCCATTTTTGATATCGAGAATTCAATCCTCAACATTCCCAATTATATATTTACTTGTTAGGACGGTCATCGAGAGTTTCCCAATAAGCACTGCGATACCCGAGCGGCGATATTCGAGGTCAACCCCGCACGTGGAAGTATCTCGTACCAATCTTTCCCGTTATCTCCATGGAAACCGCGCTAACGTTCTCGGGGGTCAACACGATCGATAAACAAAAAGACTCCACTCCATTAATTATGTCTTTATCCAGACGCGATTCGATAAAGTACCTGCCAAGTAATACCCGACAAGGAAAATACCCGATTTTCAAAATACACGTAAAACCTGCGACCCGCTTCGAAGATACCGAAGATCCTTCGTCGGGTGTCGGCGAACGGCGGCTTAGATAGTTCCTTGTGGAATCGAATCTTGCATTCGAATCCCTTTACCAGTAGAGCTCGCATGCTTGTCGGTGGGGTTTGATCCGGGGGTTAAAGAAAGAATCAAATCAAGTGGGAGAACCGGCCGCGGTGTGAAAACGGGAGCGTCCGAGTCGGGCTCGCTCCTTCCCGTCATCGGAGAAGAACCCGAAATCAGGAAAGACAGGAGGAGGATGGAGGAAGAAGAGGAAAAAGTCCTTATCCTGCGCACCCCGCCACCACGCCGCGCACGCCGAGGGAGGCCAAACCCTATTTATTAAACCTGCGCACACCCTCACTCCTCGCGCTCCACAGGGCAAAACTTTCCTCCCCTCCCCCTTTCTCTCTCTAAAGAATTTCCTCCTCCACTCTCTTTCTAGAACTAGGAAAAGTCGTCGTCGCCTTCTTCTTCTTCTTCTTCGTCGTCGTCTCTGTCGTCGACGCCGAAGCTTCCTCGAAATCGCTCGCGCTCCGCGATCAGATCGCCCCGATCCTCGGTCAATTCCTCGGGCGTTTGCGTGTGAAGCCGGCTCCTTCCTCTCTGCCCATATTCGTTGCCCGATGACTTGATTGGTCGGTCGATTGTGCCCCCGGATTGATCGATCGCGATCGCGTGCGCGGAGAAATTGGTGCGGAATTTGCATGGAAGGTTCGCTTCCGTGAATTCCACGAGGTGCCCGCCAGCTTGGAAGGTGAGGGGGAGGGAGGGGAGAGGGGTGGGGTGGGTTCTTTCTCGGGGGCCTGAATCGAGCGATGTTGATGGCGGACAAGAGCTCGGGTTCTTCTTGGGGCGCCGCGGAGTTGGGTACCGGGGAGGACGATAATAACCTGGCGATGGACTACGACGAGCTCATGGATTTGATCGAGGAGGAGGAGGAGGAGGAGGCGGCGCCGCCGGAGGGTCTGCCTAATCAGGTGCGCGGCTTTTCCCCCTCGATCGTGTTGCTTGTTTGGGGGGCGCGGGGTGGGGGTCGGGTTTTTCCGATTTTGAGGGGATGGGTGTTTTGGGTGCTGCGGATCTCCAATTGGGTCGGCAGAATCTTGGAGCTTAGAAATGTTTGATGTGAATTGTGTCTGTCGTTTTTATCAAATTTGTTTGAGTGTGTGTGCTGCGTTGGTTCTTCTCGGTGCTGTTGTTCATTGCGAAACCCAGATATAGTGTTCTGACTTGGTATCACTTGGCAGACACGTTTGCGTTAAGATGGTATTGTGATTTGCCTTTTGTGATGGCCCAAGATATGCATTAGGAAGCAATAGAACAGTTCAATAGGGCAACTAAAGGAAAAAAAAAAGGTCAGCAGGATTAGAATGAAAAGTGGGGGGAAGAGCGTGATGCGCGAGAGCAAAAAAGAAACTAGAGAAAGGGAGAGCGGATTCCGACGGCGATGGAATTCTCATATTTGTGCATTACATATACAATCCTGGCATATATTCTTCGTTACGAGACTCCGTCTTAGCAAAATAAGAATAGCATGATGGCACGTATTAGGTTTTCTAACAAACTCTGCTGACTCAGCTTCTAACATTCTGGGGATACTTGCGGTTGACAACTGAGCTTAATCAAGGATAAAGCCTCGCTCTTGATATGTCCATTCCCAGATTGGTCTCAGCAAAGTCCTTTAGATCTCCTCTCTGTGTCATGACCATTACCCTTTCAGACAAAATCTCCCTGGTCCTCAAGGAACCGTTTATGACAATTGTTGGAAGTGTTGGAAACAAATTATTTTTCTGACATAAATTAGTACGAGTGGCTTCCCTTCTGAAAGCCCATTTTGTATATGGGCAGTACCTCTTGGTGTTTTTCAGTGGAACTGTGTTTATCATTTCAAAAGAGATGCTTTGTCCAAGGTGGCTTCCAGAAACACCGCGGCAGATAAGTGAAGAACTTGATGAGTCTCGAGTTACAAAAAATGATCGACATTTGATGCAGAGTTGAGCAAAAAAGCATTTTATCTGCGTCATCAACTTTGGGATCATTTATTTTGGGAAGGCTAGATAATGGCAGTGCTTGATCTTCCATGTTAACACTTTTGGACAAAAAGTTTTGGAGAGCTAAGCAGCTTTGTAACACGAAATTCACTTCTGCTCTGGCATGCCAGTCATCTTCATAGATTGCTCGAGTAGAGTGGATCAGGAGGTTCCCAAGAGTCCGGTTAGACTTACCTTAGGACAATAGAACGTCAGAGAGCCTCCTCCCCCACTCCGATTAGGCCAATCCAATTGATCTCAGCTTTCTCCAGAACTCCAAGACAAGCATGGAAAAAAATTGCTCGAATGATTAGATCCTCCATCAACCCGGAACCAAAGCGGTCTCGCAGTTCTCGGTCAATGGTCAATCTCAATGCCCTAGGCGTCAACCAACAGGGAGATCCACCTCAATGCTAAAACCTCATACTTAATACAATTCAGATCTGGGTTTAATTATGCCATAAATGGAGTATGTCATTCCGGTGATGTCCATTCACTTCCACTGCCGAACTATTCTGAAGGGGTTGCTGTCCGATTGATCTCGTATACCATCTACAGATCAATGTGGACAACAGAAGATGTATGTTACAGACACGGGCTCCGGTCCACCAAAAGCTAACATTTTAGACTTAGTTTATTAGGAAGGGGATAGGGATACGGATTTGGATGCCTTTGTGGATTCCCATTCTTGATTAAATGCACTTGTTTTTGATGACTGACTATCGAGGGATGAGGTTCAACCCCTTCATATTTTCTTCCTTTCTTTCTTTCATTGAATTGATAATTTTGCCTCTTAAATGCGTCTGTGATCACAGTGGGCATGAATCCTGGTTATTCCCTTAGTGCTCCCATTGTATTCTTGATAAGTTTTTGTCATTGTATTTTGGTTTTTTTTTTTTGGTCGAACATTGTATTGTGGTTGGGACTGCTTATTTTGTGCAACGTTATTTTCAAGAAACATTATGAACCCCTGAATGTCATTCTGCAGGGTACTTCAAACTATTCATCTTTCATGGCGAGCAGATCGGTTCCTTGTGCTGGCAACCACATTGATTCTCAGGGTGAAAGCTGTAAGTAATATTTGCTTATATCATTCTTGCTGTTCGATTGATGAAAATTTGACTGTGAGCTGAGTGACTCAGACTGTGGAAGGGTAAAACCTTCTGCAGAGTGAAATCCACTGATGCACTTTGTTAGTTTGTGACTATGTACTTCTTTCCAGATTCACGTGAGAGTATGCTGATACACAGGTGTCTTGTTGCTGTGCATGCATTGTCTACTTTTGCTTAATCTGATGATAATTACTTCTTGTATTGTCAGAACAATATGGTTCCCAGTTCTAGGAATTGGAATTAGTATTTACTAGAGAAGTGGGACAGGAGTTCTATTCTGAATTTATATCTATCTTTTGGAAGCCATTGATGTATATGCTTGTTCTAGTATGAATGTATATATATATCCTAGTTGGCATAGAACACAGTTCTTTATGCCTTTAACATATGTCTATTTTTTCTCCATTTCTAAAGTCTCTGTTTTTGGTTACTTTATGACTACTGCAGATGCTTCCAGAGCTCCAGACATTGGAAATCATGATTCATTCAATAAGACTAGCAATGAAAATTTTGGGGCTCCTGAAAATCGAAATTTGCAGATGGACATGCTCTTCTCAGATATGCCATATAAGAGTGTCCCCTCTTCAGATTTTTCCATCTTTCACGACCGTGATAGTTTCTTTGGGGACAATGTTTCCGCTTTTGGCCATTCTCCGTGGCTTCATACGTATGGTGACCATGGTTATTTTTCCCCAATAAATCAAGAATCTATGGTTGACGAAGAAGATGAGATGTTAAGGTTTCCAAGTCACAGTCCATACTCAACTTCTAATCTGCCAGATGGTGGATTTGATGTGATGGGATGCAGCTCTAAGTATGAAGATAATAATCAGATGTTACCAAATAATGGAAATTATATACTTGCTGTACAGGACGTCGCACCAGAACAGCCATGCCGTTGGCCTCAATCAAGCTTGTCTAGAGAAAGGGACATAAATTGTATGAAAGATGAAAAATTTGATTCAGTTTGTTCTGCGAATGATTCAGTCCGAACTTCTGGAGTCACGGATGGACCCAATTGTGGAAATAACTTCTTTGTTGCTGATGGGAAAGCTGTTTGGACCAAAGACTTTATGCTGGGTTCCTCTGTCTCAATTAACATGGCGAATCAGAATATTACCATATGTGAAAGGGTTGGGGATGATGCCATGGCTAATGCATCTAAAAAGGCTCGTTATTCTGTGGATATTGCTGATGGTTTTGCAGCATCTACTCACAATGGGAAATTAGACTTAAATGCTTCAGAACAATCGTTTGCTTATCCTCAGCCATTCAGAATTGGTTGCATTAAGAGTGAAAGATCCAGTGCATTGAATAAACCTACTAATGTTGCCTCTTGGTCTTCTAGTTTCAGCCCCGAATCAACCGAGAGTAGCTCAATTGATTGCAGATCACGAGGTGATGATGACTCTGATATTTGTATTATTGAGGAGATGAGTCATCCTGCACCAACCCCTCAATCTGTAGCACCTGTAAATGGACTTGTTTCTGACCAAGGAGCCACATATGATATTTCTCTCTATAACAATGGAGTGGGTGGTACACGCCCCAAGACAAATTCCGAACAGTTAATTTTCCGAGCGGCATTGCAGGTATGATTAAATTTCGTAGCTTGTTGCAGGACATAATATGAAACATTGTTATTCTCTGTCTGTATCCTATTGTGTTTTGTCTTCCATATACCTTCCATGTGAATGAATTTTTTTTTTTTTGTATTTATAAAATGTTTTTCTTCTAAGTGCTCTAACCATTTAGTTTATTGGTGAGATGAATTGACTAAAGCTTGTTCAGTCGGTTCAACTTTCAGTCTTTCGTTTCTCTGCTTTCATGTCCTGAATATTTTACCGTTATATTATTCCTTATTTGTCGTTAAAGTACCCTAAAACTGCTGTTGGCCTGTCTGGAAGAGCAGAATAGATGTTATTCGAAGTGTAATTTCAGGGGTTGATGCCCATGAATAGTAGGTGATGGCATCATCATATCGGTAGATTCATATGCTAGCATTGTTTGGGCTTTAGTAGGTGGTGCATAATATCCAATTGACAAGGTGATGTAACAGTTAATAAGGATCTTTGAATGGGAGATTGAATGAGAAGGTTGTCAAGTCAAGACGCTGTAAGATTGTCCTGATAATTAGAGCTGTAGCAAAGGAATATATTGGAATTCAAGAGTTGCCATTTATGGGTGTCCGGTATGGAGTGTATAAAACAGGGGAAATGCAAATCTAGCCAAGGAAGAGGTTGAATCAATCTCTTGCTAGATTGGAGATGATGAAATGCCAAGCAGTGAGTGATATAAATAGCTCTTATATTCTTCTTAATTTCGCTCAAGTAGCTATTGTATATTTTGAAATAATTTAGATTAGGTTTAGCAGTTTAGGGTACAAGATTTTCTTGGTGCACTGTATTTTGGAAGACGTGTGAAGATTCAATTTGTGCAACTAATTTTCTAAATGCATGGTATCCTTTGTTTCATGTGGAATTAGTTCTATTGGCAGTGGATCAAATAAACCTTCTCTTGAAACCCATGAGGATTCATTCAAGATCTTTGCTAGAAGGGAAGGGAGTAGCTAGATGCTTCAAATGGAAAAGAGCACTTGAAGTCCTGGATGATGGCAAAATGCTATTATGCTTGAGGGACCATATTATGCGAATTCTTAAGTTTAGCCAGATATACATATGGAAAATGAGTTCAATAAATTGAGAACTGAATAGGCAAAATACGTGACAGTTTGAACGATGATCTTTGGTGCTACTTTCCCATTCAAAAATAGATAATAGGTGTATCAGAGTTGAATTGGTGTTTGACAATTGAGAGAAGTGCCCCTTGCTCAGCTGGTTCCCGAGCGGAACTGACTACGACCAAAGTCTTTACCCAATTGAAGATTGGATGAGAAAGTCTGCATGAGATGGTTTGGTGGACATGTGCCACATTGACTTTTGGAGGCTTTTGTGAGAAGATGCAATTTTTTGGGTGGCATTACATACTCTCCAAATGGATAGTGATGTGGATTTCAGAAAATGCTTTGGAGATGCTATACAAGGATCTTACAAAGGACATGAGAACTAAAGTAGATTTATAGATGGTTAAACTCTTGTAGTCATCCACTTTTAGAATGTGCTTTGCTGGTGGTTTGGATCATAAGAAAAATTGTAGGGTTAAAATTGGGAATGGTGATTATTGTAGAACTTGAGAACTTTTCATTTGGGTGATACTATAAAAAGCAAGTTTGGGAAGATGGGCCTGGAGAACTTGATGCAATGCACTATAGAAGCAAAGGTCCCCCATATGGGTGGTAACTTCGGACACATTTTTATGTAGATGACTGGAGAATGGTTAACTGGTCTTTTCCTAGTGAGGAGCATGAAAGAACTAGTAAAAGTACATCTTATCTGGTGCTTGGATTACACAATTTCGATGCAGACATAAGATTTCATAGGGTTTGGTTCACTTTTCAAAATCAGACTACATTAGCTGCTTCAGTGGGGGAGGATGATTACTCTGCAGTACTTTATCACCTTACTTCATGATCTGGCTATACCGGTCAAATTTGTTGACCCAGTTAACCAGTCTGCAAAAACAGTACACTTCCCCTGATATTGTGTCCCTTTATAGTGGATTAGGAGTAGACAATTAGAATAGCCTTTGAAGAGGATGCGGAGTTAACTGTACCTGGGTAGTGTCACTTCTTTCTGATGACGGACACATGTCCCTTTCTTTTCTCAGCCGTTGGAATTCCTTTTTTGAAAAACATTTCTATGACTTGAGAACCATATAACGCACTTGCAAGCAAGACCTTAGTATGCAATTTCTCCCCTCGTCGCTGCCACCCACCGTGCCACGCGTCTCCTTTGCTGCTTGCCGTTGCTTGCCTTGCCTCACCTTCCCGGCGCAGCCCGCTTGCGGCTTAGCCCCACCATGTCGCTGACGGCCCAACACCTCCCTTCCGATCTCGACGATGCCACCCAGCAGCTCTCGTCCAACTGCCATCTCTCTCTTTCCTTGCCTCCCCGCCGTGGCAACATACCCACCAGTGGTTGAGCCCTTTTGACCTCAGACCTAGGGCTCACTCGACCTCAGAACTGAGATCTAAGGCTCGAGCACAGTAATCAACCTTCGGCTTGATGATGGCGAGGATGAGACTTGGCCGTGCAAGTGGAAGCCGAAGGCAACAGTGTCGACTGAGAGCAGAGTTGTCAGCGAAGGAGATCTGTGGTGAGGGGGCGGTGGAAAGCAGAGTTGGTGATGGTGGTTGTGGAAGGAGACAACGACGACCGACTTTGGGGGTGGTCTTTGCGCAATGGCTGGCAATGCCGTCGCTGTAGGTGGCGAAGGGTGGCACGGTTGCGCAGACAAACAGATGATGGGGAGAGGGAAGTCGTGTGGCCGTTGGATCGCTTTGTGAGATGTTGTCAATTAGGCACCAGGATGGTACGGGGGTACTGTATGTGGGAACAGTAGTCCCGTGCCCTTTGAAGAGATGAATATTCCTTGGCAATTTGTAGAGAGATGCATGCGTTTATCCTTTCTTTTGGCTTCTAATGGATGGATGTACTTTTATAGGCCCTTCTTCGTACTCTTGATTCTCTGAACTGCTCTGTTTTTTTTTTAAAAGTATAAAACAAAATCATCATTAATTGATTCTTTGTACTGCACTTGAAGCTTGCATTAGATGCTTGGAAATTGCATACATGGGCTGACTTGGACTTGATGCGCTGTGAATGTGATGTTCTGATCTCTTACTCATTAAAGTGACATGATAACTAGCCTTGCTACAGTTGTACACTATTTGCTTGCTCAATGTTGTTCCAACATGCCACTAGCAGAAAGCTAATAAACTCTGGGGGTGGATGTTATTTAAGTGAATGAAAGGATTAGTTGGCTTTTGCTTCCACCTGGTCTCTTTACATGAGACTATTGTTTGCCATGTTTTGCAGGATCTCTCACAGCCAAAGTCAGAAGAAACTCCACCTGACGGTGCTCTGGCAGTTCCTCTTTTGAGGCATCAGGTTGGAGATCCCCCTTTCTTTAAGCTCTTTTCATGTGTCGTTTCATCGAGATCGATATGTTTAAATATATGTTATGATATTTGTGCAGTGGGCACCGTAACATTAACGAGTGATGGACATGATTTAGAATTGTGATGGGCTTTTGCTTGCGCTACTTTGAAGAGAACTTGAGGGCTGTTAATCTTATTTTCTGGTTGGGGTTGCACTTTACGTGGATATTAGCACCAGATAAGACTAGAAGCATGATTTAGAATTGGACTTAGCTGATGGTTTCATGCTGTAGGACCAAAATCGTCATCCAATCTTCTGATTGATGATCATGGCAAATACCAGGCTAGAAGCATGATTTAGAATTGGACTTAGCAGATGGTTTCATGCTGTAGGACCAAAATCTTCATCCAATTTTCCGATTGATGATTATGGTAAATATCACTTGTCAACCCAAAGTAGAAAATCTTGGAGTGCTTTACTGCTGAGAATAATGCAGTCTTAAATAACGAGAGACGTAGCAGTCATTCTCATGACTCCATGACTGTTATGAAGACCTTGGAACAGAAACAATTGTTATAGAAGGAAAATATCTGGCAGCGGTCCTTCGATCAAGTCCAGTGTCATGTACTACTGTGTTGTAAAAGAAGTACTACCATTTTGATATTGTATTTTATTGGAGAAGGCAATAATGGCTGACCCTTCATGTGTATTGGCTTTGTCATTCACTGTTCTTCCTACACATAAATTGTTTTTTTTTATGCGACTGTCTAAAGAATCTCCTCTAACAAATATAGAACTTTTGTCATTTGGGTTTTTGATTATTTGTTCATTGGCAAGTAGTTTGTGAATTGCAGATTACTTAGTATTTTCTCATATGCTCATGCAGAAAATTGCCTTGTCATGGATGGTGAAAAAGGAAACTGCCATAAATTGCTGCGGGGGAATTCTTGCTGATGATCAGGTCTTAATCTATCCCCTGTCCATTTCCTAAGACTGCTTATGGTGATTATCTCAATGACTTTTATATCCTTGTGCAGGGACTAGGGAAGACAATATCGACTATTGCTCTTATACTTAAGGAAAGACCTCCATCCTTCAAACAATGTCAAGAGAATCCAAAGTTGGAGTTACAAACTTTTGATTTGGATGAGGATGAAAATGTCGATGGGGCTCCTAAATTGAACAATGCAAAGCTTGGGGGAGAGAAATTTCAAGCTCCACCAAGTGGGAGCCCTTTGGCACGAGGAAGAGGGAGGCCAGCTGCTGGAACTCTTGTGGTTTGTCCCACCAGTGTTCTGAGACAGTGGGCCGAGGAGTTGCGTAACAAAGTAACAAGTGCAGCTAGCCTTTCTGTCCTAGTGTACCACGGGGGTAATCGGACGAAGGATCCTCTTGATCTGGCCAAGTATGATGTTGTCCTCACAACATATTCAATTGTCAGCATGGAGGTTCCTAAGCAGCCTCTAGTTGATAAAGATGATGATGAGAAAGGAAGACCAGCGGATCAGGATCTTCCTCCTGCTGGACTTTTATCCGGCAAGAGGAGGAAAGATGCTTTTAATCGAGATAAGAAAAGATCAAAGAATGGAAAGATGGAGAATGAATTGCTTGAGTCTATTGCTGGTCCTCTTGCAAAGGTAGGATGGTTCCGCGTCGTCTTGGACGAGGCTCAGAGTATTAAGAATTACAGAACTCAAGTAGCTAGGGCTTGTTGGGGTCTTCGCGCTAAACGCCGGTGGTGCTTGTCAGGAACTCCTATTCAGAATGCAATTGATGATTTGTATAGCTATTTCAGATTTCTCAGATTTGACCCGTATGCTGTCTACAAAACATTCATTTCCAATATAAAAGGCCCAATCCAGAGGAGTCCATCTAAGGGATACAAAAAGCTGCAAGCAATCTTAAAAACAATAATGCTCCGGCGCACTAAAGGTTTGCTGCTTAGTATCAAGATGTGTTGCATTTCTTGCTTTTGCTTGAAATAAATCTTGCTTTGGATTCTACATTGTGCTTTTTCCTGTTCATATGTTGTATTTTACATGTTTAACTTAATGTTTTTTTGTCTTTGGGGTGGTTAAGTTGGTTTTATAGTAATGATGTCAAAACCTTTTATCTTTTTGCTTATATAGGACTCCACTATGTCATGTATCGTGTCATATTTATTCTTCAGTGTTTTTGTTTTAGGCTCACTGGTTATCTTGTCACTGGCATCACTGTATTTGATTTGTCCACATTCTTTGTTGCAAGGCTTTAGGTGGTGGCTCACTTAGCTAAATGTTTTTTTTGTGGGTTCCTTCTCATTGTCACCTTTGCTCTTTTTTCTTCCCCTTGACATAAGTAGGTCAAAGCTTCCTTGAATACAAGGATTGTCCATGTCGAGTTGAAATTGTTATAAAATTATTCAATATTTCTATGTTTCTATTTCAAGAGAACTTGCTAATTTCCTTTTCCCATGTTACATGATGTGCTTATTGCATCTCTGTTTTTTTGTTGCCTGAGAGGCCGAGATTAAATTTATATTTATGGTGGTCGTTATCTATCAACTCCTTACAATGTGTAGGTATAATTACCAATTAATCATGTAAAAATTGACTCTGTTTTAGGCACACTTCTTGATGGTGAACCTATCGTAAACTTACCACCAAAGTCAGTGGAACTGAAAAAGGTGGAATTTTCGAAGGAGGAGCGAGATTTTTACTCAAGATTAGAGGCCGATTCTCGTGCTCAATTTCAAGTATGTGTTAAGAATTTACTTTTCTTCATTCTGGAGCTTAACATGTTGAAAGATGACATTCATGTGCAATTCTAATATTGTGCATCTTCTGCTTGTTTTCCCAATTACGTTACTAACATTGATATATGTTCATCTACCAGGAATATGCAGCTGCTGGGACTGTCAGAGAAAACTATGTGAACATTCTTTTGATGCTCTTGCGCCTTCGACAGGCTTGTGATCATCCCCTGCTTGTGAGGGGATATGACTCGGGTTCTCCGTGGCAGACCTCACTTGAGATGGCAAAGAAACTTCCTCAGGAGAGACTAGTATTTCTTCTGAATTGTTTGGAAGCTTCTTTAGCAATTTGCAGCATCTGCAATGTGAGTAATATATGTCTTTGTGCATGCATGCATGTGCGTGTGCGTGTGGATCTTTAAATACCTGGTGCACGGTTAAAGACATTTAATTTTTTTATGGTCCCCTGGGCCCCCTGAAAATGGACTGCTAGGTTTAGGAAATGAATCACATCATAAGATGTTCGGAGTTTTGACTCTTTATCGATATAAATGCTTGAATTAAACACCTTGATTGTGCTGTCTTTTCATTAAGTCATTGTGAAGGCGAGGCAACTATAGTTAACTTTAAAAGGCTGCTGCTGCAGCAACATTTTGAATTGAATAGGGGTTATTTAAATGGAAAAGATTGTTTTTCATAAATTAGTAGTTACGGGCCTCCCTAATTCCTCGGTGGGGGCTTGCGGTTAACTAGTCAAGTTACATGTTGTTTTTTATAATGTCAAGGATAATGTTATCATGGAACAGACAAGAATGATTGGTCTTAATTTCATGTTATCTGAGGTCATTTGTTTGTGGACTAGACATCTTAATAAGAGAACTGTTTGCTTTCAAGTTTGGTTTATGGTCAAGCACGTACAGATTCAAATGGTTGAGTTAATCCTTAATTGTAGGATCCACCTGAAGAAGCTGTTGTTTCGGTATGTGGTCATGTATTTTGCAACCAATGCCTTTGTGAACACCTTACTGGTGATGATGGACATTGCCCCGCCACAAAGTGCAAAGAGAGACTCAGTAAGTCTCTAGTGTTTTCCAGAGCTTCCCTGAAGAGTTCCATCGCTGATCATTGTGCACAGAACAGTCCACTTAGTAATTTGGGGTCCGAGCTAATAGAGACGGCTGACCCTCGTTCCCTGGGTCATATGTATGATTCCTCCAAGATCAGGGCTGCTCTGGAGGTCCTGCAATCGCTGTCCAAGATGCAGGACGGTACATCAAGAAATAGTGATGAAGAGAATTCTTCTCATGTGGGTAGCAGTTGCTCTGACGGGTCATCCCCTCCTAGGAACATTCCCAAAGATAATCATTCTCAAGGAAATTTCTCTGTGGAAAAAGGCCCGGGTCTTTCAAATAAGCCAGCTCCAGAGAAAGCAATAGTATTTTCACAGTGGACAAGAATGTTGGATTTATTAGAAGGTCGCCTGAAAGATTCATCTATTCAATATAGAAGACTTGATGGTACTATGTCGGTTCTTGCAAGAGACAAGGCTGTGAAGGACTTTAACACTCTGCCTGAGGTGTGGACGTGCTGCTTCACACGTTTATTTTTGGGATAAGTGTACTAGAAGTCCTAAACTTGTCACGAAGGATTTTAAAAATCACTAAAACTTGTCAATAAGGTGCAATTGAGTTCTATAACTTTCAAAAAGTGCAATCAAGTTCTAAAACGTGCAATCAAGTCCTTTTATTAACTCCATCCAAATTGACATAAGGAAAATGTTAACGTTTTAGGACTTGATTGCACCAATTTGACAAGTTTTAGGACTCAATTGCACTTTCGTGACAATTTTAGGACTTCCAGTGCACTTATCCCTTTATTTTTTAATATACTCGCACAACACATTCACTCTGTACTGTCTGGAAATCTTTTCTCATATTATCTGTTTCCCTCTTAAACTTGTAGGTTTCTGTTATGATTATGTCCTTGAAAGCTGCAAGTCTAGGACTTAATATGGTCTCAGCTTGCCATGTTCTCTTGCTGGATCTTTGGTGGAATCCTACGACAGAGGACCAGGCTGTTGATAGAGCACATCGTATTGGGCAGACTCGTCCTGTTACAGTTTTGCGACTAACTGTCAAAGATACAGTTGAAGATCGCATCTTGGATCTACAGGTCAGATAGCACCCTTAGCTTTTATTGTTGCTTGTCATGTCCATGAAATTTCTGGGTTTATTAGGCAGGCATTTATATTTCGTGAATTTAATAAAAAGTTGAGTGATGTGGAGGTGGATAAAAGTGGTCAGTTGGTTATGTGATATGATCAGGTGGTGGCATCATATAAATGTTAAGCTCTCCTCACCAATGTGCATGTTCTTGTAGAAACATTGAACATAAACAGGCCCCCAGTTTCTCTTTTTTTTTTTTTCGCCCAAGTGAACTTGCCTGTGTCATGTATTCTTTTCTGTTTAAATTTAACCCAAATAACTTTGGTCACACTTGCATTTTGGTCACTGAAAAAAAGCAAATGGAAATCTATTCTATGGAGCCTTTTCATAGTGAACTGAGTTAATTTGGTCATTGGAAGAGCGTATCTCACCAAATATAAATTAGATATGTTCTAAAACAAAAGGTTTCAATTAAATAATACATCATTAGTCGGCGCAGTTAGGATATCATCAGTTGACATTTATGGGTACTTTCATCTCAACTAGCAATATCGTTTTGCTATGTTAGAGAATTTACTGCATGGGTATCAGTAGATTAATGTGCTTCTCATCCATCACTCATTGGGTGTGGGTTTCTTTTACAAAATAAAGTCTGGTAAATGTTTTTGCTTTTTTTTGTCATCAGCAAAAGAAGAGACTAATGGTCGCATCTGCATTCGGCGAGGATGAGAAAGCGGGTCGTCAAACCCGCCTAACAGTGGAGGACTTGAACTACTTGTTTATGGTGTGATTCGGAAATCTAATTTTGCGGATCGTGAGACATCCTTTACTAACCCTAGTGCTGCCTGGTAGTTTGTTCTTGGTAGCAGCGGCGGCCTTATACGAGCGATTTGAAGAGAAGCAATATTGACAGGAGAATGATCAAACTTTCTGCTTCACCATTCCTCATTTGTTATTGTACAGCGACAGATAGCAACAGCTAACAGTAAAGATGCAAAATTTTTTTCCTCCGAAATTTGTAAATGATATAGGGTTTTGTTCTTCCTCTCTCTTTCTGTGCTTACCTCCATTCCTTATTTGTATACGGAGGATCATAAACTTGAGGTCAGTGAATTTGATAATTATGTCCTGCCTTGCGAGTTCTGATTATTCTGATCTTATCTTGTACCTGTACGAGAGTTGCTCGGTAAAAATCAAACCGAGTCGACGATCCTTGACCGCTGTTATCATCATCGACTAAATTGAATAATGTCCATCAACTGCCTCGGATCTAAAATGAATAATTTTTGCTAGACCGCCGCCGAAGGCTCAACCGATTCAACAGGACCGCCCAATATCGGGGAAAAAAGAGAACAATCGACTCCATACCAAAGCATAGGGTGGAAGAGAATATTACCTACCAAACTGCGTTCTATGGTTGTGCTTGAAAACCACGCTCTTCTTATGAATGTCACGAAGGCATTGTATTTGTCCCTTCGATCAAATTGGGGAATTGAAAATTACAAAGTTATGAGAATTCTCCAATCAAGGCAATGGTCAAATGCTTCGTTTTGCAACAACATGAACGATTAATTCTCTAATCTTGGCTCGCATCTTTCCTCCAACCAAGACAGGATGTCCCTGCGCACGACCTCAATGTTCTCCTCCGTCTCGCCGAACAGCAGCGAATGCATCATTCCCTCACAGATTCTGATCGCCTTGTCGTCGCTCTGGGCCTCCTGGTACAGCGCCCGGCTCACGTCAGGGTCGGTCACCGCGTCCTCGCTCCCGTGCAGCACGATGAACGGGATCTTCACGTCGCCCAGCCTCCGGTTCAGATAGTCGGTGACCCTCAGGAGGTCGAGCACGGTCCCGAGCCTTGGCTTCCCCCGGTACCTCATCGGGTTCATCTCCGCGATCGCCTTCTTGGCCTCGACCTTGACCGACTTCTTCATGATGTCGGCGGTCGGCACGATGGGCAGGGTGGGCATGACCCTGGCGACCAGCGAGAGGACCTGAGGGATCGGCCAGACGGGCCTCACCTTGTCCGAGATCTTGCACATGGGCGCGACCAGGACGGCGCCCCGGTACCCCACAGGGTCCCGGAAATGAATCAGCAGGCAGATCGCGCCCCCCATCGACTCCCCGTACAAGAACCGAGGTAATCCCTGGAACCTAGGGTCGTTCTTGATGGAGTCGAAGTAGGAGATGGCGTCGTCGACGACGAGGTCGACGTCGGGCACGAAGGCCTGGAGGCCCTGGGACCGGCCGTGGCCCTCGAGGTCGAAGGCGAAGCAGGCGAAGCCATGCTGGGCGAGGAAGATCGGGGTCATCTGGAAGGTCCAGGTGACGTCGTTGCCGTAGCCGTGGACCATCAGGACGACGCCGCGGGGCGGGGCGGACAGGGGCTGCCACGACCGGGCGAAGAGGGTGAGGCCCCGCGGCGAGGTGTGGAAGGACGTGGTGCCACGGACGCCCTGCTGCCGGAAGTAGTCGTCTTCTTCCTCGGGGGTGTTGCCCCAGTAGTTCTTGAGGTTCTTGGGACCACCTTCTTGCTGCTCATCATCGCCCATGAAAATTTGCTGTTAGCTTTGCGGTGGTCTTGGGCGATGATGATGATGATGATGATGGAGAGGAGATGTGTGGTTGGTTGGTTGCTAATGTTGAATGAGGGTGGTCCCCATGTGTTTGTTTGGACTTTTATTAGGTTTTGGTCGGTTTGAGATATGTCATATTTAATATGTTCTCGGTTCCGCAAGTAGTACCCTCAGCTTCTAAGTTTTAATGTGGGAAAAATGAAAGAACAGGGAACCGCTCAACACCGGACGGCCCCCAAAACCTCTCTGGGCTTCTTTGATAATTGGTTTATTAAAAAATTTTAAAATTTTTTAAAGAGTCCCCTCCCCACTGAAACCCCCCACCCCCAAACAAAAACAAAAAAAAATACCCATTTTATTTTAATTTTCATTAGCATGTGCTTACACCTTTAAAATAAAAGTATATCTTTATCCCTTTTTTTGTGTGAGCATGTTTATAGGAAACTTTCTTTTGCTCCTAATTGTTGTAAAAAATGAAATGACATAGAGCATGAGAGAAAAATAAATTAATTACAACACTAATAATAAGAATATATCAGAATTTGATAAATATAATCATTTGACAGAACTAAATAAAACATTTTGAGAAAGAGAATAAACACAAATTGAATAAAAAAGAAAAATGTCAAAAGACAAAAAAAATGTCAAATGACTAAAATTGATTGCTCACTAAAGGGCTTATTATTGAGAAAAATGATTATATAGCAAAAATATTTTATAAACTCAACTTATAGAAATGGGAAGAATGACACTACAAGTGCCAAAAGTTGTGTAAGGAGTACACCTTGGTGTCAAAAGTGTCTTTCGGATCACTTAAGTGTCAAGTTTTTCTAAAAATGATCACTTAAGTGTCAATTTCGATTTGGTTGGCTGGAAATTCAATGTGGCCTTTTTTTTAGAGATCCAGTCAGCATGTCAACAATAAAAATGACATTGTTCGGCCCCAAATAAGAACTCTAAATCCCTAAATTGAAAGACAACCTCAATTTGAAAACCCTAACTGGCCAATTTGAGCACTTGTTTCGATTTTCCCTCAAAATTCCTAGCACGATCACAACTTCATTGTTTTGCAATTCCTTGTCTAGTACCAATAACCGTTTTTCCCTCTCACCCGAGCCCTAATTTTGCCCTCCGTGCTTTAATTTGGCGTCAGAGACTTAAGGGAGAGAAAATGACAAACCCGAGTGAGTGAAAGTTATGGCGGCAGGCGAGTGACGACGAGTGAGCAACGGCAGGTGGGCGACGGTGAGCGAGCAACGGCAGGCGAGTGACGACGGGCTAGCGAGCGAGTGACGGTCCGAACAAGGAGAGTAGTTGGTTTGTATGCAAAAATGGGAAGTCGACGCCCTCATTTTCATCCACCTTCTGCAACATCGTTTTGGCCAGAGGCTATTTGACGTCGTTTCGTTTGTTGGAGCCACGTCGGATGGAAAAACGACATTCTTTTTCACATCCACATAGACTGCGCTTTAAAAAATTTGCCATGTCACTTTTTTTTTAATTATAAAAGTCAAGTATTAATTTTGGCTGGAATTTCTTGCTGTTAGTACTTAAGTGATTATTTTTTCTCCGATTTAGCACTAAAGTGATTCGGCGAAAACTTTTGGCACTAAAGTGAGAGCCGTACATAATTTTTGGCATTTCTAGTGTTCTTCTTTCGAAAGAAATGATTAATTGAAATCTAAGATGATATTTTGAAATGCTTTTTATCAATGAACCATTTTTGCATCAATTAACAATTTAAAATCATATAATAAGTATCCAATTTGTGTAATTCGACATTCTTGTTATTGAGACCTTTCTCCACTTTACTTAATCGTTTCATTTTCTTGAAAATCTCTTCTTAGCTCTTTCAATAAATACATCGAAATTTTAAATTTTTATATTTTACTATAAACATTGATATATACTTTTCTAATATTAATATTGCAATTAATATGTTTTTTTATTTGCCTCATTCTTTCATTTTTATAGAAATCTAGGATAAGAAAGAGATTTCCTTAAAAAGAGAGAGAGATGAAAGTACGCTTCTACCACTTCACACTCACATGTATTGTACAAACAGATAGAACATATTACGGAGGGTTAATCACCGTAACAAAATGAAAGTCCACGGGGTAATGTGTCGGAGATGAAAGTTTAGAGATAAACCTATATTACCCCCAAAGTTCGAGGAGTCATTGTGTAATTTTCCCGTCTAGTTTGTTTCCTTTTCACTTCCTTTTGGGTCCTATCATGAAAAAAAGAGTAAATTGGATTCTCCCTCAATTCGACCGAAAGAAAAGTCCCTCTCAATTTCATATTGTAGATCATGGAGACCACTTGATTTTCGCATACTCCAATGTGAATAAGGAAGAAAATATAAAATGGTTGCAAATCGTCGTGTCAATCACCGATGTGGTGCATATTTTTTACTCATATCAATAATAGATTGACGTGTGTCAGCTGAGGTGAAACAACACATAAAAATTTTATTTTTCTATCTTCCTCCAACACCCACTTTCCTTTTATGAATCTGTTTGTCGTTCATGGCTGCTGACGCTTCCTCCTCCATCACAGACCACCACTTGTCCAGCCTCCATCTCCACCCCTTCCGGTATCGCTCACGGTCGACCCAAGCTAACCCTCCTTCATCGCTTGCGGTCGACTCATTACTCATCCAAATCTGGCCTCGACGCTCAACCATGGTCGCAAGCTTTGCTTGTCCATCCACTGACTGCAACGACAACGGCATTGCAACGAGCCGCGACTGGAGTTTGCCCTACCATCAATGGCAACGAGCGAGCAACAAGGTCCAGATCTGGTCGTCGTGACTATAACTGCGAGCAACAAAGGCGAGCGACAAAGTCCAAATCTAGTCTCCACCGTAACGATTGCAAGCAACAAAGTCCTAATTTGGTCGCCATGACTCCGGACCTAAGGACCGTGAGTGAGTAACGGAGTCCAAGCCGACACTGCTGCGCCCAAGCTGAGCATCCTCCATCGTCCTTGCGCGCCTAGGGCCGGTGCTTCCCGATTTGGCCCGGCCTAACTAATACATCTAGAGCCATGGCTGCGAGTGACACCGGTTCGTTTGGCACTGGCGACCATAGATAGCCAAATCTGAGAAGCCGGTAAAAAAGATGCTTGAATGCAATGCCGGCAGCCATGCATGGACGACAATCAGCAGAGATGGAGGAAGAAAGAAAAATCATATTTTTTATTTTTATTCCACCTCAGTTGAAAGGTGTCAATCTATTATTAGGTATGAGTAAAAAATGCACACCACATCAGTGATTGACGTGGTGCTTTCTAACCACCGAATATTTTCTCATGAATAAGGAAGTGGTTTGACAGTGATCCACCTCATCATCTTGAATTTTTACTTTTTACTTTATTTAAATTTCGCGACAGACTCACTTTGACTCTTTTTTTAATTCAAAGTACACAAAATTTTCACAATATTCAAATGTTAACACATATATTTACATATATTTTTTCATTAATTTTTTGATATGCACAATATTTTAGATTTTAGCAAGAAAGCAACTTTTCTTTTTTCGAAAGAGGCCAAAATGTTGAGTTCACTGTTCATCAAATATGAGAAAATAATAATTATGTCAAAATTGGCATAATGGAAGTAAATAAGCACGTGAAGATGACATGTTTATAGCCATTTTAGAGTTCAAGGGTGATAATTTTGTCCATTTCGATCCAACCATCGTGCTGATCGCGGGAGTTGCATGTATTTGTGCTAGGAATTCGAGAATATGTGGTGATTTCTTTTATAGAGGACTCTGCACAAAGCTGATTAGGGTGCTGATGGATCTCTCCTGATTATGGTCATTATAGACTAAAACTAGTTATTATATTAAAGTGATCTGCATATCGCATTCGAGAGACTGGATGTCCGAACTACACATGATACTTTGAAATATCAAATTATATTATACATAATGAAAGATAATCAAATCCAAAAAGTAGTGAAAGAAAAATCATAGTTGAGGTTTTCTTTCCCCTTGGTTGCACCTTTTTCTATTAATGTCAACGCTATAGTTGAATGAATAATCTTTCTTCGGAACACCGAGGGAAAGGACCAGAAGAAGAGGAGAGGCAAAGGGCATACGCGAAGTTGGTGGCTATTCAGTTTGGAGGAATTTCCATAACAAAAGTTGAAAAGAAAAAGTAAGTCATTTTTGAGTTTTGAAAAATTACGAAAATTTATGTATGATATTACATGTTTATTTTTTTTAAAATATTTTTCAATGTTTTAAGCGCTCAATGTTAAACAAAATTCCGAGTGTGAGTGCCGCAAAATATATAAAAATCAAACAATCGATAGTTGAAGCCACCCCAAAGAAATAATTTCATACATAAGCTCAATCAAAATCACAATCAAGTTAAGCCGGATGTTTAGTTATGGCTCGTGGAAATTTGGTTCAAATAAACAATCCGTGATTAAGGATTTCCAATGTCCAATTGGAAAAACTAGTCTAGTGGACTAGTTTTGCGGGCTTTCGAGCTATTGTTGTGTCTCTCGGCCCAAGATGTGGTAATTTGGCAATTCCAATCGAGGAGTAGATGACAAATTAATTAATGCAGTGACAACATAATTATGCTCTTAGAGTTTGAACTTCAAAACTAAGAGAGCGTGAAAATAGATTATAAAGGAGGATCTAAATGAGCGGTTTCGAGATTTAAGTGCGAGACATTTCGATATCATGCATATTTTATTGTACCTATCTAAAATTATAGATCGGTATAAGTCGCTTTGAAATTGAAATTCTCAATAGAACTAGTTTGAAGGCGGAGGAGGGGTTGGAGCCGGTGACTCATGATCATGGAGAGAAGTTATGCTTTGACCAGGATTTGTTCTTTGGTTAGTGAGAATGAACGATTTAATCTGCAAGTTTTTGAAGTTGTGATTAATCGATAGAATACAATTAAGGCTTTTGAGAGGATTATTGTCTTTGAATGTTATTATGCTTTTCTTTTTAAGCTAATGTTAGATCTAATCATGGGTTTAGCTGCCCGCCGAGCCCATCTAGGCTCGAAGCACATTTTACGCGAGCCTCCATCGCGAGCCTTCATAGGAGTATTTCCTCTTGGGCCTCGGCT